TCCCCACCAGCCCAATGACATTGTGGGTCGGCCCTTCAGATGTTTTGGGACTACAACTCCCATTATTCCTAACCACTGGTCCTGTTAGCTAGGGATGATGGGATTTGTAGTCCCAAAACATCTGGAGGGCCGAGTTTGCCTATGCCTGGTGTATACCAAGATCACCACCACCATTTCCTCCTTCATTCACCTGGAACATGTGCAGGGAGGAAAAGTGTGGATAACCTGGGGGGGGTGTCAAATATGTATCAAGTAACCACACCCACCTTTGTGGATGGCAGGGACTGGAATAAATCTAGATTGGAAGCATCATGTTGAGCTTGAGCATGAATGATTGAGGAAAAACTACGTTTTTGTACTACAATTGGGTTAAATGTAGTTAAATACTATAATTGGGTAGAAATGTGTACACAAGCTTGTTATATGATGTCAGTAACTCTTATCACAGCCCACCAAGGTATTTCAGTTTTACAGTGGTACCTCGGTTTATGAACTTAATCCTTTCCGGAAGTCCGTTCTTAAACCGAAACTGTTCTTAAACCGAGGCTTTCCCTAATGAGGCCTCCAGCCGCCGGTGCCCTTCCACCATTCAGCTTCCATTCTTAGACCGACTTCTGGTTTTGCGGAGTTTGTAAACTGAATAGTTCGTAAACAGGGCTGTTCCTAAACCGAGGTACCAATGTATTATCTCCATACTGAAAGAGGAGAAACTGAAACAGACTGATAATTGCTTCTCTAAAACCACCTTGTCGTAGTGAGTTCTTAGCAGAGATAAAATTTGATATGGGAACCGTATGATTCACAGGTTAAAGCAAATATTGTTCTTTACTGCATTTATATCTCACCATTTTCTCCAAGGAGTTTGAGGTGGCATACAAGGTTCTTATTTTATCCCTACAAAACTCTGTGAGGTAGGTTAGACTGAGAGGAAGTCACTGGCCCACTGGGCTTCACGGCTGAGTAAGGATTTGAACCCTGGTGTTCCAAATCCTAGTCTGACACTCTAAACCAGGGGTTGTCAACCTAGTCCCTACTGCCCACTAGTGGGCGTTTCAGGATTCTAGGTGGGTGGTTGAGGGTTCTGCGGCACAATCTGAATCCTCCTTCCATCGAGCACTGGTGGGCGGTAAGGAAATTTTACCATCAAGAAAGATGCATTAGTGGGCGGTAGGTATAAAAAGGTTGGCTACCTCCTCTATATACTGCACCACACTAACTCTCAAAATCCTAAATATGTCTACTCAGAAGTAATTGCTATTGAGTTCAATGGGGCTTACTCTCAGGGAAGTGGGGTCAGGATTGCAGCCTCTCCAGAGAAGTTTGCCTGGTGCCATCTCTGTGGTATTTTTGGGCGAAGTTGATGATCCTTCTGTTCAACCAAGCCTTTTAAATAGTCATCCAAGCTTCTCAGTTTTTAAATTAGGTATTAGTTTGGGGACTATATTATCATCTTTGTTGTACTTATGATGCCTTTGATTTTACAGTTTCATGTCTTATTTGCATTCAGATTGTTTACTTGATTATTATTGTAAGCCACCGAGAGAACTTCGTGTTTGGGGTGACATACAAATGCCATAAATACATAAATAAATTCATGACATTGTGGGTATAACATCTATAGCTCGTTGCCTATGGGCACTCTAAGGTTCAAACAACTGTTGTCATGATTCTCTGGTGCCAAGTTCTTGACAGACCCAGGTCACACCCATATATTAGCAGCTCTCCTGGTTGCTTATTGGATACTTAAATCTATTTCTTGTCTAATTTTGCTCCTTTGGTGTTAATTATGAAGTTGGTTATTGCTTTAACTTGGAATAGGTCCCCTACTCCCTGCTGTGGAAGATGGTTAAAAAATGCTGAGGGTATGAACCGGGCAGTCAAATGACTATTAATAGAAGCTACTTGGCTCAAAGGAGGAGAATGTGAAGCTTTATAGAGGAAAAGACAACTAGAGAGAAGCAGAGACTGAAAAAGAAAAGAGTGAAAGGAGCAGCAAGGGGTTGGGGAATGAAAACAATGCATAACTGGCCTTAGCCAACAGAAAAGCTTGCAGAAATAAAACAGAGGAAGGAAATATTTCATCCCATTCCTGCTCACTGGACAGTGATTTCCTGTGTTCACTTCTGACACATCTATTCATAAAAGCACACTGTCCTTGCATTCTGGTAATGCAGCTCTGCCCTCTGTCTTCTGAAAGTCAAGATCTGTTGAACTACTGAAATAGACTTTATTCACTGAATTATTCAGTAGAATATTCCAAACACAATCCCAAATCCAGTACTAACCCCCATTTTCACAAGTTCATAAGTGGTGGTTGTATCCAATTAGCTGCAGGTTTTGGCTCCTGACAAACTTTCCAGCACAGAGAAAGGGCAATAACCTGCACTAATTGGATACAATGCAGATGATTAAAGGTCCCTCCCCCCCCCCCAGCCGCTAAACAATTCCTGTATTTGGCTTGTACCATGCTATTTTCATTTGCGGAAATTGACTCAATGGCTCTTCTCTGGTGTCAAGTGCTCTGAATTCAACATCCCTGCATTTCCGAATAATGGAGGATTAGCAATATTAGTAGGAATGGCACAGGGTAACCTGGGGATTCTTGGAACTTGACTTCACAAAGTCCTTTATTCCTCTCTGGCTGTATCTAGATGCCTGCTTTTCTACATCTGGTTTATTGCTGCAATGTTAGGTGCCCCCCAAAATACTATTACTACTAATAATAATGCATCGAGCATAGGGGAGGGGCAAGCTGGCAACCGTTCGTGTTTTGGATTATGTGACTCAAAATAATTGTGCTAGACTGCGATCTGGCATTTAGGCTAACCATCATGGGGACAGTGATTGTCCATCTATGGTTTGTGGGTGCTGGATATTACTGAAGTAAAAAGCAATTTCTGCTATCACAATGGCAAGGTTTCCAGCTGTTGCAATAATTGTTCATTATGACAATGTACATATGACGTATATTCCAAATTGGGACTGTTCACATATATTGCAAACGCACTGAAGAACCACCTTAGGTTGTCATAACATACAACCAGAAGCAATGAAATGTGCAGCATAGAGAAAGCCCAGGTGCTATTGCAATCCAGCTTCCTTTACAACTGTTAGCATACATATTCAACAAACCCTGAAAGTTCTGCTCTCTGAGGCGGCAGCTTCCATGCTGCTGCCTCTGTAATGAAATCTAGTTCTTCAAAATACAGGCCTCAAACTGTTCCTCTCCAGCTCACCTTGCACACACTTAATGAGGCAAGTACAGGTTTAACTTAAGCTCTGTCCTGCAAGGATGGGGATGGGGATTCCATTCTGTTTGCATTTCAAAGCAAACTTATCTAATTCGCACCCCTGAGACCGTACACAATCTAAAATGCTGCTATCCTTCAAAACCCATACCTCTGAATTTTGTGCTTTATGTGCACAAAACTGCACTAGCAGAAAGTGCATGATAATAAGAGCTGTTTGATAGTGGAATAGACTCCCATGAGAGGTGGTGGGCTCTCCTTCCTTGGAGGTTTATAAGCAGAGGTTGGGTGGCCATCTGTCATGGATGATCTGCTTGAGATTCCTGCATTGCAGGGGGTTTGGTTAGATGACCCTCAGAGTCCCTTCCATCTCTCTGATTCAAAGATCTATTATTCTATTAAATATGGCAAAACCAAATTTGACAGATTCATCTATCCCCACATCTTGGTAGGTAGAGGGAGTCCCTTTCCAAGTACCATTGCTCCCTGTCAATAAGTAGACTAAAGTAAAGTCTCATGGCAGCATCATCCCTGAATATTGCGTAACAAATGTCAGAAAAATATTCTAGATCTTGATGGATTTTCCTTTGATCGAGGCTATGTCAGAAAAAACTGCTCTTCTCTTTTCTCATTGTGAGCATAGGTCTTACAGTTTTTATTTAACAACAGCAGCCACAACTAACCTGTCAAGACCCAATGGAGAAACTAATGGAATAAACATATTAATAAACAGAAAATTGTGAGGAAGAAACAAAGTAGAAGCCTCAAAGAAAGCAACTCCTAACATTTTTTTCCTACTGTTGCTAGTGAGCTTCTCTCTCTCTCTCTCTCTCTTTCTCTCTCTCTCTCTCTCAGATCTCTTCTTGCTTCAGTGGATATTGCTGACAACGCCTAACACCCACGGCGACTATGACTGCTGCTATTATTACTTTAACAATTATTTGGCACCAGCAGTGTCTGTGCCAGGCATTGCACAGAATGCAAAAATGGCAGAACTTTCCAAATTCATCATCTGTGCACCTGTCCCAAATCAGAGTTGCTTATTTACTATGGAGGGTGTCATACTTCATACCCCACACTGAATGGAAATTTGAAACCTTTATTCACGTCTTCATTTCAATTCTAGCAAAGCCTAAAAATCATGCATACCTACCTATAATGGCATAAATGCCATGCATGCAAGCAACTAAGAAGTTCTTTATAACTGAATATTTTATTGTTGTAGCCTTTTATGTCTGGTATCCATTTCTATTGTGATGTATTACTATGGCAGATTACTTGTCAAACTGACAAGTTTACAGTTTTGTTATTTCCCAGATCAATAAAGTTTTAAAATGATTTATTAGCTTACTGCCACGCTATGGTCAAGGGGAAAGCACAGTGCTGACCTTACCCACTTTCCTTTTCTGTAACATTAAATTTTCTCTAATAAACTATGTGTTCCCAGTGACAAAGCTAATGTATTTTATTCACAATGTGACTTTATTTAATAAGGCAATGCAAATATTTACTAACAATTGCATAGCAACAATACATTAGTTAATTGTAAGAACAGATCCCATCTGACTTACAAGCCGCTGCCCCCCCAATAGCACATTTTTGAAGATTGTAGCTGGTATCCATAGTCTTGCTGTGTATTTTCTTATCTTCAAAATAAATACTGAAGACCAGTCTGGCATCACATTGACTGACTTCATTGGGAAGGAGAGTAGATGAAGTCCTTTGATCGTTATGTAGCAGGAAACTCAGTAGTCATGTGCTTATTTGTTCATAGGCTCCGTTCCAGAATATATGCTGTGATGCAGTAAAAAAAATATAGTGGTGATGGGGGAGAAGTAAGAAGCAGGAATTGGATGAGGTGCCGAGAGAGAGAGAGAGAGAGAGACAGACAGACAGACAGACAGACAGACAGAGATCTCCACTGGCTGAGCTGTTCAGCATAGTGGGCTGAAGGTCCCAAGAAAATAAAAACAATAAGCAAGGGACCTAGGCCACCAGGAGCTAGTGGAAGTCAGGACAGGCTTAAGAAACAAAAGGTGATCTAGAGCATGGACAGGGGATATTCTTTCAGCCTAGGGGTGTTATTTTCCCCATGGGCAAACTTATGTCAGCCAGATTCCAATGTGGGCAGGTTGAGAAGTAAAAAGTGTGTGGAAGCAGAAACAAGTGGAGCTTTCTTTTGTAAAGAGAAGGATACTAACCTTAGCATAGTAATCTCTGTTATTTGTCTGGAAAGAAACCTCCTGTACTCACTCCCCATGTACATCTCTCCATCCTCAATCCAGCAAAGCTAGAGGCATTGCTGCATTTCAAGGGCAGATTCCTGTCAGGAAAAAGCACTTGAGGACTAAGGCTGGTGTGGGATGTAGCCTGGGGAGAGTCCCAGGGGCCAGGTATGAGGGGCCGGGGCATTGCATTCAGCCCTTCAGATTGAAGTTCTCCTTTCCAGATCTAGAAGAACAAACAGCTAGGGGAAGAGGGCAACAGAAATGAGAAAGGGCAGAGAGGATAACTGCCAGGCACTGAAAAAAATGAAGAATGACACATTGATCTGAAATAATTATTCACATTTATGTGGTTGCTGCATAAAGCATGTGTGCACTGCACACATCTGATAAGTACTTTGTCTGTTAAAAATTGATGTTTGCCACTCTTTTCAGTCATTGCCACTCTTCATTGACATTAACTGCTTATCAGTGTCTTTTGGCGTATTTGGTCTACACTAAAACTGGTGTAGATGTGGTGTTGCCACATTCAAAAGTATAGCTGTGTTTACACTATGCACATCTGTGGGCTGGTTTAATAATCAGATGTGTCCATGGAGAGTTGTTTGATCCACCTGGTAGATTCGTGGATTGGTTTCACACCAGATGCATATTCCAAAGCACAACTGGTCTGTGTAATAAAATCTGCATTTGGGAGCCTTCACAATGTCAGAAGCAAATCACTGCGTGCAGCATAATTCCTTTCAAATGATACATATGATATTAGGAATCTATATTAAAATGATATATATTTAATTAAGTTAAGTTATGGCTCTTGCATACAGATAGGATGGCTCAAACAGTGAAACACAAAAGCAGAGTTTGGATGGCCATTTGCCGTGGATGTTGAGATTCCTGCATTGCCGGATGTTGGATGAAATGGCACTCAGGGTCCCTTCCAACTCTGCTATTCTATGATTCGGCGATTTGAGCAACCGTTTCCCCCATAAAAACTGTTTAAACCAAGGGTGGGCAGGCTGCACTCCCCTTGCAGCCACTTCCCAGTGGCAGTTGGAGCAACAGATGTGGTGACTCTTATCTTTGTACAGGTGACGACAGTCAGGCATGATAAACACAGTGCCTTTCTATGCATTCATCTCTCCATCCAGGCAAGCAAAGGGTGTTATTTCAATTCAAGGAGGATACATCCTAGCCAGGCAACAGAACTGGAGAAGCGTGTGGAGCGGGGTCAGTGAGGGGAGCGACCTGGGGAGGAGGCATGGCCCAGGAGAGCCCCAACAGCTGAAGAGAGATGTCTCGAGAGCCATGTTTGCTACCCCTGGGCTTTGAGCTTCCCCACCTGTGATGTAAACCAAGGCAAGTCTTGCCATAGAGGAATGTGAAACAATTCTTTCTGAAGTCAGGTTAGTTTCTCTCTCTCTCTCTCTCTCTCTCTGTGTGTGTGTGTGTGTCAGAGTGGGTGCCTTCCAACCAAAGGCTCTGTGTGCATGTTTCTTTTTTCCTGGTGCCACTTGAACGGACTGGTCCTTTTGCCATGTGAACTGCTAACAACCCCAGTCACTATCCGGCGTGCAAGCCTGACGTAATGGATTGTGCTGACTCAGGACATCCTAGCCTCGCACAACTCTTCATTGCTATGTTGGGGGGGGGGGCTCCAAAGCACAACTGGCTCCGCTATCCAATCTGTGGGAGGCTTGGCATCTGCTCTAATTCGCTTCCCTCTTCCCCTCCCCCCCCCCCCGCCTAACAGCCTGAGGTAGCAAAAACTGACAGCGAAGCCGACGAAATTCTCGTCTACGCGCTTCGACGCTGCGAGTTTTCGGCGGCGCCCGGCTACCCATTCTGGCCGGGACGAAGGCCGGGAGGGGAGCCAGGCGGGCCCTCTCCGAAAGCCGCGCGTCTGCTGCCGGGCCGTCCTTTGGCAGCACCTGCGCCGCTCCCGGCGGGCGGCTGGCAGCCCCGCGGGAGTGGGCGGAGGGCAGCCTCGCTCGCTTGGCGGGAACAGAGAAGACGAGGCTGCCGGCTGCCGGCTCCCTCCGAGACCGGAGAAGGGGAAGAGGCGGAGGAGAAGCTGTGGCGGCGGCGGCAGCTGCTGCCGTGACTCGACCCCAGGCAGCGGGGAGCCGAGAGAGGAGCTGCTGCGTGCAAACATTGCCACAGGGACAGCAGAGGAGGTGGCTCCGGTTTATGTGAGGACTGAGGAACAACACACACACAGCCGTAAGGCAACGGGCGATGTTGGCGGCTGTTTCCCAAAGGCGAAGGGAGGGCCAATTCGCCGCCAGGAACTCGAGAGAGTTTGTACGCCGCCTCGGGAAGTGAGGGCAAGAATGTGCCTCAGCCCCACCTTCTCCGTCGCCGCCGCCGCCGCCTCGCGCTCTCCCCGCCGCTTGCCCTCCTCACAAGCGAAGCTGACTGGAAGTGAAGGGACGCGGGTTGCTGCTGCTGGTCGCGCTGTGCTTGCGCCGCGGGAGCGAGCTCTGCCGCTGCTGCTGCTGCTGCTGCTCCGGCTGCCGCACCTGGCCTGGGCCGCTGGGGGATGTGCAGCAAACGCCGCCTCCTGAACTCCACTACTTCTCCCGCGCGCTCTACGGCTCCAGCTGCTGCCCGCGGTCTCTCTCGCTCTCTTCCTCCGTCGCCCAGGCGCTGCCCGGTTTGGCGGGGAAGACACCAAGGAGACTTCTTGCTGGCGAAGGATAAGCGCCAAGCGGTGCCATAGCCGGAGCTAGGAAGGAGGAGAAGCGAATCCCGAAGAGGAGGCGGGGGGAACGGGCAGGCGGAGAGCAGGAGTGGAGCGGGCATCTCCCTCCCTCCCTCCCTCCCTCCCTCCCCGCCCTCCGTCAGCAGGACTTTGGGCTGCTGGGCTGGAGCTGCCTTGCCATCGCGGAGGAGAGCCCTGCGCGTGAGTATGGAGCTCAGCGAAGGGGCTTGGGGATTGTGCCGCCTTCTAGCGCGGCTCGAGCACTTTGGGGTTCTCCCCGGCTCGAAGGTTAGGGACACACTTTGGGGTGGGTGCATGTGTATGTATACGTGGGCACGCGCGCGCGCGTGTTTGGCTTGCAAAGGGGCGCCTCTCTGCTTCTCTTCCTGGTGCAGTTTTGCGAAGGCACACGCACACACTCCCTCTCCCTCTCGCTCTGCAGTGCATTGTTCGGGAGGCTGCTGGAGGCTGCCATCCTGCGTGTGCGCACTTACCTGGGAGTAAGTTCCATTGTGTTCCAATGTGGGGATGCCTCCGCGCTCTGGCTCCGCCGGGCAGCTCTGGGGGTTGCTGAGGGCGCTGGGGAAGGGGCGGGCGGGCTCTGTGTATTGTTGGGGTGAGGATCTCTGGTAGAGATCGGTGGGAAGGGGGCTTGGCAGCCACTTAGGAGGGTAGGGCTTGGTCTCCGGAGACTTGGCTCTGACGGAGAAGCAGAGATGCCATTGCCAGGCTGGGCTATGGCAGCGAGAGAGTCAGCCTCCCTTACCTGGGGAAGGTGAGGTTTGTCCAAGTACAAGCTATTAAGCTCCCACATGGGGAAAGGCAGTACCACCTCCTGCCATCCGGGTGCATTCCTCCTCGGATCTCCTCCTGCTCTGAGTTCTCGCTCTCCTGTGGGCATTTCTGCACTTGGACCAAGGAAGCATCGGGTATGAACACTCATCAACTCCTTCCCTCCCCCTCTTCCTCCCATCCCATCTCTTTTCATCGCGTGCTTTAATAGCTGGCCGTAATTGTGAAATATGGATCCCTTAAGGGAAGCCTTAATATTTGCAAAATGTTTTATATCAAATTAGTGTCTGGCTTCATTTAACCAGGGATATGTTTGGGGTTTTTTTGTTCTTTTGCATTGTTACTTCTTCAAGATTTATGAGAGTTCTGGCTTGACAAATGTCAAGAGGCATTTGGCTAGATGGGGGAAGCACTGGGGAGCGTCCCCCCCACCCCAATTTCTTTTACACTGCTTGGCATGATTTGTGTGAAACATATAAAGCCGGTAATTGCTGGAGACTTTTTAATGGATTTTGCTAAGCGATTTCAATATTTCTCTTTAATTTTAGTGGCAAGTGCTTTGACAATAATGTCCTTTTGAATTTCACTTGAAAAGCTTATTCTTTCTGTTGTGGAATTGAGCAGTGTAAAGCATATGTATTTCATTGGGTAAAAGCACTGGGGCCATGTTAAATGCTTTCTAAGGAGAAAATACAAGGATGGGCTGGGAAATAGTCTGATACAAGGTATCAGTGCAAGTTTCAAAATCAGGGTAAATGTAGCAAGATTAAAGCACTTTGAGTTGTCGTGGCCACAATATAGAAACAACTTTCCTAAAGAGAAGCTAAGGGATACTATTCTGGACTAAGCAGTTAATGGATTGGAGGCAATGCACCTTGTATTTATCCTGCAAATTTCTTTTATTTGTCAAATATGGGGAAAGTGAAACGATTTTCATTGTACACTCTTTTTTGTGTCTGCATAGGCAACGTCAGAGATCAGATTCCCAGGACAGCCTTTGGATATATAAAATTGTTCCTAACTGGAGGCCCAGTCTGCCCAGAATAGTTTGGGGCAGGGGGAGGCAACATGGAACTATTGATCACTTAAATCAGCTTGTCAGCCGTTAACACTTCTGCTTCAGATAAGGCAGGATGTCACCTGTACTTCATGATATGTTTTCCCAATTTAACCTCATTGCAAGGTATTAATAAACGCTTGATGATTTTGTAGACAACTGTGAGAAAGATTTTAGTAATGCAAGACACTAGACTGCAAAAAAGGATTATAGAGACTATTCTTCTGTTTTATTTTCTCATGGTCTTCCTTGATAATAAGCCAAGTGAGATAGCATTCTCTGTGTAAAGCTTCAAAGTACTCCATGCAGCAGTCTTGAAGAGTTGACATCTAGTTGTTTGGAACAACATATCATATATGTGTGCATCAGAATTTTCAGTTTATAACTGTTGTTTTACTCAAAAAGAAATAAAATATGGAAGTGGATGACTGCAGCAAACTTTAACTGTATAAGAAGGAAAATAATTTCCCCAATGCCATGCTGAAATATCTTATAGCTAAGAATTTTCCTTGGGCTATTAGCCTAAAGCTGCTTCTTTCCATAAGATGAGCATGTGGTACCAATTTCTAAATGCACCACAGTAAAGGATTCAAATAGCAGTTGGCCAATAGAGTGGCCAATGACATGAAATATATCTTTCTTGAGAGAATTTTTCAAAAAGCGTTTGAAAGGCTAGATGGTGCATGAAAATATTTGAACATTCTTATGATGTCATTCTAAGCATTCTAAGCACGCTAATACATTATAAGACTACTTTTGTATGGGCATATTATAGTGATATGTCTTGGTACAGTCCATTGTTTAAGGATCTGAGTGTTAAATGCTTTGGCTTGGATCCACAAGGGTTACTGTGAGGCAAGCTCAACAAATGCAGTAGGACTTCTGAGAAACCTACATTTGAGCATCACCTCTTTTTGCAAAAACCACTTTCAAAACTCAGGATTTTTTTGAAAGTAGCTTGCAACAGAACGCAAGAACAACTGCATTTGAAGAAAAAACAGGGAAACACCAATGCACATAGAAGTGCACAATGTCCTCTTGGGATATTAATTGGATGCTGGAATCATTGAAAGTCGTGCTGTCAGGGCAAAACCACTGCATAGACCATGACATTTTATGAATTGAATATGGCATTCAAAAGAAAGGTTACAATATTATTTGAAGAGTAGAATAATATCTAAACACGTTTGAACATGTTGGGGGGGGGGGGGAGGTAGAAGAAGGAAATAGCATGAAAGCATGGACTTCCAAAACATTATTCAGCAGAATACTGCTTTGGTAGGGTGTGTGTTTGTGTAGGCACATACATGTATATACATGAACAGTATTGCATCTTTGATTGTTATGCCATATCACATAGTGTTTTGAACACAACAAATGTTTAATAGTGCACCATTTGTTTATTTATTTTCTTACATTTGTATCTTGCCTTTCTTCCACCATGGAACCCCAGGTGGTATGCATGTGTTTCTGGTATCTGAAGAAGTGTGCATGCACACAGAGGCTCATACCAATAACAAACTTAGTTGGTATCTAAGGTGCTACTGGAAGGATTCTTTTTATTTTGTTTCTGAAGTGATCACCTTTCAGGCACTGACTACACTCAGATCTGCTTAGTTTCAGCATGGTGATGGCCTCACGTGCCTTCAGAACATAATAATAAAACACTGTTGTGTCTTAGAGAAAAGTTTCAGGCTGTTGAGATTTTGAAAAAATATGCACCAGAAAATCTGGATATACCTATGAACAAGGATTAGAATTGACTATGCATACAGAAGGCTCCCCAGGAAATTTAACTAAAGAGGACCATGGGTTATCATTTCTTTCTTTCTTTTTCATTTGCTACTTGGAGAACATACCAGAATAGAAAACCCATGTGAGCAGGGTTTTTGAATTAGTGTCTAACACAAGGGCCTTTTCAGTGAAATCCATGTGGAGTTTCCATTCTTACGTAACACTTGCCATATGTATTCCTTCGTGACAATAATTTCAAATTAATCTGGAAGAGATAAAATTGTTGTGGGAAAGACACCTACCAGTGAAATTGTTTATACAATGTTCTCAAAGCCTTTGGATCCTCAGGAAAATTCTCAAGTACAAACCAATACCAGTGTAGCATGGTGTAAACTTTAATGGACCAAATAAAGTACAGGGTGTTGTTCTTGTTTTATAAAAGTAGGTTAATTGAAGGAAGAAAAGGTTGACACAACCAAGCTGTTTGACCCAGGAGGCATATCAGATATTTGAGTTTGTATTACTTGGGTAAATACATTAAACTGTAAATAAAGAAATAAATCCCTTAATTTCTGTAGTAGACATTGTTCTTTGACATTGTCACTGTTTCTGTGGGTTGTATGTGCAGTAGGCTCTTTTGCTAGTGGGAAATGATCTAGGTTTTTATTTGGTGGGAATTAGATTAAGTATTTTCTCAGTTATTGTTTGAAAACAGAGGTGATCAATCCATATTTTTCCTGGCAGAGAAGAAATATATCCATTCAAATTGCAGCAATAAAGCCTCGCAACTTAATGGCTGGAATAATCTTGAATAATTGTGTGCATTTGTTGTAGTCTCAAAGGACAGTCATAAATACAGTGGTTATACAGCATTTTAGTAGAGACTTTGGCAAGACATATAGCTGGGAATTACAATTTATCAAATCTGTGAAGGATCTGTATATACAATGAAGTTTTTGGTACAAACCAAGGCCTTTAAGTGTTAGTTGCTATCTACAATAAAGATGCTATGTGCGCTTTTGCTTCTGAAAGGAATGCAGCAGTGATTAATAGTTGTAAGCTGTGCAGATGCAGGCAAAGATGGCAAGAATACATTGCTACCCAGGGTAGTTTTTGCTATATATTCAGTGTGAGCAAATGTTGTTTGTGACTCCACATAGGATAGCTGTACACTGCAAATTGTCTCTGCACTGCCTAATATTTTAAAGGAGCATTTATTGGGGAGTGTATTGAGTATCACACAAGACTATATAATATTGTTAATGCATGCCCAGATAGTAACTTCCCATGCTTGTGGGTTTTATGCTTCTACCCCAAACTAGAAATGTTATAAGTGAATGAAGCAGTTTACTATGTTCAAAATACAGTCTATTGTGGTCACCCAGTCCCACCTTCTGCAGTGGCAAGTCCATGTGGAACCAGTGTGGGATGAAGTTGCAGAAGTGTAAGTAAAGTTGTGATGGGGCATTCTATGAACTCACTCTTAGAATGGATGGTGGTGTTGCTTTTATTTTACTTTCTCTTTCATGTTTGCCACAAATTTGATTTTTTATTATTTGGGTTTGTGCTAGGAGCACTTTGAGGTCTGGAACTTGACTGTAACAATTATTTTTGCATTGCACTTATGAAACAAAGAATTAGTCAAAGTAAAAGGAAACAAATTGAATGTTCCCACCCCCTGAAAATACCTTTCTATTTAAGATAACTCCATTTGAATTAGCTTGTTTATTGGTATAATTAACACAAGAAGAATTAGCTCTTAAGGCATGCTTTCTAATTACAGTTTATACTTGTACCTACATTTTCATTAGAACTAGGATGGACTGAAATGTGGAAGACTGAAATCAGACAGCTGTTAGGCAACACTTTATTTTCACAGAGAGATAAATTGCATTGTCATGCAGATGTATTCCAAGACCTCAGCAGGCCTAATTCTATGCACAAATGTAGCACATATAATTACATTTTCTGAATGGAGTAAAGTTCCTATTATAAAGGAACTTAACTCCACAAGAAGGTTCATATTGTTAAGTTCATATTAAGTATAATTTGTATAGAAGTTTCAACTTAAGTGTCAGAGACAGGCACAATAAATGCAACTAGTCTCCATACAGATCACAGAAGGTACTGTGCAGCAGCAGCAGCAGCATGCTGAAAAGCTCCCCGCCCCACACTATATAATAGATAATGTAAGTATTATCCCTGTTTGTACCTGTATTGACTGGATGAAATTATTGGGTTGTACCCAATGCTCCACATGCATGGTATCACTGGCACAGCAGGACTTCCTTGAGGGAGCAGAGGGGCTAGAAGTATCAGGAAAGGAAGAGGACAGGGAAGTTGGTTTTGCCACCAGTGGAGCCACAGCATTGGATAAGGCCCATTGAGTGTGAGCTATATTCAGATCTCACAGCTTTCTGGAGAATTCTGCGTTAACTATAAGACAACTCTGGTGTCGTTGCTTATTGGGGTTCCTACTTGGTGCCATCATGTGGTGAAAGGGAAAGGAGTGGGTTGTATTCTATTGTCCACAGCCTGCGACTTTCTGGTTGAGTTTACTGCTGCAATCCAGACCTTGCCTTGGATAGCAATTTGCTGTGACGGGTAGTTGCTAGGATGCAAGTCTTTAGGACACACCTGAGGGAGAACCTTCCACATCTGGTCTATACTAGGACATTAATAGGAGACCACCCCTCCACCCCCCCATTACTATGGGTCTGAGATTCTGGCAACTCACATCAACTTCCGACATTCAGGTTGTGGTGGTACTATCAGCCAGGAATCAGGCAGCTTATTGACTGGATCCCTGCCCTCTATCACACCTAACACTGAGCTGCAAGAAATTTAGTTGGGGTCATTTGAAATCTACTTCAACCTACGTGTAGTCATCTGCACCTGCACCCAACTCCACACTGCTGGAACGCTAAAAGCAGTTGTCCACATGAGACTAAAAAGGGGTCCAGTGACTTTTTTTGGTAACTTAGAGATTGAGATGGCATGCTTTATTAGGTTTTTTGAAGAGAAGCGCAAGCGCTGATCTATTTGTGAAGGTGGTTGAATACTGAAACAACAAATGCAGTTGACGTGTTCTTGAATGGTACGTCATTTTAATTAGTACACTCAGCTGTAACAAAAGGGCAAGACAGATAATTTTGAAGTGGAATATTGCTGTGCAAGATCATTGGGCTATATCATTATCACTGTTACCTCCTCAGATCTGTAGTTGTAATCCTACCCCTGGTTATGCAGAATAGGCTACATACTCTTTCCATGGGTTGCATAAAGCAGAGAAACTATTGTTTGGAAATGAAAGTCTTTTGGTGACAGGTCCAGTGACAGCACAACAGCCTGCCTTATACTTTAGTGATTCCATGTACATCCTTACTAAGAAGTCCCTTTTCTTCAGTAGCTGGAAACAATCAGATTGGGCCTACAGTTGTATCTTTCCTTACTAATTCTTTAAACAGGAGTGATGGAGCCCTCAACAATAATGCTAATAGAGCATGATTTAGGGGTGTTTTTTGAATATATACATTGTACAGTGTGGAAGTTGAATGATGTATGAAAGGATTATGTGCCATCTCTTGGCAGTCCACTGAAGGTAGAACAGTCAAACTCCTTCCCCTTCCCCGGCCTGGTACAAAAAGGATTTGGATTGCAGGTGAAAGTATACATTTTACCAGAACAGCATTGACTGATGAAAGAAAATAAAGTTTCTGAGTATTGAATCTGTTTATTTAAAACATTAAGTGCTCAGCTAAACTAAAGCATTTTAGCAGCATGCCTGCAGGCAAAACTTTCAGATCTGACAAAACTCAGATTATAACAGAGGAGGAGTCATAAATGAAAATGCTCTATTAGCTCCTGCAGACCTTTACGCCTCTGCTATGGATGGCACGTACAACAGAGACTTCATCAGCAACCATTTGAGGTGTATCATTGTTATTTCCAAAGTAAAAATGGGAGATTTGGCTATTCAGTGAGTCTGTGGCCAAGACAGAATTTGACATTTTCAGCTCAGTGTTTTTGTTTGTTTGTCTGTATCCACCGGGACACACTGGCTTTCATGGGAGAATGCTCACTGCTAATTAACACATATGAATCGATTTCATGTTCATACTGTTTACAAAGTAGATCTCTCTTACACTTTCTTGCAGTGGACATTTGTATTACTTAAGAGAAATACCAAGAAGGACTGAGTTGTTGTTGTTTTTGCTGTTCCTTCTACAGCAAAAAAGTTGCAAACCTAAAAACAGTGGGAGTTTGCTTCTGGTGTCATTCTTCCCAAAGATTCTGCTTTCCCCCACCTATTGAGTGAGTTACAGCTGAAAGTGCTCCCACATTAGCTGAGAGAACACCAGATGCAGGTCTGCAAGACTGGTCAAGAGTTGTAAAGGGACAAGACTGAGCACAGTCACAACACCTTATCTGTGCATCTGTTTCTGATGGTTACAGGTACAGATGCAAGTTGGCAAAAAAACATTGAAACAAATTTTGCTTTATTCTTCGGCAAATACAGCAACTGCATATTCAAAATTTCCTATTAGTGAATTCCTAATTTGCAGTTTTTGACTGCAAAAGTGGTGTAAATTAGAGTAACCACCTTAGAGTACAGTACAACCAAACAGCTTTAATACTGGTAATTATGAGCAACCTTAGCAAAGTTTATAAAACTTGATGATAACATTTGGTTTAGTGGTGAGACAACTACAGACATTCTTGGAAGACACAGATTATTTAGACCTGTTCTAACCTGAGGAAAGCCTTGTTGCTTTCAGTGCAACTCAGTCATGATGTCAAACTTGCAAAGTACCCAGATTATTAGAAAAGTTTGAGGGTGAGATCCAATGTTAGCAGAGGTGCCAACTTCTCAAGATGATTGAGGGAGCCTGATGCGACATCCTAATTCCACATGCACAATATTATGAGTAGCCAGGGGGCAGAACCAAATGCCCTCTGAACATTGAGGGGGACTGGCTTACTAAAACAAAACAAAACAAAACACACCCAAAAAATATTGCTGGGCCGAAAGTGCCTCAACCCCTAGGAGCTTGTGCCTATGAATGTTAGTCATATTCACCGTATGAGTTTGTTGGATATTTCTCTGATATAATTATGTCTCTTGCACAATACAAAGAACACAATGTCTCTCTTCTAATAGTAGCAAGAGCTCTGGCAGATAATAAGCCCAGCTACACCTCTGCTACACAGCATAATACTACTGATTCAAAGTAATGGTGTTATAATCAGCAACAAAAATGAGTTTGTATCACAGCTGACACCAAAGAGCTTTAATTACTTATTAGACCTATATGACATTTAATTAAATAAATGCTAAAAATAACGTTTGCATAATCAATGTGACCACTAATATTTATTAAATGTAACAATTGTGTAATCTCATTAGTATTTGAATATATTAAAGGTAAAGGTAAAGGTACCCCTGACTGTTAGGTCTAGTCACAGATGACTCTGGGGTTGCGCGCTCATCTTGCTTTATAGGCCAAGAGAGCTGGTGTTTGTCCGCAGACAGCTTCTGGGTCATGTGGCCAGCATGACTAAGCCGCTTCTGGCAAACCAGAGCAGTGTGCAGAAACACCGTTTACCTTCCCTCCTGAGTGGTACCTTTGACGTGCTTTCGAACTGCTAGGTGGGCAGGAGCTGGGGCCGAACAATGGGAGCTCGCCCTGTTGCAGGGATTCGAACCGCCAACTTTCCGATCAGCAAGCCCTAGGCTCTGTGGTTTAGACCACAGTGCCATCAGTGCCCCTATTTGAATATATTAGTATAGGTGGTGATGCTGATCATTCAACAAAGTTGTGTATAGATTGCCTTATAAATGAATACAAAAAAATTGAATATGTTAGTATTCATTTATAAGGTAATCTATACATAACTTTGTTAAATGATCAGCATCACCACCTATACAATCAAAGTTGGCATTGGAAGAATTAGTTTGGGGGAACACTCAGATAATTAGGACAGTGTAGAATAATTATTTTGTAGGAATAAAAAGATGGCAAACACTATCATTAACTACGGGAATAACTCTATTATTTTATGTGATTTCTTAATAGACAATTTTTAGGATCCTTATATTCTCACTTAAAATGTATATGATTGTGACAAAATGGAAGAATGGAAAATGGGTAATTTTCTAAAGATAAACCTATGACTTGTTGCACCCTTAAGCATTATCTTTGTGAATAATACAGTGACTCAGTTTAGCTCTTGAAAAAGCTAGAGTGTGCTAAAAAAAATCAAGCAGTGTACCAATGTAATTGATTCCACCTCTTTCATATCACTGTAGTTTTCTTTTTCTTTTGAAGTAATAGCGGAAGATAAGGACAATACTTTATTTTAATTTTTTGCCCCCTGAGGCTGTGATCTTAAGCACACCATTTGGAAGCAAGTTTTGTTGATATGGTAGAACATCCTTCGTAGGAAATGCATTGAGGATTAAGGTACAAAGAAACAAACTGAGAGAAAATTGAACTACTTTAAGTGAAAACAATCTTGAGCAAAGAGTCCCATTAACATTGATCTGAAATTTACTGAGCAATTATAATTTTAGGACACGTACAAAAGGGTTTGCCATTCATCCTGCTCTGCAGGAAAGAAAGTGCCTCCATCCAAATGTCACTTTGATCCTCACTCAACCAAGGGTACATCCCTGGGTGAATTAACTGTTAACTAATCAGGCAGCGTAGAACTGACAGGAGGTATCTGTTCTTTATGCAGCAACCTATTTGAAAAGTTACGGCTGAGTGGTGCTTATCTGTCCTTTATATTTAGTGTGCATGTTACTTAATTTTGGGAAGGAGACCTCTGCTGTGTTTAACATTAATAAAAATTATGGTAGCTAGTAAAAATCTTGATTCATCTATTTTGACTGCATTTTCTATTTGCCATGTTAGTCAGCTCAAATACATCCTAGTACATCCTAGTGCAGTTATATTTATGGTCTGTCCTTCCTCCAGTGGGCTCAGGGTTTCACACATGGCTCTTCCCAGTCAACTAACTACCCCCCCCCCATTTCATTAGCACAACAACCCCATGTGGTTGGCTAGAGAGAGAAATAGTGGCTGGCCCAAGCTCCATGCAGCAAGCTTTGTGGCTGGGGACGTATTTGACCCCAGATCTCTCTGACAATAGTTTGACACATCCAACAAACCATTTTGGTAAAATACCATCCTTTCCAATCTGTCTATAAGAGGATTAAGAATCACAAAACATTTCTGCAAAGGTGCCTTTAAAAATCCTAATTTAATGGAATGGTTTATAGCAGCCTAGAATCAACTATCAACATCATTCTGGAACTCTCTTAAGACAAGCCTGCAGCTCTCCCATTTCCATTAACTTGTTTCAGTAATCAGACACATACTAAAGGTTAAAAACAACAACCCACCAAAACTTAAAAACAAGTTTTTACCAGTTTTATAAAGCTCTCAGAAGAAAAGCTTTTTCTATAGTTAAATTATAACAAGAAAAAGAGACCTTTGCTCCCAAATGCATCTACATAATTGTGAGGTACTCTATTCCCATGTACCTCAAGACCGTTAAATATGACTATTTGCTGGCATTCATCTTTGAAAATAAAAAAGGAGTTGAAACACTTTCCTCTTTTTTAGAACTGAGTGTGAAAGAAAACAATTTTGCATTACTTTGATGTATTCTTGGACGATGTATGCTTGTTTCATTAGGATAATAAGTGAAAAGGGGTAGCTTCATAGTGCCAATGGAAGGGAAGCCATTGATAAATTTAGTGGCAACTGTGGACGAAATGAAGACAGCCAATGCAAAACAAAACAAAACCCTGAAGGAAGTGATTATATATATTTACAATTACTCTACAATCTGATTTCAAATTATTCAGAATTGCACTATCCTTAGATTAAGGGGTTGGTTGAGTGGAGGAACAAGTAGAGATGTTTAAAGTTATTGCTATAGACCAGCCCAGAGCAGGATTTATTCATAATGATCACAAAGAACAGATGGCTAATGGGTTTCAATCCATGCCCGAAAGCAGTGGGGTATTTTCTATGCTTAGTCCCAATACCATGGCTGGATGCCCAACACAATATGTGGTGCTGAAAAAGAGATCTGCAGGTGAGGACAAGGTCGAGTTACACAGAATGACACAGAAGGCTGTAAGGGGAAGATAGACAAGTCAGAGCAGTCAGCATCAGACTGAATTCAGGAAACTGGGGTGTGGAAGTCACAGAAAAGAACCAAGTGGAGCATAAGAAGCTGTGGCAGCACAATGAAAAGCTACGTCAGTTACAAGATAAAGCAGCAGGAGCAGCAGTAACAACAAAATATGTAAGTGAAACAGCTGTGCCAGCAGGCATTATACAAGGGAGAAGGAGGGATGCACAAAGCTTAGGAATGCATGCAGGTGCTAAAATAAATTCTGCCTTATCCTTCTCATATCAGGAGGAAAGATACCGTGCTTGGGAGTGAATGTGCAGCTGCCATTGTTTAGATCACTAGATATGCTTTTGCTCACCTTACAGTTTGCTTGGGAAAGAAATCATTCTAGGACCCCAAAGTAGGAGTCATTTCATTGTCTGACAGCTATTAACATGCATTTTGGTTGTGTAAATAGCAGCCAAGAAAAAGCCTAAACTGTGCCTTGGGGCTGTGCAGCCTGAGAAGGGGCAGCTAAACTTTTTCTCTCCCTGAAACAATTATGTCAAAAACCTCCTTGTTGGTCTTTGCAGTTACTTCCTATTGGTGCTGGTTTGGCCCTAACAAAACCTGTTAATTTCTACTTGCATTAATTCATATATACAGCATACAATTGCTCTCCTGAATAAATTTGTTGGTCAGTGGCACAATCTTAGGATAGCTACTTGTGCAAGGAATCCTCTGCTCCAGCAGCGAAACCTTGAGTGGCTGTAGCAAACCTCAACCAGAAACCTAAACTAAACCTGTTTTAAACAAAATCTGCATTCTTAGGTTTCAGTTCATGCTCCCTGTAGGCTCACTTTCAGTTTTAAATGCAGCTTATGAACTTAGTTCTCCTCATAATGCCAGACCTGGGGTCATTAAATGAAGCTGGGGTCATTAAATGAAGCTGAAAGGTGGGAGCAATAGACAAAGGAAGTAATTATTCACACAGCACATAGAATTTTCTACATTAACTTCCACATCAGAAGCAGCTTGCCTCTGAACACCAGTTGCTGGGAAAGGCTACAACCAATGCACTTGTGTCCTGCTTGTGGTCTTCCCATAGGCATCCGGTCACAGTGGAAAGAATGCTGCTCTGATCTAGCATTTATTCTCTTATTTGTGAATGCATTACTGAAGGTATACATCAGGTATAGGCAAACTCAGCCCTCCAGATGTTTTTGGACTACAGTTCCCATCATCCCTGACCACTGGTCCTGTTAGCTAGGGATGATGGGAGTTTGCCTATACCTGGTATAGATAATCTGCTGGCATAGATAAGTGTGTTGTTTAGGAATGATAAATAACACCTTCTATATATCAGGATAATACACCACTATGCTGGAAATAAGATAAAGTCCATGCTCATTTTTAAATATGCTCAAAGCGTTTCTAATTTTGCACTTGTGATCTAGTAATCACGTTCAGTTAATGTACAGAAAACTGTATACCTGTCTTCCAACTTATTATATTATATTATATTATATTATATTATATTATATTATATTTTTAAATTAGCATACTGCCCAAGAGCCTAGGGTGGTTCACAACAGAGAAACACAAAAAGAGAATACAAAATACTCAATGAAACAACTTCCACCCCCAATAATCCTCATCCCACAAACACATTTTTAAAAGCCATAGAATTTTAGTCACCTGAACACCTGGGAGAAGAAAAACGTTTTCACCTGTGCCTAAAGATATGTAATGAAGGCACCAGGTGAGCCTCCCCAGGGAGAGCATTCCACAAATGGGGAGCTACCACAGAAAAGGTCCATTCTGATGTTGCCACCCTCTGGACCTTTCATAGAGGAGGCATACAAAGAAAGGCCTCAGATGATGATCACAGGGTCTGGGTTGGATCATATGGGCAGAAGTGGTTCTTAAGGTATTGTGGTCCTGAACCATTTAAACCAGCACTTTGAACTGGGCCCAGAAACTAATTGACAGCCAGTGCCAGTCAGGCCAGATCAGTGTAATATGCGCAAACTGTCTTGCCCTGTGAGCAACCTGGCCACCAAATTTTGCACCAAATGACGTTTCTGAACTATCTTCAGAGGTAGCCCTACATATAGTGTGTTGCAGTAATCCAACCTAGAAGCTGTCCCTGTCCAGATAAGGACACAGCTGGGCTATCAATTTCTCTTCTCTTATTTTGTTTGGAATCTCCCCATAGCTTAGATTAATAATTAATAAGAAATTGCATTTCTTTAATCTGGTTGTATTAATCTGTGATGATCCATTATTAAAAAAATTACAACTACGACTAATCAATGAAATTAGATAAACTTGTTACAGCCTTCTGGACATAAAAAGAAAATATAAATGGTTACCTGTTGTGCAGCATGCACAGAAATTTATTAGATAAGGGCAGCTAACTGGCTTTCTTCAAATCATTTTCATCTGGTTCCTATAATGCCTCTAACAAATTTTAATCAAGGTATGGTTAAAAAAACAACCTTGCCCACAATTTAATTTGTAAGGCAAAGAAAACTGTTGTCAAAAGTTTTGACAGGCAGAGATATCAGACACTTTAAAGTATTTCATTTCTCTTTTTGTTTTGTATTTAATTTTCTAGTCATACCTGTCTCAGTCATATGCTGAAAAGTGGTGCTGACTTTATTATAGATGTTGACATTCCATGAAAGTATTGGGTTGTGCAGCAAAATATACTTCTGTCTGAGGAATGGAAAAGCCTCCTGTAATATAGGTTGACTGTCCCAAGTTTAGGGTTGGTTGTATTCATTATTATCATTGTTTTGCTATCATCCACCCTCTACCCTACAGTTCCAAGGTTACAACAACATAAATAGTAGAAATTAAATCCAAACCGTGTTGCAGAGTAGATGTCTTAGCCAGAGTAACATGAATGGAGTTGTAATGTCTGCCTGTTTCATCAAATAATGGAAGTGTCTTTTCATTCTCATTCGTGATTTTTTCCATTGGATTTTATCTTGTACAGTGTCAGTTATACTCGTGTATGTTTCAGGGAACATCTGTAGGCAAATGATGTACACTGCCATTGACGTATGGCTCTTCTTTTTAATTTTTTTGTACTTTTGCACTACAAAAATGTACAGGATTTAAAGCACACACTACATGTTCCAGCCCTCCCCACAGCTGCCACAGAAGCTTTCAGGAAACTGTCAAGTACCACTGTTTCAGCACTTGCAATTTTATTTTGAAATGAGAGTCAAATGTGCCTAAATTGGTGTGTTATAGCCCTGGTTGTAGGGTTTGTTCATGGCGTGAAACTGGAACTGGCAGCCTGTCTGATCTGTGCTCCCTATAAAATATGTGTAACATATTTTGCCAAACTGGTGGTGCTAGTTCTGGTGTTTGGGCCAAATTTCATCTAAATAATTATGCTCCGCTACTATTCTCTTTGCAGTTTCAGTTGAAAATACATTCCTTTCCCCCACATCTTGCTAACAATTGCTTTACCCGTGCCAGCAGAGTAAGGGTTTTGCAGTGAAGCTCAGAGAAAATTATACTCCTGTGGGTCCAAAATATGTTACATTCATTTTTCTGAGATGTGTTACATTTTGTTAGTTTCACGTCCATAAAATGCTTTGAGGAAACTGCACTGAAACTGTGCATAGTGAGTCTGTTTCAGCAAGTCTGCTGTTTGGGAACAGAGCTACCTCTTTAAGAGAAGGCTGTGCTTGCATATGGTTTAAGGCAGCCTAATCCACAAACCAGTTACAAAGGATTACTTGGATTTAAGAGATTTAGTCACATTGAAGTCAATCCCCAATCTTAAACATGCTTGCTTGCAAGTAAATCCTATTGATTTTAATGGAACTTTTATAAAATTGTGTTTGGGGTTGAAGGCTAGATCAAGTTATATCCAAGTGCTGTGGCTTACCTCATTTACGAGCAAAGTCACAATTTACACCATTTTGCTTGGTTTTTTACAATAAAACAATGAAGTCTGGCTGGCAGATTTCAATAAGCCTGGCAGAATTCTCAGGGCAATATTCTAAATTTGCAGTATGAATGGCTGTTGGTGTCCATTCAGATAAGTATGTAACAACAGGCTGTAGTGCTTCCCTTTGTTTATAATTGATGACAAAGTAGGAAAGATAACACTTTAAACTGAATTGGACAAAAGTTCAAACCAGGACATGGTGTGAAATCACATGAATAAGCAAGCTTGCTGAAAGTCTATGCCTGGTCAGAGACTATTTGGATACCCTGTTGTGCCAACTTTTATGTCCATGGATGAAAGGTACGTACATTACAAATACAATAAATACATAAAGTATAAGCAAGCAAGCAAACAGTGTCTAGGCATTCACTGGGGCAGGCTGCATTTGTATATCAACAAAATAATGTATTGGCACTATTATATGCATAGTTTTTAATGAAACTTTTAGCTATGCTGTGGGGGGAAATGATGCAATCCTTTTTTCACTTACTTGGGAGAAATTAGCTGCACAGAATTAGCTAAATGTATACTACTGGGCAGGATATTGGCTGCATTCACAGGGCAGTTTATTCCATTGCCCCAATAATTCTCCATTATATTTGAGCTTTCATGTGATGTAAAAGCTACTTCTGGCAAACTAATAGAATGCATGTTTAGCCCTCATTTCCTCCACTTATAGTCTGAAGTCATGCAGGCCAGACACAACCTTAGCAATAAATAGGCCAGCATTATTTTTATTTATTTATACCTTGATTTTCCTCCAAGGATCTCAAAGTAACATATTTGGATCAATTCCTCTTTTATCTTCACAACAATGCTATGAGGTAGGTTAGACTGAAACATAATGACTGACGAAAAACCACCCAGTGAACTTTGTGGCTCTGAATGAGAGTTTGAAACTGGATCTTTCCCATTCTTGATCAATACTCTAACAAAAAGACTGTGAGTAAGGTACATGTTTGTTGCTGACAGTGGGGCATATATGCTTATATGAAGCATAATTGTATGGTTGCAGAATTCTATACAAGTAGCCATTCTATTTGAGTAGCCATAAATTCCAGTCACGCTCATTGTAAATTCTCATCAGACTGGCTTGTTGTGTTCCACAAGCTTCCAGACCTCCGAAAGAGGACAGATTATTGTAACAAGCCCTGCCTTGAGTCAAAGCCCTTAACTAAATCTAAGAGACCAATACAAACTGATCACAGTGGAGAAACTGAGTTCAGGTATTCAAGGCTATGTCCAAAGGTTTGCAGCCACTCAGGGAATGGAGGGGTCTGGCAAGTGGATTCAATGTACAGGCATATGCTGCACCAACATTGCAGAGAGTGAAGAGCTGATGTGGGTGCTATTTAACTCACCCCCATTCTTCTCATGGCATCTTCATCTGGCAGGCTACCCACCTTCCACCCTACTGGCAGTGAAGCTAGTGTCTGGTCACCTTTGCGGGGACTGATAGGAATCAGCTTTGCTGTCAGGTTTATTTCCCTACTCTGTACTGATGTGGTGGGGGTATTCGCAGGGGTGGGGTAGTCATTAAAAAGGCTAATAGGCACATTGGCAGGTTGGTTATGAGGAAGTTAAGGGAAATAAGGTTTATTTCCCTACTCTGGACTGATGTGGTGGGGGTATTAGCAGGGGTAGGGTAGTCATTAAAAAGACTAATAGGCACATTGGCAGGTTGGTTATGAGGAAGTTAAGGTTTGGTGAGCACCCTTGGACAGGGGAGGGGTGCAGTCCTGATACTGCCTTCAGGGCTGTGGGACATGATGACAAGGTTAGGAAGCAACTATGGGACCCACCTGTAACACTTGCATGGAGAATGGAGTCCACTCTCCCCACTCATGTGAAAGGGAGGGAGTAGAGGATGGGATACCCCAGGCCCGGGCCCTGGGCAGGGTTGGCTTGCCCACAGTTTGGTTATTAGTTAGGTCTTGCACCTTCTTCCTGCTTTGCAAATCATTTTGGGGTTTAAATATGGGTTTAATTGGGTTTTAATATGGCCCAGTTCTTTTGCAACTTGCTTCTTCATTTCCTTGTGTGGTTGCAAACATACTTCAGTTTGCCACTGTGGTAAGAAGTTGTGTAAATAGAAGTTAAAGTAGCTACATGACATTTAGTGTTCAGCAGCTGTGGCAGAATATTGTGTATTAAGCTGAACTTAAATCTGAAAGAAATATTAATACTTTCTACCAATACATTATGGAAGCAGTTAATACGAACTAAGCATAACTGTGGCTTCCCTCATTATTATGTACCCCTTTGAATTCTACATGATAAATTAACCTATAGAATACCTCTAGATAATTAAGCAAATAGGAAAGTGTTTGTTCCTATAAAACAAAGTTTCACATGCATGCATTCACATTAAAGCAGCAAAATAAACATCCTTTTAATGGTTTCAAGTGCAAATTTGAATATTAAAAATAAGCACAGACCCAGCATGCAGTCTTGCTGCAAGCAAAGGAGAGAGCTGGGCTTGCTCTAGATAAGCTGCCTCTGCAGAACTTTCCTTTTCTGTACCTTTCTTTTCTGCACCTATTTCTGTCAACCTGTTAGTGTTGCAGCCTATGCTGTAACCATTTGGAGACTATCTGTGCATCACTAATAAGAGAACGAAAGAGTACACAGATTCACATGAAATTTTGATATGATCCTATAATTGAAAGAAGCACATGGTACATATCACTACGGTAGAGAAGACTGTGACAAGGTGGTTTTTGTGCCTGCTTAGACTGATAAACATTCATGGCCAACTCCAGGGCCTCTGCTTTCTTATGGTTTTTTAACTTCATAGTGGACTTGGACCAGACATCCCATTGTATACAGGATATGTCATACAAAGGTCATTTCTCTGTAAAATGGGAAACATGGTCACAAAATTTAAATCAGCTTACTATTGTGGGCTACTTAATGTTGCCTCCTCTTCCCTTTTTTTATTGCTGCTTGTTATACGTGCCACAAAATGATTCAGGCAGTATAAAGAGTCCACCCAGGGCAGAAGAAGAGTATATGAGCTGTGGGAGGAGGTGTGGGAAAAGGGGCAAGTCAATAAGGAAATCATTCAGAAACCTGGGTCTCTGGTGGTTCCTTCTTCATTTCTAGGCTGTTTCCTAACCCATCCCCTGGGGGTGGGCAGGAGGAGACTCAGACATAAACCAATGCAGAGGAAATGCAATGTAAATGAATTACCTAGAATAATGTTGTGAACCTTAATTCTTGAAAAATATATTACTGTAATCCAGTAAGGTTATATTTTTGCTTCATTATCATTTTTTTTAAAAAAGAGGATTGAACCAGAGGTATGCTCTAATGATAAAATTCAACATGATTTGAGTCATGTTGAGTCATACTCTTCTTTCAGGGGGGATTTATTTATGTACTATGAAGACGGATTCTAAACTTTTTATGGCCTTTAAGCCATCCCACTTACATGGACAGGTTTGGATCATTGGGCCTTGATGTGAGTGCACATGTCTAATACAAAAATAGACATGCAATCCAGTGTTGATTCTGTTGCCCCTTCTTCATGCAGTTGAAGGTATGCATTTTCATTAATTTCACATTGCAAATTAGGATGCATATACTAATGTATTATTTGAGGCTACTACACTGATTTCCCCCCTTGGTTTATTACTTGTTTGTGATGTCCTGCTATATTAAACTATCACTGGATCAGAGTTCCCATTTTTCTTTCTTTCTAACTACTGTTAAAAAGCAGTGAAAAAGAAGAAAAACTCAGGCAGAAAGCTTTGTTTAAGGAAAGAGTGATATTAAGGATGACTACCAATCAATTTAATGATATCCAGTGCAGAACGGGTGCACTCTGGAAAATCAGTTTTCAGTTTCCAGACCTTAGGTACTCCTTCCCTCAGCAATGCCCTCTTTAAATTGACCACTTGAAATATTCATCATAATTTTATTTGACCTTCAGTTAAAAGCCATATTTTCTATGCAACCATTTTTGCTGGATTCCTGGGTGTATATTCATTTAGTGAAAATATAATCTGTGTTTGAACTTGAGCCAAAATTCTAGAGTTTTCCTAAGCATAGCTGTGTATTGTCATGAAAATGATTAACAAGGTAATGTAAGACTTGTATCTCAGTCTAGTGAAAGCAAAAATAATGAGGAACAATGCTGGTAACAAACTAATTTCAAGACAGAAAAAGGAAAGAGAGCAAATGGTTTCGCCTTACTCAACGCCACAATAAACCATGGGAATGAGTCTAGTTCATGCACTCCTGCTTCTCCTCTCCTGCTCTGACTTGGCTGCGAGGAAAAGCTTTTGCTTCCATATTTGATTTACCACAGCTTCTTGTAACTTATGAACCCAACAAACTGTGATTAATCTTAACTATGGTCTGTTCGAATAAGCTGACTTCAGCCTATGGGTTGTGAAGCTGGATTGCTTCAACGAACCAAAGTAAAGCTGAAGCACAATTTACAGTTCAGACATAGCACTGAGCTATTTCTTCATGGCTGCAGCGAAGAAAGAGAGGGAAAGTATGTGAGCCCAAAGGTCATTACAATCAGAATAAACTATAATTTATTGTGGCATACGAATGTAGCCACTGTATATAGTAGCAAATGCAGGTTTCTCATTGTGTTTATTGTGTATTAATGAAAGCTGACTATGGCATGCGTATCACACAAACTCATGAGATCATGTGCTATAAATTCATGTGTGAAAATTATACTTCTTTTTAGAAGTAAATCTCTGTGGTGTGCAAAATATACTTCTTTTCTAGAAGTCAAGTTCTATGGCGAACTTAAATGGTATTCGAGGATGCATGTTTACAAAGGGAAAGGGCGGAAATGAAAGAGTGCTCTCTGCCTTCCTCTTCTATCCACTTAACATAAATAGGTTTCCTTTTCTGATCAATGGCTGCTATTTAAAAATGCTTTGGAAACTTCTGGCATTTTGGTAATGGGAAATTAAAATGTAATTATTGTCTCAATGGAACCGTCTAGAAGTTGAGCTAGGGAAGGAGAAAGTACGGTATATGTGACTGGAAACCCAATCATTTAGATCTGTGCAGGTGTATCTGTCTGTAAGGCTGGTGGTGCAGTTGTATTGCAATATCAACCCAAATGACCTATTGTGTTTTGCTGGTTTCTGAAGTCTTAGGATCCATCTCTTCTGACGTGATAGATGAAGAAAGTGAAATAAAGTTTAGAACAGCCAGTCATTCTCAACCCTCTGAAACTGAGAAAACAAACCTTCCTTTCCACTCTACTACATTACTTACCACTTAACTCTTCAGTAACAAACATAATCCGTTGATACCATTACTAAATGTCCATTAATCTTGCAATCTCCCTCCATAAGAAAAAAATACAGGGGTATGTGCTGGGTTGAGGGAGTGGGGAATTTCACCCTTTGCCTACTGTTGTAATCCTGATCTGGATTCCCCTTTTCTGCTTTTCTTCCTCAAGCAAATAGCAGGTGTCAATGTAGATTAGGAGCCTCTTATCTTAAGATGTGGTCCTAGTCCATATCTGCCCATCTTTGCTGATTATTTGTGGAAGAAATACCTTGCACTCAGGGGCAAATCATATGAGTAATGTCTTGTGTAATTTGACCATTAGAATTGGTGGAAGCAAAATATTACCTTTAGATTTCAGGCAGTTTCTATCAGTTTCTGCCCAGTGTTACTACATCAATAAGCTACCTATTTATCTTGCTGTCTATAAAGTGTGAGGGAGTTTTATTTACATATATAAAAAGATATATCTAATATGGGCTTTTGACTGTACCATAAGCGCCACTAAACAAGCAGGCACATTTCAATATGTATCACTGTGCTCATTCAGGAGAAGTAATAGCCTGTTAAACCAAAGCACGTTAACAGGTAAGTTTTATGGTTCTTGACAAATATGTATATGAACACTTGCAACCACATTTGGTTGCTGTTACTGTACTTGGATCATATCTCTGATGCTCTGAAAGGTCTAATTTTCTCTGCCACTTCAACATTTTTAAAATAAAATGGTATTGAAGAAGCAACATGCTTTTGAACAAAAGCCTTCCAGTATTTTAATTATAGTTTAAAAAGCCAAAGATCTGATAATTAGTTTAGATTCATCCCATGCTAACGTTGGTATCTCTCTCTCAAGCACAAAAATCTCATTCTAATGTATGCTAAATTTAAATCTAGCCTAAAATTGCTAATTGTGATAGTAATTGAGTATATGAGTTTTAAAATCTAAATGAAATTTGGTGAGTGAATATGTATGTGTGTGTTTTTCTGATTTAGAGGAATAAGCTCCTCTTACATGTTCAGTGAGGATTCCACAAATTGCGACTTAGCTAAATCATCAGCCATCATTTGCAGTTTATATTGCCCCACAAGTTCTGTGGTATGGGCCAAAATGGCAAAAATAAATGCTAAAAGACTTTTTGGCCTGGAGAAAATTTGATGAAGGAAGGATTTGATACATTTATTAAATTATATACGGTGTGCAAAACAGCTCCTCCGATAAAGCTGTTAGGGTCACCCAATGAAATTGATTGGCAATATATTACCTTCCTTACACAATGCATAAGTAATTTATGGAGCTCTGACAGAAGATGTGTCGATAGCCACTGGTTTAGGTGTCTTCATAGGGTGATAGACCTATCAGTGACTGTTAGCTACAATAGCTTAGTATAACCATATGTTAGAGGTAGGACTTACATACAGTATTTGAAACATGGTTGCTGTGGATGAGCAATGGGGAAAGGCTACTTTCCTCAATTGCTTTTGGTCTGTGTTACCAGCTCCTAACAAAGCTTCCCAACCATTAGCACAACAAAAAGTAGGTCCTTCCAACACCACTACCTCTGCCTTCTAAAATTCCGAACAGTGTGGCCTGGGAATAAGAGACCCAGGGATTACTTGCACAAAGGCAGGTAGAAATAACAGTTTTGCTGTTTTTAGCTTACATCAAAACAGATTTTTACTTTTTTAGCACTTAATTTATCATTTAAGTATGTTTTTCTGTGAGAGAGGGGGTAGAGAGAAAGATGGGGATGGGGAAGAATCAATTCCATTCTCTATTGCAGCTAATGGCATCTACCCTCCAACAGATGGCCACTGTGCTACACTTTTGCTGGGAGCCTTCATACATCTCTGGGGTGCACAATCTGTGGCCCTCCAGATGTTTCTGGACTGCAACTCCCATCAGCCCCAGCTGGAATAGCCAGTGATCAGGGATGATGGGAGGTGTCATCCAACATCTGGAGGGCCACAGGCTGTGCACCCCTGATTTATCTGCAGCTAACTGCATCTTCTGTTGGTGCAAATTTGTAGTACCATAGTTGAAACAGCCACTTGCCTAAGCCAGTCATATTATGAGTCAGTTTATACTTCTTTTCAGCACACAGCCAATCCAGTAGAAACACACACACACACACACACACACACACAAAATCTTATGATTTCAATGGAAGAAAAGTAAAGACAAATGCAAGAAGCCATACTATTTGCAATTCATCCTTCGCTGCTAGACTTGTTTATTTTGAATTATAATAAATTATGTAATTGTTGATAGGAAAAGTCACACACATGCATGCCCACTTCCATTTATGGTACTGCAAAGTTGTATTGCAGCCTCAATGAAAATGTGGGTGTGCTTTCAAAGCCTTGGCAGCCTGTAGTGACCTTCAGGAAAAATGAAATGCTCTGCTGGCTAGGAAAACAATTGAGCTGAAACCACTGAGGCGCAGTCAACTCAGAGATAGACTTCCCAAATTAAAAGCTGTTAGCAACAGCTCCAAACAAGATTGGAAAGTGAGAGCAGAACATATTTCTTGAAGGTGATTTATGCAATGAATAAGGCATGATCAAGAGCACAAACCTCTCAGAAAGAGGAATACCTATTAAACTGAGCAACCTGGACTTTAAACTGAACATCACTGTCGTCAAAAGTCTGGGCACAAAGTGGTGTCAGAATCACAATTTGTTTAAACAAATAGATAAATGCAAACTGATGACCTTTTAACACACAGGGACATAAAATACATCCGTAGCTTCAAGTAATTAATTTGCAACAAGCACATCCTGATTTCCCCCCTCAAGTATCTTTTGACAGAATGTTCACACAAGAGCATTAGATATTTGTAATGACCTTTCCTGATTATAATGTATCAGGCAGGCAACAATGGAGTTTTCACTGCATTCCATATTAATGTCAATTAGCTTGGTGTAACTGGGAAGAAAAGGTCAAGGCTTAAATTAGCCCACAAATTCCCCATAAATTAATAAATGTTTTAATATGGATAAGCACATAAAGACCCAAATAAGCTTAAGCCCCAAAGAAACCCTAATTATTTCAGTTCTCTGCAACAGAGAACAATCCATCTAAAATGCTGGCATATGTTTTAGGAACTTTCTAACCCAATCTTTGTTGTTTTTTTGCCCAAAAGTTAATGTAAAATATTAAAGTATTTGAAAGATGTCTGAGGAAGTGATTATGTATGTATTGGTTCAGAATGTGGTTCTATCCCAAATTTTGAGCTGGATGAATTTGTCTTTTGAACCAGGTAATATCATTCCTGTATGATATTCAGGTTAGTGTTTCCCTAAAATTCAGCAAAGTGAAGGCAAGATATTTAAAATAGAAATATTTGTACTTATATTTAAAACACCAGCAATTAATCAGGAAATACAGGACAGAAGATTGAAATAAGAATAAAACAACAACAAAACTAGATATATTTTTTAGTATAGTGCTTGTAAATTTGTTTTCTTTCTTTTCCATTCAGCATATCACATACAAAAATCCCAACTGAAATTTCCTTTCTCCACATATATGTATTTTCATGTTCTTTCTCTCACACACTAACCTGCACCAGGCCCTTTACTCGTCCTTGCAGAAATTTCACTGTTGAATTCTGTTTTAATTCTGTTGAAAAACAAATCATTTTGTAGTATTAATTCTGAAAATTTGTATTACGGACACAAGGCAGCTTGATTTCGCATCCTGGAAATGAATCACATGAAGCCTTCAGTTAATTCTCTAAGGACATTTTAAGACAATATAACACACCTTTGAAAAGCTTGCTTTAGTCATTTATTTGTTGATGTAAATGTTGCATTTTATAGCAGCCTTTCTTAATTTAAAATAAATTATAACAGCAGAGTGAAGAATTCCCTATAAAGCGGTGGTGTACTTCATTATTTAAGCAGTCCAACTTCTGTTTGATATGGCCCTATTTATCACTGAGGATATTTTATCTTTATTGTTCCTTAAAAAGAGCAGTCACCTGTACATTAAAGCCAATTCCCAGCATTCTGTTATATGAGCATGACCAAGAAAGGGAACCTAGGATGGGCTGTGCAAGTAAAGAGGCGCACTATGTAGATAGAAACAGGCTTTATTTTCAAATGTTTGGGTCTCCAATAACACAAGGCAGGTCTAATCCCACCACAGTGATGTCTGAGTGCATCCCTTTACATTTGCAACCTTAAATGAATAGGTGTTATTTACTCCAAGTGGGAAAATGCTGTTTTGATAAGAATGTCCCTCCATCTCTAACACAGAGCTCAGTGGTGGAACTTGACATCTCAAATTTCAGTGGCACCATGGTGATGCCAAAATCTGGCACACACCCCACCTCTTGCCTTCCACTAGACCTCATAGTTGCAGTGCCTGGTATGGTGCTCCTGGGGTCACCAAACAAGTTGTGCTCCCTTAGAGCCACCTTTGCTGAGCTCTCCCTTAGGGTTTTCATAGGAAGAGCATACACTATAATTAAACGTTAGGACCATTTAATTATAGAAGTGGAAGTCTTGGGGAATAGAGTCGCATCCATACCCAGTTCCTGGTAACTGTAGTCCTTCCCCCACATAGCTATTATTCTGAGCATCATGTCTTTTCAAGTGCACATGTGCCCTAAGTCCACACCCCCTGCTCAGTCCAGGATTTATAATTCAAAATGCAACTACAGCATTCCTGAGATCAAGCCTCTGCTTAAATACCTATGGTGAAAGAGAGCACACCAAATCCCAAGGCAATTTGCACCACTGTTTAACAACTCTTACAGTTGGACAACGTCTCCTAATATTTAGCCAGCAAATGCTTGTCTGCAATTTCCATCTACTGGCAGCAGTCATGTCTTCCAGGGCAACAGATAACAAGTCTGTTCTATCTTCTGCATGTCTTGCTTTAATATTCTGATCTCCAGGGTAGATATATCCAGCTCTTTCAATCATTTCTCATTGTTTCCATGCCTATTACTATCCTGTGGACATGCTCTAGTTTGTAATGTCCTTCTTAAAATGTTGCACCCAGAACTGGACACAGTAGACCAGATGTGCCCTGTGCTTCACTCTGACCATTACTGAACAGAGTGGAGCTGTTATTCCCCATGATCTGGATGCTATATTTATGTTAATGCAAACTAATAGTACATTTACTTCTTTTGCAGCTATGCACTGCCTTGTTTAAGGTTGTGGTCCACCAAGACACCTAGATCCTTTCTACAAGTAATGCTGTCAAGTTAGGCTTGCCCAATTATACTTTTGTGCCTTTAATGTTTTGGCCCTAAATGCAGGACATTAGCTGTGTAAAATTTCATTTTGTTGGTTGCGGTCCAGTGTTACCGCTAGTCAATATCGTTTTGAATCTTGATTCTCTCTTCTGTGATGCTAGACAACCTTCCCAATTTCATGTTACCTGCAAACTTGATGTCTGCTCCCTTATCCAAGTCATTTATAAAAATGTTCTGAATGTCCAAACATGTATTTACATGTTTTGATAGTTTTGATTTTTTTCCCACTGAATGCTGACAGTAGTATTCATTTTTCTCAATATACCACAAAACAAAAAACTCTTAAAGGCATAATCTAAGAAGTCTTTTGGAGCATTTATGTACTGGGTTTGTTTTGTTTTTAAAAATTGAAATAGCAGCTGCAGGGGCCTTCATGATTAGTATGGGGGCCATGACTCATGAAGAAGAGGATTCCTCCCATGTCACAGTGCTGGTGATACGCTGCTATTTCACATGGAAAGAACTCCATTTGCCTCATGGTAACTTTCTTTACCATATAAAAAAGCAGTTTTAGGGGGAATTTGTATGGGTGATGGCAAAGGAGGAAAACATTGAAATCCTGGGGTAGTATTCAGCTAAGTTCTACTCAGAAATTGTACTTGAAAATTGATGCAGATGTCTAAGTTAGTTTACTGTACTCCATTTAAAACTTAGTTGAATACCATCTCTGTTGGTATTCTCAGTTTGGTCCTGGCTGTTATTTCTGACAGCGGTTCCTTGTGCTGCATTGCTGCTTCACTGGGTCTAGTGGGCAGCTAGTGAAGCAAGTTCTAGAAGGCGAGGATCAAAAATTATGCTGTGCACATTTAGCTTTCTACATAGCTTTCTGCACTGGGGTCATATGCCTCTAGGTGGATAAACTTGGTGGCCAATCCGTATATTGGTGACTAATAATTAGCACAGAAAAGCAAGAGAAGTTATTTAAAGAAGGTTTAAGAAACAAAGGAAGAAGTGGAACTAAGGTTTCTCTAATGATATACATCCATACTTAGTCATCTGCTACATAATCAATATTATCAATAATATCTTGAGGCTTGTCCTTCTGGTAACACTTCTAATTGCTTAAATACTCTCTACTATGCTGCTTTAATTAGTATATCCAACCATCTATTTTTAATGCCCCTAAAAGAAATATGGCAATCAGAAATGTCTTTTGGGTGTGCATTACTTTAAAGGAACCATTTTCAAATAGAATTAAATGCTCAAACCTGTTTCACCTATAAAATAAAGATTCTTAGAAAAACAATAATTCAGTCACATAAAGATTTGTTATCTAAAGAAATGGCCAACTTAGAAATAGATTAGCTATTTAAGACTAATTTGGCCATATGTCTAATGGGTATGGTTCATAAACCTACACATAAAAAGCTTTGAAATGGAGAGTGGATGGTAAAATTACCCCAGGTTTTATCTTCTTTAGTTTGACTATTTAAATAGCTAACTCTTTCCTAACCTGACTGCTGTAAAAAATATTATCACATAGCCAAGAACGGCTTGCTGCCTCGGAGACAGAACAGAAATTTTATTGGTGTATTGTCCAACAGCTTCCCTAACCTGAGCTGATGGAGGTGGTCTTAGTGGTGGGTTTTGGGTTACCTTTTCAAGTTCAGTGCTGGACTTCATGATAACTAAGGCAATCATGAGTCTTTTTCTATAAGATGGGTCCAGCACATGTGCTGGTCATACTCTTGTTTTGTTCATTTGTTTTTATTTGCCATAAAACATTTCAGGAATGATCCAATCATACATGGTTTCAAGTCACTCTATTGTCATGGACAGAACATTGATGAAGTTTGGATTGTTGTTCACAGTTTCTCTCTGCAGGGATGGAAAACTGACTAGGATGGCCCTGAAAACCTACAGAATCCAAAGGATTCCTGAATGCTTTGGGGGAATTTCTAATTGGCATGCTGGCAAACATGTTGGACTCTGATCTCATGGTGGAACAGTGAAGTGGAGGGGCCATTGATAGGATCATTCTTGAGTGCCGTATCCAGTTAAGGGGCCTCGGATGGCTCCCTGGTTGGGAAGGAAGTAACTGGTGATGAAACAATCAAATGATGGCTCAGGTGGCTGAAATCTTGCAGCAAATATGACTGAAGACAGCTAAGAATATATAATCATATGGTGATAGTGATGAAGATTGCCTATTTCTCTGCCACCATCTGAAGGCACAGGCATTCCTTCATAGCTTTGGAGGAAATTGAGACAGAAACACCATGTATGACCCAGAGATGGTAGTTGGATTCTGCTGTATAATATATTTTATGGTGTTTGAATTTTTTTAAAAAAATACTATGAGGATGAGAGAGAGAGAGAGATGTCTGCAGGAGATTGTCAGATGAAGGGTGGTCTAGAAATAAAAATAATAATTATGATGATAATAAATGCCGGCTTGAGCCCTGATTCAGAGGCAAGTCTTCCCCATTCAAAACAATATTAGGGATGACTCAACACACTCCTTGTATGCGCAGAGCTGCTATTACAAATACTGAATTCCAGAGAAGGCTTTGGAGTGAATGCTTTGGTGACCTAAATATTGTTATAATGTCATCTTTTCATGAATCATGACCCCACAACCCAATGTTACCAAGGTGCCCAGTGTGGTTGTTAAGTCAAGCTCCTTTGGCTTTGCTCGTCATGTGACTATGCAAGATGCATGACATAAAGGCATGAAGAGGAAGCAAACTTTGGTGCACTTCAGCTATCTTTATTAACTTGCTCTAGGTGTATTCTAATGCCTGACAATGCACCTGATATATTTGTCTGTTGCCAACTTAAATGTGTGTCTCTATCTGACAATCAATTTGACCTGGTAAAATAAAAGTGTATTTCTAAAGGATACAGTGATCTGTTGCTTTTTCCTTTTCTCAAAGATAGACCTTCAACTCCTATCCTCTCCTAGTCTCAGTCTCATGCATGATCACCTTTTTGTCACAAGCAACTCCTCCGCACAGGGAACAAAGGCTTTTAAGTGTTTTTCTCCAAGAGACCATACTCTTGGATTTCTCCTAAGACAAATTGCTCATCTATAATTAGCTCCCCTTCTGTACCTCCGCTTCCTGTCCCCCTTGCCTCCTCACCATTGGTAATTTTCTTGTCTAGTTAGGATCCAAAGGGAGCATGAAACCACGTGTACCATTTTTTCAATTTCTCAACTTTTGTGCTATTTTGGGAGTGTTCTGAAAATGCTAGCTCTGAACCATACATGGTTCCCTGGGTGAAGGACAGCCTGCCAATAATGAGAGGCAGACTGTGGCTTATATCCAGCAACTCATGCTGAAACACTTCAAGAATCCCAATATAAAACCATGACTGATATTCTCAGGTCACTATGAAACTCAAGAAATCCACTTCTGGTCCTTTAGTCAGAACATGTAATTATCAGCACTCATCCCCAGGGGTGCACTCCTCCATTGTCTCCCAAGACTGATGGATGCCAATCAACCACTCTTCTGATCCTCTGTCTCCTCCATTTCCCCATTTTTCATGTCCTTTCTGCTCTCATGTGTTCTTAACTAGTGTCATTTGCATTTGATTCCCCCCCCCCATTGCACTGAGGTCTTTGTTGCAGCCTGCCAGATTCCTAGCACCCCTCCCAGATCCTTATATAGTAAACATAAATATTCCCCACCTCTGTCTATCTCTACTTCTGTCATAGCAACATTCAAAACATAAGATGTTGGTCCTGACAGAGTGGGATGAAGGAAATATATCCTTGTGCATTGTCTCAGCAAATGATTTTATTCTCTGGAATCATTCTGGCGATTCAAGTCACATGGCTGAACAGTGTTGTGTAGTAATAAACAAATTTCTTTTGAACCCACATTGGGACTCAGTGGTCCTTTGCTAACCTTTGTTGTGCCACAAATCTGGGCTCAAGATCTTGAAATAGCACACTTGTATGGCAACACGTGTTTGCATGCATGTTAATCTGTAACATGTGATCAGGGACATGGGTAGGCTTGCTGACACTGAACACTCCTCTCCTCGAGAAAAAAAACTTCTGTAACATGAAAATTGTTCCAGTGATATAAATTCATATTAAATAGGCTGTGAACTGGGCAGCTAGAAATCCACGTTGGGCAGTCAATATTACACACCATTCTCTCACAAATTTGTGGAAACATGCTGCACGGTTGCACATCCTGTTCCCTGTTGTATATATCTAGGTCATAGCTACTCCCTTGATCAACACTGTATATGAATCATGTAATTAAATGGTCATGATGGTCCACAGTGTAAAAACTGGTAAAGATTTACAGTAGCTGTTAAAAGGCTCAGTCAATTACCTACCATCAAATGTTTTATTTGCCTGGGGGTTGCTGGTTTGTTTTTTTTACACCTAACCTCAAGAATCAAGTAAGCAAAGAGAGGCTTATTTTCGGTAACGTATTTACACCTTCAGCCTCTGTGGTTTTTTACGCCGGGATAAGATCAGAAATAAGCCACCAATGTTTTATTTAAAAAGAAAAGCTTCTTTTTGCAGGGGAAGTTAAGGAAACATAAGAGATGTCAGGCCTTATTCCTGAGAAGGTTAGGATTTTACAGATACAAATGTAACAATGTCCTTCCCATGCAGACAGCTGAAAATGATTTAAGGGTGAAAGACAATTGTTGCCCTTGTGCTTTGCAGCCAGTGAAGCTGTTTGCTGATGATGGAAATGGACAGGAGGGATCCCCCCCCCCCGATTCCCCCTACCACATATAGGGCTCCATGAAAATAAGCTCCTGGGAGCTGGGGGACTGTCCAAAACAGGGGGAAAGGAGAATAAGCAAAAAAATGCTGCCCATCCTCTTCCATTTGAATCCCACCCATCTTCTTCAATTTGCTTATGATATGGAGGATTTCAGCTACATTGTAAGATGCCACACCATGCAACCAGAGCTAGAGATATTCAGTTCTGATACAGAGTCTCAATGTAATCTGACCATCTATGTGAGGTGGATTTCAAACAATACTGTTCACTGTGTGGTACCATATGGAAATGTTTTCCAAAGGCCTTGGTATATTTATATGGAGACGGAGGTGGTGTGTTTCACTGCCTGAAGTGGCTCTATTTCTGATTACATCGTATGTGAGCAATAAACAAGTATGTTTCTGTATTTATTTATGTATTCGTTAGGAATACTTATAAACCACTAAACATCACAGTAATGCTACAGTTCTATATAACAATAAAAACTATACAAGTGAAACAAAGATTAAGAAAAGTTCTCAAATATCATTAAATACTGTCTGCAGGTAGTGTGATGCTTATGGAAACCCAGTAGAAATAAAGAAATTTTAAAGCATCTAACAAAATACTTTGACTATAAGTTTTATCCGAAGATCAGCATTCTTGATTGGTACAAACAACTCAGTATGCAGCTCCAAACAGATACTTCTCATCTGTCATGGCAGTGTCACCTTCTGTGATGGATAATGCTACCAATACAAATTTGGGTAGACGGTGTTCTGCTGTTTGTACCACATAGATTAGCAGACTAATACATTATTTAGTGTTTCCATAGTGTTCACTTTCTAGATATTTTAAGAATGCCCTCATGTCTGGCCAAGACTTCAGAGCCATGTTTTCTAGACATCAGCATACAGAGGACTTTCTGTGGCCCCTAAATGTCTTATTTGTAGTGAAATTGGGAAATTCAAGGTCTTGGATGCATCATTGTGGATGTTGCTTGTGTTTCTGATTAAGACAATATTTTCTGCAGGGCAGCAGACATAAAGGGCAATTAAAGGTAAAGGGACCCCTGACCATTAGGTCCAGTCATGGCCGACTCTGGGGTTGTGGCGCTCATCTCGCTTTATTGGCTGAGGGAGCTGGTGTACAGCTTCCGGGTCATGTGGCCAGCATGACTAAGCCGCTTCTGGCCAACCAGAGCAGTGCACGGAAATGACGTTTACCTTCCCGCCGGAGCAGTACCTATTTATCTACTTGCACTTGACATGCTTTCAAACTGCTAGATTGGCAGGAGCTGGGACCGAGCAACGGGAACTCACCCCGTCGCGGGGATTCAAACCACCGACCTTCTGATTGGTAAGTCCTAGGCTCTGTGGTTTAACCCACAGCGCCATATTGACAAAACAAAGGATAGAAATATGCTTCCCAAAATTCCAGGTGTACCATGCACCTGACCTCCCAGCAGCGGAGTCGCTTCCACTTACCAGCAGGGAGAGGGGCGAGGCAGTGGGGAGGTCAGTGCTGTGCAAGCACATTGGCAGAGACAATCCAGCACTCCTGACACTGCCACCTTGTCCCAGTAAGTGGCAGAAGGATAGCATGGGAAGTTGTATTGAAAGCTTCTGGGAGGTCCAGGAGAATGGCAAAGGTCTGAACCCTGCCTGAAATATATCAAGAAAATCAGTATCAGTTTGCAGGAAAGCACCTGCTTGAACATTTTATCTAGGAAGATAAATGGCTGAAGATGTAATTCACACCGTCCAGATCCCCAGCAGGTTTCTTTATGACTTGTCAATCCATGGCCTCCTTTAAATAGTCAGGATCACCCCTTGGACCCAGCTGGGCACTCTTGTCATATGTTTTAACCTAAACTAATGATTCATGCAGTAAGTCTCAAACCATTACATTATTTAGATTTGACAATGACTAAGCCCTGACCCTGGCACTCCTTGTGGCCTTATGACAAGCTCTGTAAAATGCTTCTGAATAGGAGAGTGTTTGTCAGACTATGTCCAAAGGATCGCTCAGTTCCTACATGAGAAGTAACAGCAGACAGTCATGGCTGACACAGTTTCCCAGGACAATTTGCCTGCTTCAACCAATCTTCACTTGTAATGTCAGCTGCCATGGAAAGTTAGGCATATGCAATGACTTTAAGTTCTTCTGGAATGAGAGTAGGGATCATGGCCAGTACTCCATGTGAATTGAACTTCCAGCCTCCACAATTTCCCTGTCTCCAGAGCCCCCTGCAATTCACATGTATTCCATGGCACATGTTTAGGGGTTGGAAAGCAGAAAAGCTGACTCAGAAATGGTTCCTTTGGAATATGTTTACAAACCATGGACTAGTGAATGCTAGTTAGTGTGGTTGGTTTTACAACACGTTTGCAACAAAGAAAGGCTTACTATATGGCACTTTTATAAACTGAATTTATATTGATTTTCTGGAAACAATTGGCACAGTATTCGGCTTTGTATAACAATGAATATGTGCAAATGTCCCCATGTATGAATACATATTAAAAAAAATTCTGCCATTGCCTTCTTATAACTGATATACTCTGTTTTTTAAAAACCAAGCCATCCTGTTCTTCACTGCTCCTGGGGTGAAAAGTATAATTTGTTGGAGGCCATTAGACTTAGACACCATTCACACAATAATGATTTTTATAATTACGTATAGAAAAGATTGTGAATCCTTTTTAAGTACAATGAGCTGCTAATTATTCTGAGCCTGCGGAAAGAACAATAGATTAAACAATTTGTCTTTTAAAGCTTACAGTGCTGTATTTGGTGGATATAGTGGTTGATAAGGAAAATACTTTTAAAACACAAATCATGCAGTATTTAATGCTTCTTTGAAAACTGCTGTCTTCATGTTAATTATAATGGATCTTAAAAATGTAGATTGTATTTGAAAATATCACTTAAGATTTTACTGACAGCATACTTTTAAAGTGTATTTTCTACTGTTGCCTGAGAAGGCCAGCGACAGAAAGATTTAAGCAACATTATTTACATACATTTTTTGCAATTGCTTTTTAACAGTTAAATAATAGGAACAATTTTATATAATAAACAGCTGGTAAACCTGCACTTCAGGGCACTGAATTCATCTAAACTTAACATCCCTGCAAAGTGATTTATACATTTATTTTCTTTTATAATAACACTGAATGGTCTTTGCTACTTCAAACTGATTGCCAAAGGACAGTTAGTTCTCATCCCAAACTGTGGCAAAAATAGCAAGGGTGCTGAAATTTGAGCTTTTCAGAAGGATATAGAAACATGCAATTTACACTTGTCCCTTTTAACACTGTGCTTACTGTATCTACTCTGGCCAAATTGCCTTTTACAAGAGCTATTTTTGTTCTTACATCATAGGCTGTATTGTAGCTCTACATGAATTACAAAACCCATAATCTTTATTTTCAAAATGATGGCACCACTTTTCTTCAGTTACTGTATTTACTGAATTTTAAGTTATAGCTGAGATTGCAGAGCATATTACAGTTCTCCAAATGGAAGAATTTCATTTGCAATTAAAGTTTTTGAAGTCTTTAATGCATCTGTCAGAATGAATGACAGACTCATTCAAGGTTCCTCTTCAATATAGGTGAAATAAAAGTTGTCACAGCAGGGTTCTTTTGGGGTGGGTGGGTGGAAATTAAGGTTATCTGCAAACTTGGCCAGGGAATTCTGAAACTTTTGAAATTAAGTGCTTGCCATTGCCCTATACAAATGTGATATCAGTTTGGAAGTATTTATTATGTATCATTTATTTCATAATTAATGCCAGGTATAGGTTCATCATTAGTACCATATTGGTTGGCCAACTCCAGAATTCTTTTGATATATTTGTTCAGGTGAAAATTTAATTTCCTTTTATCACATAAATTTTGTTTGTTGTTTTTAATGTTATAGGGTAATAAACATAATAGTACTTGGGTTTCCTATGAAAACATTTGGCTTGGGGGTCACTGAGGAAACTGAGATCCATGGAGAAGGGAGTGAAAGTATACCATAACTGGTATACCTAATGTGTTCAAATCCCTAATGTCTTCAAATCTGGAAATGTACAGTTTGGTACAGGTTGCACATATTAAGTCCCTTCTTGTACCAGGGTATCATTGACTATGATGGATATAGAGTGCTGGCATCTTTATGCAATTAATGTTCACACAAAACCATGGTAGGAAAGAAAGGATTAAGCTTCCCTTCCCTATGTGATATGGCTTTTACCTGCTCATGCCTGCTAAGATATTCTTTTTAACCTGATGTATTTGCAAGTAATGCATTTAATCTCACATCTAGTTTGCGGCATAGATTTTCAAGAAAAAGAACCCACTTCAGTATATAAATCTGAGATGTGGGCTCTGGATCATGAAAGCATAGATTCTAAGGGGCTGTACGGCTATTGCTTTTTGTAGCAACAGAAACACACAGTTACCTTTCTGGAATTTAAGAATTAAATGGTGTTTCTATCCTAGTGGTGCAGCAATAAAGCTGTTGGCATATTTGCAAAGCTGGATGGGGGACCGCGTGTTGAGATTCCTGTATTGCAGCAGGTTGGACTAGATGACCCTCAAGAACACTTCCAATTCTACAATTCTATGATATTTTTTAGTATTATTATTGAGAAGCTTTTCTTTTTTCAGAAACTTAGCATGGTCCAATGCCACTATTCCTTCCAGAATATTTGTGGCTCACACGTATTTATGAGATGTTAGTGTTGCAGCACATTTAATGTGATAGTATTAAATGTTCATATTTAAAACAAAATCAAAATCAAAAGTACTTCTGAGACTGTGGGCTGAACACTCATAGACAGGGCATGCTTGTAATGTGATGGAAGTAACATTGGTTAAGTTACAAGTGGTCTTTTCCAGATTCCAAAGAATGAAAAACTACCTTTCATGTCAGATTTGTCTATGACCAAAAAGGTACTGATGTTTCCATAGTGAAAATAGCAAGTGGTTTATTCATAGACTCCTTCTGTACCTTTGCTCAGTTGAATTCCAGATGCACCAAAGCCAACCATTTCTTCTCTCCTTTTGTTTGCCCCTTGGACTGTTAATCTGATTTGTTGATATTGTTGACAGGTTGCAATATGAGAGAGGGAAATAAAAATGAAATCATTTTCAGTGCTTGATAGAATAATACAACGAGGCATAGTATTATTCACAATGAACATTTATTTCAGCACCAAGAAAATATTTTTTTGTAGAAGATGTGGCTTGTGCAAGTATTTTGTCTTCTTTTTGTTAATATTCAGGTCACAATCAGAGACGGGAGGGAGGGATGGAGCCTAAGCACAATGCTGCTTTTGATTTTTCTGTCACTTAGATATTCATTAATAAACTGTATCTCTACCATTGCTCACTTCTCAAAACTCACATAACATTTAGATGAGCCACAGCGGAGTCAGAAATGTAGACAGCTCTGTGCTGTATTCATAGTGGAAGAAGTAACAGGAGAAAAGAGGTAGAATAATATTATAAACTCTGAAGAGAAACTATTTTATATTTCCCTGCATCATTTTCACTTTTTACCATTTGTTTAATTCAGAATTATTTAAATTAACTATAAAACAATGAACCTTTTTTTCCAAATTAGCCTAAACAATATTGCTGTATATTTATTACTGTGTTGTATACTTATTTCATTTTAAAAAGTAGTGTCTGATAAAATTATTTCAATCCATCCCTCTGCCTCCTTCCTGTTCCCCTTACTGCGAGCCCTATAATTCCCCCTTCAAAGTACAAAGAACTAGATCATATCAATCTTCTTATTGTCTTTGGAAAATCTAATCTGTGGGTCAATGTTGGCCAGCTTTATCTTAAAAATTATCCAGCTGCAATTTGCCTGACAATTCAGCTTCCTTAAACTAACCCCCTTTCCCTCCTCCCTACTTCATTTGATCAGGGAAGTCTAATTTGCAGCTGTCAGGAACTTGGATTGATATGCTACTTTAAAAAATGATTTAGTCATGATTTACTCCAGTTTGGAACAGAAAGCAACAATATATTACCATCCAAGGAGCCAGTAATCGAGTTGTAAACCTATGTATTTTTGCCCATAGATGAACTAGAGCAGTTTGTTATCCAAGACTGCATATGGCAGTTTCTCCATAGGCCACAAAAGCCACAACCAAACAATTTGAGTTGAATATTTTCTGCACTGAAGGCATGGAAGACTATAAATTTGAAGTCAAGGAATGAAAAAGAGAGCGAAGTAACAGTCTCTGAAGACAAAACGCAAGCTCTGAAACGATTTTTTTCTTTTTTAAAAAAATGGCCTGGAAAGCTCAGTGTTTCAGTGCATAATATACCATATTTGCAAACTATTCAGGAACCACTTAATATAAACAAACAAGAAAGCTAAGCACTGTTGCCAACAATGGGAATGTGGGACTGTTTTTCTATATAATGCCCGTAGTATATAGTATCCTTCAGGTGAGCAACAGAGCTGCAGAAACCTTGATTACAAAGCTTGAAATGCTTTGTAATCATATTGTCAGATTTTCCTTGGCCGGGATCCAAACCTGTTGAAAAAGCTGTTCCACTCACACAGAGGAGCTTTTAAGCACTTCCCTTCAAGCCCAGCCCCAAAGCCCAATCCCAAGTGTGAGAAGGCTTCCAAACCACTACTTTATGTGTGGCTGCAATTGGATTTTCTCTCCCTGCACATTCTGAAGCACTTTCACTACTCATGCACAGGGGGTGGGAAGTATGGTGGTGGATCTGAATTGTGAATATTTTTAAAATGTCCACCTTTTCCCAGTGAACATGAAATTATCACCATCAGTTTATTACAGTCAACAGACCAGAAACAAGACCAAAAATTAACCATAGAATACACCAAAATTTGATACACAGGATATGCACCAAAAAGTGCAAAAAGGAAGAAAAGCTCAGTAGTATACAAAATAAGTAACCTCAGTTAAGTCCCTGGGAATAGTTGCTCCAGTTTTGGTGGTTATTTCCTCCTTAATTCTCACTGTCACAGATAAAAAATATTAGCCTCTATCAATGTCACCAATGGGATTTTTGCTCCCAGCAAATATTTAACATGGAATTGAGCTAACCTTCCTGGTAATTTGGCCAATAAAAGACCAATCATTTGCTGAAAAGCTCCAGTGTAGAAATTGCAAAACAGAAGGAAGGACACGTTCCACACATTCCACCTCCTGGTTGTTTCTAGGGCATACCTCTAAGGAGAGAGGAAAAGCAGCATAGCTACCCCAGAGCATTTGAAATGATGAAACATTCAATCTGGCCAGAGTAAAAGCTCTGCAGTATTTAGCTACACATGAATTCCTAAAATAAGCAACTAACTGAAAAAGAATATTATAGGAAATGCTCAAGGAGCAATGTGAGCAGGTTATACATGTGAACCAAAGGGTCCTGAAAGGAAATATCCTAGAATCTTTGTTTTACCAGAGCTAGTGCAGAATTAAGTATCATTTGAAGAAGGAAAGAAGGATGCAACAAGATTTTTGGGCAATAGACTTAGTGTATACACTATCATATCTATCCTTGGGTAAATATGGTAGCCACCAAGTTGGTATTTTAAAGACAAAGATCTTAAACCAAAGTTTTAAGGCTGCCAATCAAGCTCTTATCTCAAAAGGACATCATCCTGTTTCCAGTAATATAGCTGCATTAGGAACACATCTTGGAATATGTAAAAGGACTTGTAAGAATTTAGCTCAAGCATCATTTAATTCCAACAACACTCCATTAGTTCAAATAGGAGCTCCACAAAGCACTGAAATAACCACAGGAATATATTGACACTCTTTAGTGTAAAAAAACCACACTAGCAGACTGATTCATTGAAGTTTTCTGAGAAGCAAAGGATCTATGTGTAGCCCAAGAGATAAAATGATGGAATACCACCCCCAAAGTGAGCACGAAATGGATTGGATACATGTGAACCACCAAAATCTACATCTTTTCAATTATCCAATTATATACCCAAATTGTCATGTGGTCATTGTTTCTACTATCAGAGCTCACACTCAGCGGCAGCCCATCCTATTTCCCCAGGGTCATCTTTAGTATATGCGCTGCCGGGGTGCAAAGATCCGCCTAGCGCCCCCAAATTTAGTTTAGCCGCCCCCAAATTAACTTTTATTGAGCTTTTTTGGGAGGGAAGCCAAAGTTGTTGACTTTTTTTAAGAGGGGGCGAACTCAAAATTGTTGAGCTTTTTGGGGTGAGGAAAATCGCTCAGCTGTAACAACGACGCAGCGGAAATGTCTGCTTTTGCTTCCTGACTTGTCGGGAATACTTGACGCTACAGAGTAACACAACGATGGAGGGGGGGCGGGGACTTTGGCTCCATTGCTTTTCACTGTTGCCAATCGAGAGGGACCGGTATACAGTAGGTATACATTTGCCGCCCCCCAGAAATTGGCGCCTAGGTGCCCCACACCCCTTGCACCCCAGGGTAAAGACCACCCTGTATGTCACTATTTGAGTTGAAATGGGAATGTGCTGCCCCCTGCCGCCCCTGTGCCCCGCCCCCTCCAGTTCTGCCATGTGCTAGAACTCTGGGAGCATTCCGTGAGGCATTCCCATTCATTGGGGAAGAGGTGGAAGTGTTCCATTGTGCAGTGGTTCCATTGTGCAGTGGAAGTGGTGGAGCAGAGAGCAACACGTTCCCATTTTGCTTCAGGGAGTGTTTTGGAAGGCAGTGTTAGCGGTAGGGTGGCCTGAGATGGGTGCTTCACCCTGCCTCACTAGTTAGCCAGCTCTGCTCACAGTTCTATCTTCTGCTGGCTTTTCTCTGTTATATTTCCTGTGTGTACGGTAACAAGCAGTACCTATTACTAGAGAAGAAATTAGAAAAAACACAGTTTTGATCCCTCTCTGGGAATAATTGGGACCATCTCCAGTAGCCAATAGAATGCTGATCTTACACCACCTTAGATTTTTGTCCACCTCACACAGTTTTGCCTGGTTTTACTGTAAATGGCTTTTTGGAGTCTTAGGCAGAGATCTTACCCATCACCTGGTCCTTTGGTTTGTTTGTTTTATTGGAGATGCTGAAGACTGAACCTGCAATCTTGGACATGCAACACGTGTTATAGCACTTAACTAGATGTCTCAAGAATTTGGGTTTGACTGTTTCTTTATGGTGAGTTCACATGGTACAATTTGTCCTTTTCATTTTTCTATTGAGAGCCATCCATATTTTTTTTTCAGTGCTCACTCTAAAATTAACCTTTTTATTACTGGAAGGCTGGTGTTAATACCTTAAACTTCCTAGAAATTTTGATTCAGCATACAGCCTGCCTGACATTTTCCACTTCAGAAGACCTCAGGTCAATGTGTTGTGGCAAAGCATATCGCTCTAGTGGCATTTCATGGCCTTCAAATAGTTCATGTCATTTAAACATTTCATGACATAAATGTTAATTTTTCAGTGTGATCATTTCTGAGGCATGGCATATAATTGAGATGTTGCTTTGGCATAGCATAGTTTATTAATACCTAATCAGAAGATAGAAGTATTTTGGTGCAGAAATTTGAAACAGGTTCTGTATTTTACAGCCTAACATAGGTTGATAATGGCTCAAAAGTATTTTCACTTGGGATTTTTATTGTTCTTCCAACAGGAATAAATCTAGCTCTTCCCTCCGGCTAGCAGTACATTTCTCATAGTTTGATAATCCAGTCTTACTGAGCTCTGTATCCCTCTCCTCCCATGTGAATGGCACACCAATTTGTAACTCAAGTTGGCCCATCAAAGCGCAGAGCTGTGGATTGCATTGTATTTTTGCATCTAGGTTCTTTGCCAGAAGGCTGACAAAAATTAGAAACCTTTCATACATTACTTCAGGCAAGCCTAGATTTGCCAGGAGGACTTTGCACTACAACAATCTTCATCCAATCACAGTTTCCTAACAAGGGTACTTGTATGATAAACACAATTGCTGCAATTCACCTGTTATAATCTTAGGTGTGCATTTCAAGCATTGTATGGATACATTTAAACTTGTAAATATGTGAAGTGGTCCTTATTGTCTAGCATGCCATTCACATGAGTGGTGATCTCTGCTGCATTTTCCTATATTTTCTCCATGAGCGTTTGTTTTCTGCATCCTTTTTTTCATATAGGTATGAATATTACCGCACATTATAACATGTTCAGTGTATCTTAACAACTGGCCGTTTAGCTATATAGTGACTGAATACCTGATAGGAAGGCTGAGTTTTGAAAGCACAAGGAGGCACTTGCACTCCAATCATAACATTGGTTAAGCTTGTTTTCATTGCAGTAGATGCCAATTAAATTACTGATTTTCATAATTATAATTCAGCATGGTAAGAGTCGATAATGAATGTTGTCACACTCAAGCTAAGTTATTACTGTATAGGAGCTCAGGTCTTCTTTCTGTTGATGTACTAATCCAAGAGTTTGCAAACAACACATTACTCGTTTTTTAAAATGTGGATTTCTGCAGTTTACAATGATATCCATTCTACCACATGTTGAATTGTTTATAGATTGAATAAGCTAAGCAATGCTGAAATTTTGGTAAAATCACACATCTCTAGTAAAAACTCTTTCATTTGAGGAATCTATATTACTGCCCCGAAGAGACTAGAGGCACAGCAGCGTTATAGGCTGCTCAGCCTCCTTGCCTTACAGCTGATGCATTGGGTAGTACAACAGCTACTTTCTTGCATGTTCTCCAGCCTCTAGCTAGCCCCAAAGCTTCAATTCAAGATATTTTGGTCTGGATTGGAGAGTGTGGGAGAGAGTGCTGGAAAACAGGGGGGAAATAGCATTTAGAGGCATTCTATAGGGTGCTCCCCACTTATGTGATTTTCGCTTATGTGTGCAGGGCTCCGGAACATTATCCCTGCATAAGTAGGGGGGCAGCTGTAGGTTCTCCATAGGAAATGGCAATTTTGTAGAGCACTTTTGGACTTTGATTGTGCCACATGGCCTGCAAGCACTTCCCATAGCCTGCTACTAAAAGCATATTTTAACCTTTGCTGACTAAATTGACACTGCTGTTCAGCTCTTGAAAATAGTTTGTTTGATTGTTTGTTTCTATTTCTAAAAGTATGTACCGTATTTTTCACTCTGTAAGACACACTTTTCCCCTCCTAAAAAGTAAGGGGAAATGTGTGTGTGTCTTATGGAGCGAATGCAGGCTCCATGGCTTCAGCGAAAGAAACGCGAAGCCTCCGGTGTGCACCGACCCCTCTCGTTCTCCTGGCTTCAGGGATAGCCACCAGAAGCCTCCGGAGCGCAGCGGGAGCTCCTGCTGCACTCCGGAGGCTTCGCGTTGCTTTCTTACATATCCTCCAGCCTCCAGCTGGCCCCAAAGCTTCAACTCAAGATATTTTGGTCTGGATTTGAGAGATCGTGGGAGAGAGTGCTGGAAAACAGGGGGGAAATAGCATAGAAAGAAAATAGAAAGAAGCCCCTCTCGCTTTCCTGGCTTCAGGGATAGCCGCCGGAAGCCTCCGGAGCGCAGTGGGACGTCCCGCTGCACTCCTCCCGCTTCGCGTTGCTTTCGCTGAAGCCTGGAGAGCGAGAGGGGTCGGTGCGGACCAACCCCTCTTCTTCTCCTGGCTTCAGCGAAAGCCGCCTGAAGCCAGGAGAGCAAAAGGGATCGGTCCACACCAATCCCTCTCACTCTCCTGTTTTCGCTTCGCTGGAGAGGTGCTGCGCAGCTTTCCCTCTCTGCGCAGCGCCCCTTCAGCGAAGCGGGAGGAGAAATGGAAGGGGCTCTGTTTCTCCTGCTGCTTTGCTGAAGGGGCGCTGTGCAGAGAGAGAGAAAATATTTTTTTTCTTGTTCTCCTCCTCTAAAACTAGGTGCGTCTTATGGTCGGGTGCGTCTTATAGAGCAAAAAATACTGCCCACTCATATATCAAAGCAGCGCACAACTTATAGTATTGTAAAGCAATACAAAATAATTGCAAGAATGACTGCCTCATCTAAAAAAAGTGGGGGGGGGATGAAACAACTGAATAATAGACTTGTTGGCATGTTGTTGTTATATTCCTCCAATCTGAGCTAGATATTCTGGCTGGACGAGAACTTAATTGAATGTTTCCCACTTCCCTTGTCCTTGGAGGTTCGTGTGCCTCTAAAAATAAGTTTCTGATGGTTGGGGAACCCTCTGGAGCTGGAAGAGGAAATCAGCAGGGGGCTTGCACAAGCTGAGGTGTGTTTCTGCTCATACAAGAGCACCTTGGCATCCAAGCCATCAATTTTAAAAGCCATTTGCTTTATTTTTATTTGTGCCTGAAGAAAAGCTCTGTAAATCTAAATCCCCTAAGCATTTATTTAGGAACAAAGATCATACACAAGGATGATTTTGTCTTTTCCATTCTGAAAGTATGACAGTTAAATATTCTTGTCAGTTGCTCGAAGGATTAAAAATCTTATTAAAGCATCTGAAAGGGTGTTTTTTCTCCCTTTTTTGCTGGTTTCCATCTCTGCCTTTCTCTCATTATTGGTTCTTTCTTTATAAATATTCATACTTTATCTAGAACTAATCGGTACTATGTTCTCAAATTAGCTGAGATGTTTGCCTTGGTGTACAGCCAATTAGCAGGAATCCAGGGATGCTATCCATTGACAGCTGGAAAGAGATCTCTAACAGCAGCATAAGGGGCTCCAGTATTACATAGTATTGGTGCATTAAGATTACATATTAGGATTTTAAACAGCATTCTGTCTACTGTTTCTAATTAGCAGTGTTTACTAGGAGAACATTGCAAAAAAATGTATTCTTAAAACAACAGATAAAGGCAGATGTAACAGCTGTGATAGACTTTTGCTCTCCGGGACTACAGTCTGAAAATAGTGGCTTTGCACATTTGCAGCAGAAGCAAACTGTAAATGCCACAAAAGGCCACTTTACAGCTCCCCAGAAGTTGTTTTACTCCTCTGTGGAGAATGTCAGAGAATCAACCATCTGGCCTGAAGACAGGCACTCCTCCTCCACTCCGTAGTCTCACTCCTGGTATACTCCCTGTGCCACTGTATCTGTGAACAGCTGTGGATGGTGGCATCTGGTTCTTTAGGTTCACAGGTAGTTGCTTGTGGGAGTCTTGGCCAAGACCGTCTTTACTGAGGGTGCAAGGGGTGCAGGACACCCCGGCGCTGAATTCTGGGGGGCGCCAGGCACCCGCCGCTGAAGCCGCCTATGCTCTTAACCATCTATCTGTTATGAAATAATAAATAATTTTCATCAAGCTAGAAAAACAAAATACATATATACCTAGTTATTACCAAAATATATACCCACTGTTTCACTAAAGGACTTTCAACTTTGTGTGCTTATTTACCAAAGACGCGATGCGCCAGCAGCGGCGCTTGTCATTCACAACAGCACATTTTAATTTCATCACTTACAGTTCAAATTCGTTTTGAGAAATCATTAAAAAATAGTGTTTATTTTCACTAATTGTCGGCATTTTCTTTGACTAACTATATGTACTTAGGGCTCTACTACACATGCATTTCAGCATGCGATTTTAGTTTTCCATTTCCGCAAAAACGCACCTAGAGCACACACAATGAATTCTGTGAGCTGCATTTTTTCTTCATTTTACGATGAATGCTAAACGAGAAACACATTTCTTTTTCCTCCCTTCTTTTGTAAACAAGAGATAAGGCGTAAGCGTAGTGTCTGACATAAGCATAATAAAAGTTAATTTTGGGGCGCTGGGTGGATCTTTGCACCCCGGCAGCGCATATGCTAAAGATGGCCCTGGTCCTGGCAGTGACCATACAGGACCTGCTGGTCTAGGAGGAACTTCTGAGGAATCCTGTCTGACAGCCTAAGGCAGAGTGGTTCACTGATCACCAGCAGCTGGCCTAGAGAGCCTTGAACATGACCTGACTCCTTAGCTGGTGCCTCTGCAGCCTCCATGCTTGCTCTGTTAGCACATGCTCTGCTATCAGGAGTGTTCCATGGGCATTGCTCTCCAAGTTACATTGTGCTTTTCTGTAGGACTGCTATGATGGATTTCCAGATCATAGCATTTCCTGATAATAGGCCCATATTCTTCATGATGATAGGAACTAAGCAAAATGGCATTCATTTCTTTGGTACTTATCTGCTTTCAGAAAATATGGATGCTTCTGCAAAGAATGAATAATCAGAGTAGATAAAGTTGTAAATATTTATGTTTCTGGAAGCATCATGAGAAGAAGAGGGGAGTGCTTATCTCATGACTCGATTAGATTGCAATAATCTTTTCAGAAAACTTTGTGGTTGCCTCAGTTCCAAAAAAAATTCATTAAATCCCATAATAAAATCCTAAAATGAACAAATCCCAAACCATTATTCCATTGAGATTGTAGATTAAAAAAAGAATGTGAAGATACAATGTTTGCTGTGTTGTGTAATAGAATAAAGGTGTGCAGAACATATTTCTGAAAGTTGCATTAATATGACCTCAAAACGCCCTTTGAGAATCTACTTTGAGCAAAAACACCTTGGTTAGAGTATTAAAGCCCTTCAATAACATTTATCATTTGTTATTTGTACAAGTCATACAACTTTGCTTCATTGCTGTTACAGATCCCACTTGAAAAATGTCTGTACTTTATAGCTTCATACATTACAGGATTACTTTTTTGCTGTGAATTTTTTTTTAGAAAAAAATATCATTTAATATTTACAGTCTTGATAATAATTTCAAAACAATTGTACATGCTAGTTTGGTGTTACTAAGAGACCATGCAGACCAGCCTTTCTCCGCCTGGATGGCAACTTCCATCAGCCCCAGCCAGCATAGTCAGTGGTTAGAGCAGACCTTTCCAAACTTTCCATGTTGGTGACGCACTTTTTAGACATGCATCATTTCACGACACAGTAGTTCAGTTTTATTAGCAAACCGGAAGTTAAACTAGGCCCTTTCCAGCCCTGGGAGGAGTGTGGGGAGCGTTCATGCAAGACACCTACACACTGCAGCCGACACACTAATGTGTCATGACACACAGTTTGGAAAGCTCTGGGATAGAGGATGTTGGGTACTGTAGTCCAACAATGGTTGGAGAACACCATTTTGGCTGCTGCTCACCTAACTGTAGTCCAACAACAGTTGCAGCAGCCACCATCGTTTAGAGAGATTCCCTTGAGTATGTTCACTGGGAGACTAGCCAATGCTATATCCTCAAATGCTGGAACACTGCATGAGAGGGTTCAAGTAGATGGTCATCTTGTATAAAGAGGTAGAACCCTTGCTCTCATTGGCTCCCACTAGTGGCAGTAGAAGCATGGTAGATAATGGATTCGATCTTAAGGTAAGTTAATTTAAGGAAGTTTAAGAAAATAGAGTTTCCTGCTCCCTCCTCCCCTGCAGCCACTTGCGTTCCCCTAAAAGTCTCTCTAGAGAGATGGGAAACACTCGTTAACATTGTGGGATGGGGCACGGAGGGCTGCTGAGCAGTAAAATTAAATCAGTGTGTATCCAAGGCAGGAAAGTTCAGCTGAAATCAAGTCTGGTTTCTTTTATTTATTTATTTATTTATTTATTTTTAACTGTGTTTGTTCTGTTGAGAACAAATGTATGCCTTGAACACAGACTTTGCTATCATGCTTTAACTACTTCATACACATTCCAAGTCAGTAAATAGTAGTGAACATATAGATGTTTTCCTAAGGCTACTGATGTTCATTCCTTTCTTTTGCTTAGTGATGGATAGAAAGCTCCCAAGCCAAGCACTGGAAATGTTGTGCTTGGGATGCAGAATTATGGGTAGAACCTTTCATATCAAGGCTGACACCATCACTTTTATTGAACAGCACTGCATCTCAATTTAAATGAAGATTTATTTATTTGTATGCTGTGAGCTAAATATACTCTCAAGGGGAGGAAGACGTGGAAGCTTTTATTTTAAATTCAGTCTACTTTCCACTTATCAGCTTAGCTTCCCTCTTAAATACTGAGTTCAAGATTTCACTGGGAGGAAACATTTTAAAAAGCTTCTTTCCTAAAGCATAGATAATCTTTTCTATATAATGGCAGTCTTTTCAGAAGACAGGATAATGAATGCACAGGGCAAAGTGCATGTCCTTTAAAAAAATAAAATAGCATGTACTTCAGTAGCAACTCATACATTTTCTTCTTTTTGCCTAATTGTCAAATCACTTTTTAAACTAAGGGGAAGAAGTAAACATTACATACAAATATGCGCAGCAAAGCCCCAAATGTTTTGAACCCAAACTAATATAAACATATTTTAAAGATTTTAAAAAACCAACTCAATATCTTTGGCACCTTACCCCAAACAAATTAAATGAGATAACTCAAAATAATTGTTGGAGATGTAGGACACAAAGGGCAGAATTACTTACATATATTCTTGAGCTGCCCCAAAGTTCTGAATTTCTGGGCCCCTTATACGTAGCAACTGCAAATCCACAAGTGATATTACTGGAATATATAAAAGAGGAGGTGAAATAATTGTTATTTTAAGCCGCAGAAACCTGTGTTGCCAAAAACTGATACTACACTACACTTGATCTTAGCCAAAAGGCCGAGAAGCGATATAAGAGAAACCCCCAATGGTAACCTGTTGATTTGAAAAAAAATGTGTACAATATGATCAAATTAACATATTGTAGGAGAATTCATAACAAGCAGCCTCTACCCATGCTATCCCCGCCACTTATCAGCTGTTCTTTGTTGTTATTCTAGTGGAGGTTACTGTGTAGAAGTGGATTGGATGGATAGATAGAAAGATAGATAAATGGCTGACACTGACTGTCTTCCAAGTTTACACCATTTGTTTTAAAAGAGAACATTAAGTTGGGGGTGGGCATTTATAGATGCACAGTGCTAATCAATACAGTTGCATTCCTATATCCCAGCTTCCTCACCATAGTGCCCTCCAGAGGTGTTGGACAACAACTCCCATCAGCCCCAGCTAGCATGGTAAAAAATCAGGGAGGATGGGAGATGTAGTCCAAAGCACCTGGAAGGCTGCTATAGTATAATTTTGTGGCCCTGTATTTTATTGTTGTTTTAGACTTACATGAACAATATTGCTTCTTCAAAATAACTGCATTCTGTTTTTCCCCCTACAGCCTTAACAAGTCAGAACACATTTAAGAAGAAATATCTATTCATCCCTTTTGCATCTGGAGCCTTTTTACCATATCACTGATCTCTCTTATAAACTCTGAAGGCTTTTGAGCACTGAAGACTGGCAGACATAAATTCTTCTTTGAATGTTCTTGGTCTAAAGTAGATGTATCCGATCTTCTGGATGAGTATAAGGATAAAAAGGTTGGTGGATTATTTGAAAGCCTACAGCTTCAGAACTGTTTGTTTCTGTGTATATAGTACAGTGGGGTGGGCGGGCAGAGTTAATAGATGTCTGTTTTCCATGAGCGGTATAGCATTTTATTTATACTTGGGAGAGAGAACTTTCCTTCCTTCCTTTCTTTCTTTCTTCCTTTCTTTCTTTCTTTTTGGAATGTCATGGAACAAATTTCCTACTGGAAAAGCATCCAGTGATTTCTCTCGATCTGACATATTTGCTTTTGCATATTCCAAAACTGATTTAACCTGAACGTATCAAATGGGATGTTGTATCACTGGAAAAAAATACCTATGCTTGTACTGGATGTGAGTGCTGTATCTATACAAAAATTGCAACACTTTAGGTGAATATAGAATTAATTAATGGGAAGCTGCATTCGATAATGGAGTGGAATGAATTGGGACCATGACACTTGTGCATGGAGAGCATTAACTCTTTCTCTTCCTCATTCGTGATGGAAATCTCACCCCAAGAAGCCATGATTAACCAATGAGGTTTCTTTTTAAAAAGACAGCTATCCAGATACCCCTTTCCCAAATCTCTCCAGCTGATATCACCTTTGGTGGTGCGCATTTTCACTGAGGAACCAGGATTTAAAACCCTCCTTCTGCACTGCTGCCCTGAACCACTCCACGCCACCCCACTCCCGCTTTTAGCTGAAGAAAAAAAAATGTCAGGCAATCTGATCATGGATATTCCAAGTTGTATCTAGCTTGGCCCTAAGAGATTAATTACTGGTCCATAGTTTATATACATGCTGTTAATGCCGCAGGGGAAAACCCCAATGTTTATTAGAAACTAGTCTAACGAGATCACCAGGTGATGTATGGCAAAGGGGGCACAGAAGGTTTTGCCACTTACTGTCCCTCCAGTGTACTTACCTTAGTTAAGGACTTTTGGACTTTGGGGCTTTCTCTGGCCTCTGCTGTTTATACTCCCTCGTTTCCTTGGGGGTTCTCATATCTCATTTCACACTGCCCACTTTTTGCAGCTGAAAATGAATGTATTTGTTTGACTTGATATATATGTGATACCTTATCATAGTGGCAAGTGAATATTCCCCATTGCAAAAGATTCTTAACTGAAGAACGTTGGAAGTAATTAACTAAAAACTTCAAATGTACTGTTCTTTATCAGCATTTTAAAAAGGTGTTTTTCCTTTGATATCTCCCCTCTCTCTCTCTTTCTCCAATTTATTGCTCATACACTCCATAGTGGAACAGTGACTATAATGTTAGACTATAATGTTAGACTTGGAGGAGACAGACCTAACTTTAAATCTGTATAACCACCACGTGCTGCATGTACATGTATAGGACTGAACATGTCTCATCAGGATGTGATGACTCCTTGTTGTTCACTGGACTGCCTCTACCAGTTAAACTGTGGGGTTTTGTTTTGAAGTCTTAGGTCAGCTTTCATTCAACATTTGATACGTGATGCCTACTTACACATACAAGTTACCAATCAAAGTTGCAGTTCTTAAGCTAGGAACATGCATGTGTGAGTTCATTTAAAGTTTCCACCTCTACTTTTAAAAGACTCTCATAGCCCCTGTAGGGCAGAGAATGGGTAAGGCAGAACATAAACATGCCATGATAAACAGCTGAAGAGCTGGAAAGTCTGCTAGGCAGAAAATACACCAGCCTTCGTTTCAAAATGCTCCCTTTGCACCAGTCTAGGTATTCTGCTGCCAAAGCACTTTGAAAATCAGGTGTGTGGAGGGGATTGAGAATAATTTATTCTAAGTTTTTTCTGCCTTGGCTATTATAAGGCATGGGAGTATGGTGATTAATAAAGACAAAACTAAAACTTCGCAGTTACTACATTGTAATTTCCACTTTGTGGTAAATGATACCATATAAATCCCTCAGCAGAATTATACTGTGGTACTCAATCTGTCTGCCTATTAGTATGTCTGTAACTACTGTGTGCATGCTGTATATATTATTTCTCCTGTTATAAACCATAAATAAGAGACAGACAACATGCAGTCCTTTATCAGAAGAGACTTATGTCCCAATGGCATCAATTAGCTATTCCAAATACAAGAGGAAAAAACCCATTGCATAATAAATGTAACAGAGCAGCAATGAATGTATGCAACTAAAGCTCTGCTCTAAAGTGAATAATAATACGTCAGTGATCTTTCAATGGGAACTGGTAACAGGTATGGGGAAATATTGTAACTGGTTTAACAAAAAAAATAATGAATTTACTTTTGAATAAATGCAGCTGTGATAGCTGTGGTAGTAAACTCCATGTTTTCAATAAGAAGCATAGAATACTCTCTTGCATGTCGTGGTCCCCAAGCCACCCTCAAATAAAACACAATTCACACAGAATTTTTGTTTAAGGTTTTTGACATAATTTTTTGGCCACAACTTTATTGATTACAGAATGTAAGTGGTTGCTTAGGCATTGGTTCGCGACTGTTCCCACCTAGAGGAAGGAACAGAACTGACATCAGCAAGCCTGCGAAAGTCAATAAGGGAAAACATTTTGGGGAGAGAATAGAGCTGGGTGCCAGGCCCTCACCTCTCCCCAAATGCTCCCAGGGCCTCTTGCGTGGCCCTAGCCCCTTGACAGGACAAGAGTATAGTGAGCCCCTGGATTCCTTTTACGGAATCCCTTGCAGTAGCAGCATTGAAGGGGCAGGCACAGCCAACCATACCCCCTCCACCAACCAAATTTAACCAATGCCTAACCACAACCTTACAAGTTGTGACAATTTTGCTATGCAGTAGGCAAAAAACCAAATGGCACCGGCCAATCAGCCAAATGGAAAAATTCCTACCAGGCCCCTGCCCCAAAGCAGATGATCCCATGACAGGCATAGCAAGGTCAACACAAACAGCCCTAAATATAGGGAGGGTGGGCGGGTGATCCGATGCACGCAGCGAAAAGAGGCAGCTCAACACTGTGTGCAGGGAATAAATAGCCCCTTAGCCATCAATCATAAATTGCAACATCAAATTCTCCCCAATGACCAAGAGGTGCCCAAGAAGATTCTCGGCCATCCAAACTAACCCACCCAGCAACAGAGGGATGTCTTGTTTGCCCCCACCGCAACACGTGCTCTCTATGAAGGAGAACACGCTTTCTAAAAGTGGGGCTGAGACAGAAAAACCCACATTAAGGAAGCTTAATGTGCAACCCTTAGCAAACATAGAAAAGAAACAAAAAGATGAAACAACACTTTAACACTATGTATAGAAAATGGGAGGGAAGATAACCCTTTGGTGACCACAAACATCCCTATCCCACAACCGTCTCTCTTCCACCCTGGTTTCATTTCTTGCAATCCAAAACTACAAAGCATCTTTTGTCCCTTATTGTCCTCTTATCTCTAAATCAGTAACTAGTTTTCTTTGGATTGACACATTATAATTTTATATCACTTTCCTAGATTGCTGTCCCATTGTTACCCACGCTGCTCATACCTTTTAATAGAGCCTCTCTTTTTTTCTCTAGAGAAGAATATGGGCTTGTGTAGAAGTAACTACCAAAGGCTACCTCTTTTGTACAGCAATAAAGGATCAAAACAAAATAGGAATCTGAGTCATTTATCGTTGCCTGTTTTTTTCCTGTGGGGAAATAAAGTGCAGGCTGCTCTCTGCAGAATTTTTGTTTCCCTTCCTGTAATATGCCTTGTTAACCAAAATTAACAGGTGGCATGGTGCTCTGAATGTTGAGTAGGCCTTGATGGCTATGGGCCAGTTCAGCATTACAAGAACAACCTGCAGCAAGGTTTGGGCTTGGGTGCTTTCCATTCCTCTTCTGGTGGAAAGTGACTGTGAGGAGGACTTTAGGACCTTTCACTTCTGTTTTAGATTAACCACAGTTGGCCATGTTATTTGAACATGGAGAAACTGGGTTAATCTTAACTTTGGCCAGTGGATACAAACTGAACTCAAGCCATAGTTTATGCAGGTGGCTTCTTTTCATTAACCAGAGTTAAGATTAACCACAGTTTAGAGTTCAGATGACCCCCTAAACTGCAGTTGATATAAAATGTAATGGGAATATTTGAATATCATCCTTGTGGCCATGCAAGAGGGGAGATATGAGGGGAGATTGTTGTTCCTGTAGCACTAAGCCAAGCCTTAATCTCTTGTCTGAATGCAGCCTCTGTGTAATTCTCCATTCCCCAGTTTTATTGTAGCTGTTGAACTGAAATGAGTTTTTGTTGCATAATTTCTTTCATGTCCTTTTCAATCAGGGCAGCTGTGAGTTTCATCCTGAGATTGATAAGGGTAGGCTTGAGTACTTTTTCTGTAGGAGAGTGACTCATCTCTTGGGTCAGAATAATACAAATAATACAAATAATTCAAATAAATAAATAAATCATAAAATAGCTATTGCACTAATATGACCTGTCTGTGACAACATGTGAGTAGCTCTAACAGTATAGGATATCAAAGATATCTGATTTAAAGGAATGTGAGAAACTTATGTTCAGTTTAAAAATAAATGAGTGCTCATAAACACATGCACATTCAGACAGACAGACACAGGTACCTTAAACAGCAGGATGTAATCTCAGACTATTTTCAGTCAAGAGGTTTCTGCTGAGCAAAATGTTCATTCAATTTAGAAATGGAGATTATAATAATTTTCCTATCTTCCTCACATCAGGGGTCCTGCCATCATCATGCAGATGTATATGTTATAATGTGATAAATCTAGCAAACCTCAGTTCCAGGTAACACATGCTTTAAACATACAACAATCTAATTCATCCATAATGCAACACTTCCTAGCTTCCACAAGTGGAAAGTAATGTGCTTAAATTGCTCCATCTAATAAAACACTTGCTTTTAATACATGCAAAGTGGTTTATATGATGGCATTGCTTATAACATGCAGCACTCTATTGAAATAGCCATTCACACACACCCCAAGCCAAAATTGTCAAAAGGTGCAAATTATGTATAGATCTCTACAAAGAGGTTCATCCTAAGGACATGAAATGTAGGAAAGGGAATTACGATGTTTCTGGGAAGGATGCTAGCAGCCTGTCATCTTTTTTTAGAGGCTCTATGGGAAGAAAGAAAATGGTGGTGGTCTGTGCTCAGGTGTTCGTGCTCCTTAAACTGTGCCACTGAAATAGTATGAATTGTTTAATGCTGCTCCCTCCCTGTGGTCACATTTTGTTTTGTGGAAGAGCCCTGAGAATTGGGCAACTCCTATACAGGAGTAAGATGTTTCCATCTGCCCAATCACTCACCAAGTCCCCATCTCAGTCAAGCACAGTCAAGCTAGGAATTTTTGGTTTTGTCTCTACGAAGTCTCCAAGTCAGACAGAATAAAACACATAAAAATGTGGACATGTGCCTTCGCTAGGATTAGATGGGCAGGGAGTTAATGGCAGACCACTGCAGTCTCCCATACCAAATAAGTAACCAAACCTAGTAACCAGTTTTGAGAGGTAGATGGCAGTGATGCCAGATATGGGGAAGAGAAAGGATAAAGGAGTGTTTTCTACCTTTCAGCCTCTTGTGATTTCACACGTTTCCCTTTTTATAATGCAGTCTAAAAATTAAATGCGTGTATCCTTAGCAGTACCAAGAAAAAGGAAAGAGAAGGATGAGGAAGCCTTTTGCATAATTAATTTAATAATAATAATAACTCAGGGTCCGGCTGTGGAGGAGAGATTCATCCATAATACTAGAGGGAGCAGAAGGTCCTGTGTATATAAACAGAATGTTGCAAAAGCCTGCAGAACATCTCTGCTTATTACTCTCCCCATTAAGTGATGTAGCACTGACTTTAAGTGGAGAAAAGCAGGTGCCCTGGAAGGCTTCATGGCTCAGAGGTATAGTATGTGCTTTGCATCTACTGTATAAGGGCTCCAGTTCAGTCCCTGGCATCTCAGAAAATAAGGATGGGAAATGCCTATGTCTCAGGCCTTTGTGGATAGCTGTCAGTTGGCATAGACAATCCTGGGATGGGTGGACCAATGACTCATAGTATAATAATAATAATAATAATAATAATAATAATAATAATAAATAATTATTTATACCTGCCCATCTGGCTGGGCTTCCCCAGCCACTCTGGGCGGCTTCCAAAAAAATATTAAAATACTGTAATACATCAAACATTAAAAGCTTCCCTAAAGAGGGATGCCTTCAGATGTCTTCTAAAAGTCTGGTAGTTGTTCTCTTTGACATCTGGTGGGAGGGCGTTCTACATTGAGGCCACCACTACCCAGAAGGCCCGCTGCCTGGTTCCCTGTAACTTGGCTTCTCGCAGTGAGGGAACGCCAGAAGGCCCTCGGTGCTGGACCTCAGTGTCCGGGTAGAACGATGGGGGTGGAGACGCTCCTTCAGATATACTGGATAAAGTATAAAGTGTCTTCGTATGTTTCATATATCTTCATATATATTATACTTGGTACTTGGTACTTGGTATGGCAAGGTACCTTTGCTAGTCCTGTGCATGTTTCTGTGCAGTTGTGAAGACAAGCACCTCATGCTTTTGGTGTGTGGGATTGGAAGCCCACTGAGGAAGAGCCCACTGAGCCCCTGAAATGGGAACACTGGTATATTATCACCATGACTGATTACTACTTTCCATATTTGGTGTTTCTCCCCAGGACACCTTTTTGTAGACTTGTAGGCCACACTTCAGCACAAAGATGTTAATAAGCTTGGCGAGAATTACTGAAACAGCTGCGTCTCTTACTAAGATAACAAAAACCAGGTATCTGCTTCCTTGAAAATGAAATACTATTTCCCTAGATAACTGATAACACATTTCTCTGCAAAAATAATTTTTAAATGGGGGCCGAGCCAGGAGAAATTATCTTATGCTCCAGCTGCAATTATATAGCACTTCAAATACATTTTAACACTTCAAATACAGTGAAATTATCTCACTATTTCTTAAAGGTGTTTAATTGCAAATGTCTTTTAAATTAGTAATTCAAGGAGAAAATATTAAAATAATGGCTCTCTCACTCTCTAATTTTTCTAACAATTTTTGATGGATTGTGGTAGTTCAAGTTCATATTCTAACTCTAGCTGAAATATTTTGTGCATTTCCCCCCAAATGAATATGCATGCAACTGAGAAAGCAATAATGTCAGATCTACAAAGTAATTCTGTAGTTGAATAGAATGTATGTAGATCATCCATATTGTTATAAGGCCTTTCTCCTGTCTCAACATCTTTTGCAATCTCTTAAAAGGGTGTCTGATCTGTTTTCACACGGTGTCAGGATTTTATTTATAAGCCACTTTTGATTTGAGGATATGAACTCTCTTCTTTTGAATAGCAGCTGGTATATTTCTGCTTATGGAGATAAGTAAAAGAAATTGTTTCCATATGCTGTCCATGGCATCATCTATCCTCTTCTAAACACACACACACACACAGAGAGAGAGAGAGAGAGAGAGAGAGAGTGCGCGCACGCATATGGCATTATTAAGCTCTTTTCCTTTCATTTTCCCTGCCAGTTATCTGCTAAATGTATACTATGCTAGTGCTGTGCATATGGCCAAAAACTGGAAGCCTTCCACAGAGGTATTAACTAGACTCAATCTAGTTTCCTACAAAGGAATCCAAGAAGCATGTACAGCAGTTACTTAGGAAGGTACAGGATTACTGGATTCCTGAGTCAATATAAGAACATAAAAAGAGCCTGCTGGATCAGCCCATTGGCCCATTAGTCCAGCATCCTGCTTTACCAGTGGCCAACCAGATGCCTGGGATTCATCCAGTCCAGCCTTTCGCATGATGAATTCTGCATATAAGTTAAATAAGCAGGGAAACAATATACAGCCTTGTCATACTCCTTCCCCAATTTTGAACCAATCAGTTGTTCCATATCCAGTTCTGTCACTTCTTCTACCAAATAGAGATTTCTCAAGAGAGAGATGAGGTGATCAGGCACTCCCATTTCTTTAAGAACTTGCCATAGTTTGCTGTGGTTGACACAGTCAAATGCTTTTGCGTAGTCAATGAAGCAGAAGTAGATGTTTTTCTGGAACTCTCTAGCTTTCTCCATAATCCAGAGCATGTTTGCAATTTGGTCTCTGGTTCCTCTGCCCCTTCGAAATCCAGCTTGCACTTCTGGGAGTTCTCAGTCCACATACTGTTTAAGCCTTCCTTGTAGAATTTTAAGCATAACCTTGCTAGCGTGTGAAATGAGTGCAATTGGTAGCTGGAGCATTCTTTGGCACTGCCCTTCTTTGGGATTGGGATGTAGACTGATCTTCCCCAATCCTCTGGCCACTGCTGAGTTTTACAAACTTGCTGGCATATTGAGTGTAGCACCTTAACAGCATCATCTTTTAAAATTTTAAATAGTTTAGCTGGATATCATCACTTCCATGGGCCTTGTTATTAGCAGTGCTTTCTAAGGCCCATTTGACTTCACTCTCCAGGATGTCTGGCTCAAGGTCAGCAACCACACTACCTGGGGTATACGAAACATCCATATCTTTCTGGTATAATTCCTCTGTGTATTCTTGCCACCTCTTCTTGATGTCTTCTGCTTCTGTTAGGTCCTTACCACTTTTGTCCTTGGTAATCTTTGTATGAAAAGTTCCTTTCATATCTCCAGTTTTTTTGAACAGATCTCTGGTTTTTCCCATTCTGTTGTTTTCCTCTATTTCTTTGCATTGCTCGTTTAAGAAGGCCCTTTTGTCTCTCCTTGCTATTTTTTGGAAATTTGCATTCAATTTCCTGTATCTTTCACTATCTCCCTCGCATTTCGCTTGCCTTCTCTCCCCCGCTCTTTGTAAGGCCTCGTTGGACAGCCACTTTGCTTTCTTGCATTTCCTTTTCATTGGGATGGTTTTAGTTGCTGCCTCCTGTATAATGTTATGAGCCTCCATCCATAGTTCTTCAGGCACTCTGTCCACCAAATCTAAATCCTTAAACCTGTTCCTCACTTCCACTGTGTATTCATAAGGGATTTGACTTAGATTGTATCTTACAGGCCCAGTGGTTTTTCCTACTTTCTTCAGTTTAAGCTTGAATTTTGCTATAAGAAGCTGATGATCTGAGCCACAGTCAGCTCCAGGTCTTGTTTTTGCTGACTGTATAGAGCTTCTCCATCTTTGGCTGCAGAGAAAATAATCAATCTGATTTTGATGCTGCCCATTTGGTGATGTCCATGTGTAGAGTTGTCTCTTGTGTTGTTGGGAAAGCGTGTTTTTGATGACCAGCTTGTTCTCTTGACAGAACTCTATTAGCCTTTGCCCTGCTTTGTTTTGAACTCCAAGGCCAAACTTGCCAGTTGTTCCTTTTATCTCTTGACTCCCTATTTTAGCATTCCAATCCCCTATAATGAGAAGAACATCCTTCTTTGGTGTCATTTCTAGAAGGTGTTGTATGAGGGCCACTCCATTTCTTTTACGGGATTCTTGCCCACAGTAGTAGATATGATGGTCATCCGAACTGAATTCACCCATTCCCATCCATTTTAGTTCACTGATGCCCAGGATGTCAATATTTATTCTTGCCATCTCATTTTTGACCACATCCAACTTACCAAGGTTCATGGTTCTTACATTCCAGGTTCCTATGCAATATTTTTCTTTACGGCATTGGACTTTCCTTTCGCTTCCAGGCATATCTGCAACTGAGCGACCTTTTGGCTTTGGCCCAGCCGCTTTATCAGCTCTGAATCTACTTGTGCTTGTCCTCCGCTCTTCCTCAGTAGCATGTTGGATGCCTTCCGACCTGAGAGGCTCATCTTCCAGCATCATAGCTTTTATATGCCTCTTGTCTTTGTCCATGAAGTTTTCTTGGCAGGGATACTGGAGTGGCTTGACGGTTTCTGCTCCAGGTGAATCACGTTTAGTCAAAAATCTACACTATGACCTGTCCTTCTTGGGTGGCCCTGCATGGCATAGCCCATAGCTTCTCTGAGCTGTTCAAGTCCCTTCTCCACGACAAGGCAGTGATCCATGAAGGAGACATTAACACTTGCTCTGTCACAAACCACAAGAGTAAATGAAATGTCCTTCCAACAGCACATTGGAATGAACATCTTAGTACTGATCTCACCAGTCTGCACACTGCATTGCTTATAACTGGATGCTCATTTGATTGGTACATACATAGCATTCTAAGTTTGACTAGAAACAGAAAGGGATAGTTGTGTCCAGAGTATAAAAGCAGTATAAAATTATGTAACTTTTTGCTCTGACGTAGAATGATTCCATTAATTGACTTTGAAAATGACAGGTAGTCTCTCAACAAAGACTACTAATGCTGCTTAACTGCCTCTTTGTCAGCATCATGGATGCTTACTTAGACAAACTTCAGGCTAGCAGAAAGCATCTTCAAACTGACAGACTACATTCTAATTGCGGATACATGAACTTCTGAAGTGATTTTTTTTTTAAAAAAAGTGCATTGATGTGTTGAGACATGCCAAATGCTCCAACAGAATAACCATTGCAGTCTTTTAAACAAGTCACATGTTTGATGCAATTTACTCTTGGGTCCAACAAATGCATTCAGTTTTATTTGTTAACCTAGCAGAACATTATTTATTAATGAGTTCTTCAAGCTTTATTAAGTCTAATGTCAAAACACCTCTGTGGGACTGTAGGAACGCTCTGTCTCTATGTTAAAAGCCTTCTAAAGAAAATGAAAAATTATGCACTAAAGCTGCAGATAAAACCCAATAGATATCAGTTCAATTACTCTTGATCCTGGCAGATGATGTTTCTGAATAGTTTTGAAAGAGCTGCATCAGATAATATAAGCTGTCTCAAATGAAAGAATTCTGCACTATCAAATGTACATAATTAGGAAGGCTTAGAGAAACTTAACAAAGCCACTCTGTTCCCAAAAGCTGAATGGTATATTCAGCAGGTGAAAGCTGACAAGTTCAGTAGAGAAGTACAATGCTTGCTTGGCTTCATTTATTTTTCACTTAGTCCTTTTATATCAGGAAGGGAAATTTCTATTTGCAAACATTAAAATGACGGAATGTTGAAACACAAGGGGGTATCAGAAGTTTTCTTAACTCAGTAGAACTAATATTGCACAGGAAGCCAATATTGGAGTTCAATAAACTTTTCCCTTGCTCGCTTCCTACTCTTTCCCACTCTGGTATTCTTACTAAGCATCTTATCTATAGCATTGGCATACAATTCAAAGTGATTTATTATTGGGCCTTTTGTGCACTCTAAACTTTGCTCAGATTTGTCCTGTGGTTTAGTAAGTCAACTAGCATGAAGATTTGACTGAGAAGAACTGGCAGTAACTTTACCTATATCTCTCTAAGGGTAAGAAAACACAAACAGACTTAAGCAGCCTGTAGTCTTTATTGATTGCAAATTAACACCTGGCTAGTTCCAGTTCATCTTAATAATGCAACATGGTCCGTGTCAGATTTTGCCACAAGCATTAGTTCAAGGGTTTGCATTCAGATCTAGCCCAAATACAACAGTCAGTAAGTACTGTCTGTGGCTTCCTAATGGTACAATCTGTGTTGTTTTCTGCAGTTTACTATCAATGCCAATGTGGTGTAATCATGGACTAGGACCTGAGAGACTAGGGCCAGCTACTGTCTGCACCTAACCTACCTCACAGGGGTGTTGTGAAGTAAGAGTCATGTATGCTACCTTAAGCTCCTTGGAGGGATGGTGAAACTTAAACGTCATAAGTAAAATAAAATATCTGGCTGTATGCTATGAAGTATTTAATACTCATACCCATATGTGTCACTGTCATGCTTCTTTCGGTGTGCTTATATATTTGTGAAATCATTTCTGCAATATATGGCTGTGGTTACAAACAGCTGACTTGACTAAGAAAATAATTTCAACTGTAAAGCAGTCATCCCAACCCTGCTGTGCAATGCCAAATCTATTTTTTTTTTAAAGCAATTTATTGGGTTTTACAATAGGAATAAGTGTAATAAACAATATAACATTCGTCTTAACATAATTTCACATTTTCTTTGAACTTCCTCACATCTCCCGCTCCCACCTTCATCATTATAACATTTTGTCAGCAATTTATCATCTTATTTAAGTTCTTATATCTCTTTGATATTTCATAATCTTAAAGTTCTCATAAAGAGTTAAACTTTCACAGTTTTTCTTATTTTCTTAAAAACTTCTAAGTTAAGTGGTGCTCAGTTATTTAGTCTAGCATCTTATTCAGCATTCAGTCAAATCACAATGTTTTTGTAGATAGTTCTTAAATTTCTTCCAATCCTCCTCGATTCTCTCTTCTCCCAGGTCACGGATTCTGCCAGTCATTTCAGCCAGTTGCATATAGTCTATCAGTTGCATCTGCCATTCTTCCAGTGTGGGTAGATCTTGAGTTTTCCAATGTTTTGCGAGTAGTATCCTTGCTGCTGTTGTTGCATACATAAAAATGTCTGGTCCTTCTTTGCCACCCCTTGGCTGACAATACCCAAAAGGAAAGCCTCTGGTTTCTTAGTGAAAGTATATTTAAATACCTTTTTCAATTCATTATAAATCATTTCCCAGAACGCCTTCACTTTAGGGCAGGTCCACCAGAGGTGAAAGAACGTTCCTTCACACTCTTTACATTTCCAGCACTTGTTATCAGACAGGTGGTAAATTTTTGCGAGTTTGACTGGGGTCATATACCATCTATAAATCATTTTCATTACATTTTCTTTCAAAGCATTACATGCAGTAAATTTCAATCCATTACTCCACAGCCTTTCCCAGTCCTCAAACATAATATTATGCCCAATATCCTGTGCCCACCTTATCATAGCCGATTTAACCATTTCATCTTGTGTATTCCATTCCAACAGCAAGTTATACATCCTTGAAAGTATCTTAATCTTTGGTTCTAACAATTCTGTTTCTAATTTCGATTTCTCCACCTGGAACCCTAGTTTCTTATCATTTTTAAAAACTTCTTTAATCTGAGCATAGTGTAACCAATCTCGCACTTTGTCTTTCATTTTCTCCACACGCTGCAATTTCCAATTGTCTCCATCTTTTCTAGTATTTCCCAATATTTTGGCCATTTGGCCTCCATATTGGGTCTTTTCGGGCCTTAGCTTCCAAAGGTGAAAGCCACCTTGGTGTTTTATTTTCCAGCAAGTCTTTATATTTTGTCCAGACATTAAACAGTGATTTTCTAACAATATGGTTCTTAAAGGCCTTATTTGCTTTAACTTTGTCATACCATAAATATGCATGCCATCCAAAAACATTGTTAAACCCCTCCAAATCCAACACATCAGTGTCTTCAAGAAGTAGCCAATCTTTTAGCCAGCAGAACGCTGCGGCTTCGTAATACAACTTTAAGTCCGGCAGGGCAAAGCCCCCTCTTTGTTTTGCATCAGTTAGTATCTTAAACTTAATTCTGTGCAATGCCAAATCTAAGTGTTATGTTGTGTACTTGCTCCTACGGTAATTTGTTCCACTGTGATTGTTTTCAAGAGGGGGCAGCACTTCATTTCCATGTTGGCAAGGGAGTTCTACTGTAATTTCCCTTCTCTCTCTCAGAAAATGTTCGGTATGCTTTATTGCTGGTAACTGCTCAAATCCCTCTCCCCCAAATTTGGTCATAATCTGAGTGTTTAGAAAGGTCACTGTTTAATTCCAAGTTTGCAATTCTGCTGGTTATAAAAATGGAAGACGAAGGCACCACATTTTATCACAACAAGAAAAACAAAGGCCCACCACCACCTCCCCTTTGTCCATAGGTTTGGCTTCAACAGATAGTACCCACCTCACTTACCAAAATTACGTATGACATGAATAGTTTGTTCCAGCTGCTCTATCTTGCCCCTGTTGTCAATTCGTAACCATATCCTGTTTGTGTCTGAATAAAAAAAAAGAATGGGGGTTGATTTACTTCTGCAGGTTGGGAGAGAGGAATTACCCAGTATGGGATTTGCCACCTGCAGTTTAATTTGATCCTTCCCTCAAGGAAGTAATTGGCTACCCAAAAATAGCAGGTGGGAGGGCCAAAGTGCCAATTATGCCTGCCAAAAGGCTTTTTCCTTTGGCCATTACAATTTCCCTGGTTGAGGCTGTAGTTCAGAAATTTCTTATCCAACCTTACAGTAGTTTCTGTAACCCACAGCAACTTCCCAATCAATTATATTGTTGTTATGTCTTACCCACATGACACAAACAGCTTGCAACCTAAGTGCAGGATTTTCTATTTTCAGTATTTTTGAAAGTGTTTTTTTTTAATTGCATTTTCAAAACCAGGAACAGAGATCATATTTAACCCCCCCTCATCACACTTACAACTTCGTACCAAATACAGCATGTATACATATACCATATGACTTCCCTTCCACACATTTTCTGGTTCCTTTGCCTTTCTGCTATTCCATGCAATTATTTCTTTTTGCTTTATTATTTAAACCATTTACGGTCCATCTCTGATTTTTTCCAATTGTCATTATTGAGATTTTTTTTTAAAAAAAAATTTATTAGTTTTCAATTACAATCCAATAATAGCCTCATTATAACAATACCAATTTATAATACAATTACTAATACCAATCCTTCAAATACTGAATTAAATAATTTAGGTGCTATGTGGGGTCCAATTCAACTGATGTCTCATGGCAAAAACAACAAAATGGGGAAATAACTTTTCTGCTTAAATACGTTGATAATATAATTTTGGTTACTGAGAATAAATTAGATTGTACAAAAAATGCTGAATGTTTAAATAAGCAAGTTTTGAGAATTTACATGCTAGATTAAAATTGATTAATTAAAATTAGGCACATTGAGAAGGGGATTGGAAGAAAAACACTGGGGTGAATCAGACAATGTTGGGTTTTCGGCGAAATCTTGACCCCGCTGGTTAAGGGGCCAAGGGCTCATTTTGTGGGGCACCATGAAATGTGTAGTTTAAACCATCAAAGGCTACAGTAAAGCGGTGCATCTTCAGCATATGGCAGAAACTATAGCATGAATGTCCCTAAGCTCCAGGGCTGGCCCATCCATGAGGAAAAGTGAGATGAATGCCTCATGCGGGAGGATCCACTGGAACAACAGATCCCAATGTCAAATTTTCTTCCCCCCTTGTTTCTGATGTAGTTCTTCCCTCATCCCTTCTTCCCTGGCAGGGAGGGAGACAGTATTTTGGGAGGGGGGCAGCCTCAGGTGCCAAAATGTCTTGGGTCAGCCCTGCCAAACAAACCTCTGTAGGGAGGAAATTCTACAAATGAAGGTAGTGGAATCAATTCTAAACTATAGTTAATATTTAATTTCCTCTCTCCCCTGCCCCTTTGTCCATATTATTGAAATGACTACTGATGTAGAATGGCTTGATTCAAAGGTGGTTATTTTTAGTATTGTATCATTACTTACTCATGTTTATATCAAATTTTCATTTTCATTTTGATGCTTGTAATTACTGTTACTAGCTGATATTTTATACAGGGTTTTTATCATTTCCTTTCATCTTGGCCCTTTCATTATGCACATTTCAGCACTTAACAGCAATACAAAGCAAAGAAAATGCTACAGTCTAAAGTCACTACAACAGAATAAGTTTAAATAAGAGGGTCAAGTCCTCTACGGTATAAATCAGCAGCAGGACATCTACTACAATAGTTGTGGAGGCAGCTCGGGCCCTCATTAACTGGTATAATTATGTCATTATGAAATAACTGGTATTATGAAATTTATATAACTTTCTTAGGGTGTTATGCATTGAAGTTCTCACCCTGGCCACCAGGAGTATCGTGTATATAGTTTTCACTCAGGTCCACGTCAGTTACTTTAGGCGGGAAACCCTGGGTTGCTGTTGCTACAATGTTGACAGCCGGCTGCCTATAAAAGCAGGCCGGCTGAGCTGTTTGCAGTTCAGTTCTGTTCCAGCTTACAAATAAAGAGCTGCTTTGAAGAATCGCTGTGTCGTCTGCTATGTCTACCCCCTATTTAACATAGACATAAGTAAATATGAACTTTTTCCTCCAAGAGAGGTTTCTTGGCACTGACATATCCAAATCAATTTATCAAAAAACTACACAGAAATTATTAATGCTGTCTAGCAAAGGCTCAAGTTTTGCTCACCTTTAAATTGAAATGGAATCAAATTTCTACCCCATTAGTAATGGGAGCATTGATCTTCAGCTGTGGGTAAAGATCTGCTACTAGGTCACATCCTGATCTAAGGTGTGTCACAACAGCAGAACTACCACAATGCAAATACATGGTTAAAAAAGAAATATGTCTCCAAATGTAAACTTGAGTTAAAAGTGGGCCTTGGGTTGTAAAAGGTTTAAGACTGCTGTGCTAGGACACTCAGGGCTGAAGTTCCGTGAGCCTTTGATATTGGCAAGGGCTCTAGAACCTAGATTGCTTAGACGCCAGGCAATAAGGCCTCACTTCAGCTTCAGTAACATGTGACCCCCAAATTCAGGCTCCCTACAAACTGATGCCAAAGTTTTGTTCAAGTTTGACCTCACTTCCCTTAGTTACTCTTTATTTTGCATTATTTTGGCAAGTTGTTTTGGTGCCATTAGCATGCCTTTGCCAAGAGCCAATTAATGTGTTTGTTGTTTGATGTTAGGTATTTCCCCTCATAAGCATAGCTGCATAGCTTATGAAAGGAAGCATGACTCGTTCTAGGAATGGCTTTCTGCATTTTACTTCAGCTGGTCTGAAAGATGGCTGGACACGATTTGTAAGTGTTGTGGGGGCCTAACAGACTGACTTGATAGGTGCAGCCAAAGAGAAGAGGCAAGCTGTTAAGCCAGGTAGAAACAGAAGCAATTAACCCCTTGACTGAATGACTCAACTAGCTTTAAAACAGTGTGTGATCTCGGAAATCACTCTGTTATAAAGAGAGTGGGCCAAGGACTGTGTATTTTGCCACACAAGCTGACCTAATACATTGTCTAGAAAGTTATTGGCTAGGACACATTCCTGCCTGGCTGCAGTTTTCTGCCAGTAGCTTTACATGGATTTCTATTTATTTTGTTTTTGCTTTCTTGCTGCTGCTTTTTTGTATTTTGAATGCTATGTTTTTGCTGACTTGATATTTTGCTTTTTATTACTTTTTCTGTTTTGTTATTAGCCGCTTCATTTTTTTCTGAATAGAAAAGAGGATTATATCACATATAAAATCCAAAGAAAGTGTTAAGGTGTAAAATGACTTTCCTGCATGCAACTATTAATAGACATTTTCTGTTCTTTACAAGCAAAACTGTAGGCAAAACCTATGGCCAGCACACCTTACGTGTTTCTAAGCCACCCAAAGAACTATATCTTATGGGACAGAATACAAATGTCATAAATAAATCATTTAAAATGAATGGGAGCATTAGGTGGGCTATCTTTTGACCATCCTAGTTTGAAAGTACATCCCCTTTGATTCACCTAATGCAGCCGCATCTTTAAAATATCCAATATACTGTTTGGAACATTTGGTGGTCTTGCACATGTGTACATTTGTGTACAAATTTTGGGAAGAGGTAATGAAGAACATTTCTGAAATAATAGGTGCACCAGTGTACCAGTGCCTTTAACCCCCAATGTGTGTCCTTTGTAAATTTTTGATTAGTCAAATACAGTAAAGACTTAATATGTAAACCTGTTATAATTTTTCTGTTAGTAGGGGCTTGTTTGACCATATTGCAGGGCTGAAAGGAGTCCTCCTTTCAGAAAAAAGGGGTTTTCTTCAAATATTTGTTTCAATAACATGTTTATTCTCATTTCTCAGAAATTGACTTACAACAAGGGTATCTCAGGGTGCAGGTAAACCTATGGATTTTGCCTCCATTTGCTGGCCATTTCTTACTTACAGGATAGGTCAATCACAGGGATGGCAAGTCTCAATGAAATATGGATTTGGCATTTATAATTTATTTTGTATTCTTTCTGTATCAGGTCCATTTTTGTAGCAACTTCTAATTCACTGTATAGTCTCTTGGGAATGTATTTTGTTATGTGAGGTAATGATGTGGCCCCTGTTTTTTGTTTGTTTTGTACTGCTTTTTCCCTCTCTTTTTTTAACACCATAATAAAGTCTTGATTTTTCTTTTCTTTTTAAAATAACCAGGATATATGCCTTATGTGCCCTGAGGGTCTGTATTTGGCTGGTTTGCTTCACTGTTTAATTGTGTGGGGTCAGTAGCATGTGCTGTTCTCAGACCCACTCAATTAGAACTGGGATTTTTGAGTGTGGCTCTTTTTGACTATGAGTTCTTCCATTACAAACATAACAGGTTCTTCATCTCTCTGTTTCATTTTTTTTATTTCAACAATGAAAGATGCCCTGTAGTGTCTAAAAAAGCAAATACATGCTCCACACATATGTATACACATATATTAAATTGGTATTACAATAATGTCCATCAGCATTGCAAAGGCTTGCCACAGTCAAAGGAAGGAGAGCAGAGGGTCTCTTTTTAGAAAGGGAAAACAGCCTGTTATGTACAGTTATCCCTGGAGGACCCAATCAAACCTTATCCAGTTCAGCAGCTATTGCATATGCTTTCAATTTTTAATAAAGCCCTTTGAGACTGGAAACAATGTGCATAGACTGTATCTTGTGACTAGCGTATCATACCAAGTGGGTTTCTAGAGTTGTGTCTTGTCTTCTAGACTTTATTGTCTGGTGGGCAATCATTTCAACGAAAACAAAAGGCCACCAGACACTTATCTTCTCTAATGAGTTTTATACGACTTGCACAGTATTCAAATACATCACAATGTGAATTTCACTTATACTTCAGAGAGAAATTCCTAAATATTTCTGTCATCATTTGGAAGGATACCAGAAATTTTGGTCAGAAGTTGAGCAAGTTTTTGGAAAACTGAAGATGAGGAATGATAGCACACAGTATTCCAGTTGTGGTCCAACCAAGGCAGAACAGAGTGGTACTATTATTTCTCTTGATCTGGACACCGTACTTCTGCTGCTGCAGCTTCTGCTACATCACACTGCTGACTCATGTTTATCTTCTGGTCTAGTAAGTCCTTTTCACATGTACTGCTGGCAGTTCTGATGCCACCCATCTTATAGCTGAAAACAAATATCCAGGCCTCCTCTGAACTCCTCTAGAGCAGCCCCTCTGTTTACTCTTCCAGACACACTTCTGGGACTTTTTCAGAAGAGCTGTTGAGCATGCTCCACTATGGCAAAAAAAGGGAAGAGAGGTCAGTTGATAGACCCTCTGTTGGCTTTGAAATATATTCTCCTGCTGTTAATAATGAGGATAACAGCATGAGTTACACAACTGCCCTTGAAAATCTATTCCCCATTTTAATTAGTAAAGTATTTACCTTTGTTTAAGAACAGAATAAAATAAAGAAGCAGAAAGATCCACAATTGACTACAGATCCATAAGCAACTACAACTGGGAAAAGTTATTTTACCTAATAACTCCATATATTATATTGAGAAAGAGTTGATACTTAGGATGGAGCAGAGGAAGAGAAACAAATGTAAGCATTTACACTTAAACAAACACACACAAACAAACACACTATTCTGCTATTGCTGTTTCTGCATAATTGTTTCTTTTGCTGTAGCAGCTTTTATGTCTCCTGAAAAGACAGGTTCTCTTCCCTACCGCTAAAATACCACATTTCTTTTCGTATTCTTCTATAGAAGTACAGTAATGATCTTATTGTGCATAGCACTGTATTTAATAGTCAATTAAAATTCCTATTGAATTTTTAAAATGGGCTCAGGAACTTTTGAAGACTTTTTTTATTTTAAAAAAACTACTTGGAAGGCTGTACTGATAATTGTTACTAGTGTCCTATTCAAAACTACTTAGGAAAAGACAGATAGCCTGAGAAAATAAATGAAGGGGAGAGAAACTATTGTTAATTTTTCTTTTCTTCCTCCACTGCACCATTCATTCCCAGCATTGAATTTCTGATTTCTTTTGTCCTTATTTCATTGTATGTCTTGCCATGACTTGCCAGTGTATGTTTTGCATGCAATTTCATTGAATGCATTGCCATTTAAGAGCAGTGGGGGCTGAATGCATGATTTAATGTATAGACGAAGGGAATGGCTTTTTGTTTATTTGATAAATTACAATGCTGACACATTTTTAGAATAAAGGACAAACACAGTTCTTTGTAGGGTTGGGCAAAGGGAAAGGAAATAAGTAGGGGAGAGTGTGGTATGTGCAAGGTCAAAGCCAACAAGCAGGTAAGCAGGCTTGGAAAACCATCTGTAAAGTGGGCAGGCTGAGTAAGCAAGTTCAAAGATGAGTTAAGTCTAAGATAGGGGTGTTTTTTCAGGGCTGCTTTGAAGTGATGATTGATAGATATATTGATTGATTATTGCAATAAAATGCAATGGCAGCACCATCTTGTCAGTGTGGTTTTATTCTGTTTGAAAAAGATAAGAATAATGATAATTTAGGGAGAAGTGTGGGAAGACGGGGATATGATAAATGATAGTTGATTTATAAAAGCCAGCAGAACTTGTTTCATATTCATTCTTACTAAGCTGAGAGTTATGAAATCTCAAGTGATGGTCAAGTCACCACTTGACACAGTATTCTCCGCCAAGTCTTTATTTAAAAACCTGTGGTGAATTTATATTTTATCTGGAAATTTGTGCCATTGTCCAACTATTTTTTAATAAGTTATTCCCACTATCCAGCTTCAATATGGTTTACTCTCATCATCGTATTACAGAGATGGGGAACCTGTGCTGCTCCAGGTGTTGCTGGCTTTCAACTCCCATCATCCCTGTCCATTGGTCTTGCTGAGAACTGGAGTTCAACAAACATTTGAATGGCCACATGATCTAATTCCCTGCCCTCGTACTTTCTGCTATTTTCTCAACAGTGACTTTAGTAAAGAGAGTTTTCTTGATGGAAGGTTTTTTTTAAAAAAAAAAAAATAATTTTTATTAGGAATTTCAGCATAGCAAATTATCAAAACATATCGTCTTCATTATTTCCCCCTTTATTTTATTTTTTATAATTGATATTTATTAAATTTTCAAAGAATAACAACAAAAATTTCCAAAAAAATTTGAGGATACAAAAAACAAAAATAGTACATAAACAAAAAAGAAAAGAAAACCCAGCCGCAAAGAAAAAAAGAGAAACAGAAAAACAAAAATATAAAGTCCTTTACAATCTCTATTGACTTCCTTTCTAGACTTCCTCCTCCTCCCCTCTTTTGTTTCTTAATTTTTAATTTTTACAGCAAATCCTTTCTGTTTTTTCATAACAATCTGTCATTACGTTTCCTTATTCTATTTTCCCTCTTGTCATATAAAAACTTTAAAACTCATAGCTTATATTCAATATTTACCAAATTCTTGCATCCTTACCTTTTTACGAATCATTTACCAATCCTTACTTAAGCCAAGTAATTTCATTCAACATCCTTCAAACATTTGTAAGCATTCCCAATATTAAAAAATAAAAAAGAAAAAATAATAAGTCAAATTCAGTCCAGTCAGCTTCCAACCTCCTCCCCTGGACCCGGATTGTCAGTCCTTTTAACCTCGATAATCCGGCTCCTTAACCTGGTTGTCTCGTATCCGAGGCCCTCAAGTCTCTTTCTTGCCCCTTTCGCCACTCTTGTTGATGATTCCTTTCCAGTCGTGGATGCTCCAGCAAGAAAATGCTTTTGACCCTTTGCAGCAAGTCCATCCCAAACCCATTGCCCAAGCCAGACAGCAAATAATACCACTTCAAATTTCCACAAAGCTTGGAGACTTCGGCTACTCCAATCCTCTGATAGCCCATCACCAGACTCGGAAGGTCCAAATAACCATATGGAGGGGGGTCGATCCATCCCCCCATTTCCAAATCTGACCACATTTCATCTTTCCGAATCTGGTTTGTCCCAAGTTCATTTATCAAGTTCAAAGGCTGATCTTGCCCGTCCAAAGGTCCCTCCATCTCTGAAGCCTCCGTCACTACAGCAGGTTCATATGCTTGTATAGCCTTTAACTGAATTTCATTTGTTTGCTGCTGTGCTCTGGTAACTTCCATCATCAAGGTCGCCTCCTGACGCATCTGGTCCAGCTGGGCACTTAGTTTATAAAAACCTTCCATGAACAATTGTTCAAGCCTTTGTACTAGCATTGTCCTTCAAGGTCAAAGAAAATTCTTTCCCACGACAATAGTCCAATAGTCCTTCTCTTTAATCTCTCTGCGTTGCAATTTCACTAAATTCCACTAGATGGAAATTTTTTTTTTTTTTTAAAAGGAATAAAAGCAAAAGCAACAATCTTTGTTTTTCCAGAAACAATTTATACAAAATTTACCCTTCAAAATTCAAGTGGCAACAGTAGAATCAAAATGTTACCCTTCTTTAACTAACTGTCGAGCTGGATAAACTTCAAAACGTCAATTCTGACAGCCCGCTCCTGGTTCAGGGCGGTGGAAAATTGCTTTATTTTAAACTCACTTCCGCAGGATTGAAAAGTCCAAATACAACCCCCTTCTTCTCCTGCAGTCAAAGGGGGGGTTCAGAAATCTTAGATGTTGAATTCTAGTTCTCTTAGAATTTAATTTTCAAGCTTTAGTATATTTTGTCTTTGCTTTCTTCTCATAACAAAAGAACGGAAGGCGACTTCCTGTTTAGACCTTCCCATTCCGAGTCCCAATTAAGTTCAATTTCAAGTCCAATATTATTTGTTTATTCACCAGTCTTAAAAGTGGTTCAACTCTTCCAAGATCAGGTACTCACGGATAGATATTTTAGATGCCAAATTGTCCAGGAAAAAGGCAGCGCTCTCCGATAACGGCAGTGCGGCTTTGCTGCACGGAGGAAGCAGTCGACTCACAGCACCACGCACCTCCACTCCGGAGCCCGTTACCGGGCTCTTGTACAAGGGGAGAGAGCGCTCCGGTGCCCGCCGAGTCCCACGTCCACAGGCTTCTTCCGCCTGTGGTTTTTGCGGGTCCCCGCTGCGCCGTAGCGGCAGGACCCAAGCCTCCGTGCAGCGGGTTCCCTTCAGTCCAAAGGGAATTCCGCCATTTTCCGGAGGCGCCACCCCGGAAGTTCTTGATGAAAGGTTCTTAACATGTGAAAAACACTTTTGTGTGCTGAACCCAAGTACTTTATTATTACTTGATGCATTCCAAATTTTTTACCACATTTATTAAGTACTCCGCACAGTTCTTCATTGGAAGACTAACCATTGCAAAATAAGCCCACACTTCTATCTCCTGTGTCTTGCTAGTCCTCTCTGGGAAGTTTGCATATGGCTTAGTTCCCCCCCAGCACCCTCACACATTGTTTCAGCACCCAAGGGTGTCATTTGTCAGGTTCTGCTATGCTGGAATAGTTTAATGTGGCCAAATATTCTCTGATGAGCTCTTTTCTTTTCCTGACCTTTGCTGAGCACAACTGTGAAAGTGCCTGGAGAGCTCCAGGCAGGACTCATTATTTACTGTGTGTGGGCTTTGAAACCCACCTGAAGTTCAGGTGCCCTTTTCAACTTTACCAAAATAAGACACACACACCTTTCAGGCAATTGCATTGGTGATTTTTTTTTTTACACGAGGTCAAAAAGTTAGATTATTCTTTTTTTTGACATGAGGTCAAAAAGTTAGACTACGAGCACAATAGCTTAGTTTAATATAATTAAGTTCAGACAAGGTTGGGAGGGATTTCTTCAGAATAGCAATTCCACTGCTTAGCCAGGCAGCCCACTAATTCAGCTACCGACCATAACAACCATATATTTATTATTGTATTCTAGGTGTGTTAAATAAAGCTTTAGCTCAGAAGTAGGACTATGGTTACCAAAACAACAAAATGTGCAAAAAAGCTAAGGAGTCAAATGAAAACATTATCAAGCGTTTGGAGGACTTTCTGCTTTATTTGATTATTTTCTTCATTGAACTGTTGAACTCACTCAGCCTGTCTGTCTATGAAAATGTGGAGGGGGATATAGGTCTCCACTGCCCATTTTACTTGCTCATATGCTGCTAAATTTTAGTGTTTTCGTAAGTACGTTTTTTGGTATTATGAGAAAGGAGACAATCAAAGTAGCCACTACTGAATATTAGGGAACATGCACGTGAACCACACTGAACCATGCCACTTCTAGGAACTAAAAAGGAAGCTCTCCATTACAATCATATTGGCTGAAGCTTGAACTCAGTTGAACTCGGGATGCTTCCTTCAAACTACATAGATCCTTGTAAAATATATTGAGCTTTGATGAAAGATCTTCAGTCAGCTGATTTTCAACCTTTTAAATTAGAAATGCAAACAGTCTTGCAAAGAAGTGTGACCATATTAAGTTTTTTTTAAAAAAAAATCAAAGGAAAGAACTATCAAGTCTTGATTACATCCCTCACTCTCTGATTTCCCTATACTGTATTAATCTGGCACAAACAATAAGTAAAAATTGAAAGCCTCCATATCACCTCATTTACTTGCCAGAGAAAGGAGGATCTGACAATTGCATGAGAGAGTGAGAAGATGATGCCATTGCTCCCACTGTGGAAAAAGTCTTAAAACATGGGTAGGCAAACTAAGGCCCGGGGGCCGGATGCGGCCCAATCGCCTTCTCAATCCGGCCTGCGGACGGTCCAGGAATCAGCATGTTTTTACATTAGTAGAAGGTGTCTTTTTATTTAAAATGCATCTCTGGGTTATTTGTGGGGCATAGCAATTCAATTCATTATTATTTTTTCCCAAAATATAGTCTGCCCTCCCACAAGGTCTGAGGAACAGTGGACCGGCCCCCTGCTGAAAACGTTTACTGACTCCTGTCTTAAAATTTTGCCATCTCCCCTGTGCTCCGGCGGCGCAGCAGCAGCAGCAGGAGGCCCCATTAGCTAAAGTGGTGCTTCAGGTTAAGAACAGTTTCAGGTTAAGCCCACTACATTGCTGACCATTATGACATGTACATTGGTGGTACAATCGCCATGTAAAGAGTGTGTGTGACATATACATTTTCTCACATACAAGGAACCAGTTTTCCTGATTCATGTTACAATGTTTAAATGTCATCCACACACCATATATTTGCTATGGGAAATGGCAATGTAGTACTTTTGAATCTGCAACAATAGTTCTGTTTGCTTTTGCAACATAAGCTACATAGGTTATCTTAGAAGATGGTATAAATATTAAACTGGAGTATACATTATTATCTTTATATACTAAAACAATACCAGAAGTTTTAGTGCAGTCACATGGCATGCAGTTTGTTTGATAGGCTGAGGTAACTGGAGGCAAGAGATTTAAAAAATATATATAAAATAGCATCTGCAATTTATTCTGTCCTTGTCTTTTTCAAATAGATAAAAAGTTATTATTAATCCCTCATGCAACTAGACTAGACTCTTACATTTGTGTTTTGAATTATGCATTTGTTCTTTATATCTTTTCCAGAATTTTGTTATTCTCCATGGTCTTCATGGTTAAAGAACCTGATTATGAAACATGTGGTACACTTCCTGCAAACTGAATAGAATATTTAATATTTTGGGCACAGCCTACCACAATGTCTTCTGTGTGCTGTGATATATTATGTTGTTACCGCTTCATCGGGAAGCCCCGGAAGGACAAAGGAAATTATGAAAACCTTCCAAGGGAAAAGAGTAGATTGCATTTGCAGCAAACTATGTATTTGCATTCAGCATGACACATGTTGTAGAATACCACCCCTACCCTGAATAACTGATTAAATTTAGCTGCTGGCCCTACATGAAGGTGCATTTTAAGTCTCCTTTGTCCAGCTGTTGTTAATACTAAGTAATTTTCACAGATCAATGGCCTGCCTTTTATCCTGCTTTCGCAGTGGTGTTGCCAAATTACTGCCATGTTACTAGGGTTGCTTCTGTTACAAGGAAAGCAATGTAGTGGCCTACAGATGTTGGATTCTAACTTCTATCACCCCTAACCATCGACTAAACTGACTGAAGCTAATGGAGCTTGGAGTTGAGCAACATCTGAAGGACATTCCTGTTCTATTATGTTTGTGGGGTCCAAATCATGAACACATTTCCTCATAACTCTGCACTCCTCATGAGCATTGGAAAGGAATTATTCGGCTATGGTTCCTGCAATGCAGGGAGTTTGACTAGATGGCCCACCAGGGCCCGCCCAACTCTACAATTCTATGAAAAAGTATTGTGTTTTGACAGTTTATCACTCTTGAAAATATGCTTACTCCTTTTAACCTCGGATCAGAAGGGAAGGTGACGGCTGATAGTTTTGCTATTGAAAACAGCAAAAGTTTCATTTGACTTCCTTCTCATCTGCTTATACAGTGGTACCTCGGGTTATATATGCTTCAGGTTACAGACTCCGCTAACCCAGAAATAGTGCTTCAGGTTAAGAACTTTGCTTCAGGATGAGAACAGAAATTGTGCTCCGGCGGCGCAGCAGCAGGAGGCCCCATTAGCTAAAGTGGTGCTTCAGGTTAAGAACAGTTTCAGGTTATGAACGGACCTCCGGAACGAATTAAGTACGTAACCAGAGGTACCACTGTAATGAAAATGGGCATGATGATGTCACTACACGATGTATTTCTTGGCCATGCAGTGTCTAGAAATGGTGAAAGGAATGGAGAAAAGTTTCCATAACTATATATTATGGAAGAGCTCCAGGTTTGAGGGGGCCATAGACAAAGTGTTATTTTGTGCCCCCCCCCTTACATTAGTGGTCCCTTCTGGCTTACCTAGTGACAGTACCATGCAATTGCTTTCATGAACCAATTAATCCCAAAATAGCATTACTGTGAAGCATTGTCGGAAATTAAAATGGCAGCTCCCAGAACCAGATTATTTGTAAAAGGAAGACATTATCAATGTATCCTACTTCTGTACTGAGGTCCCGGCAGCTACAAAGTATGTGGTTATACCAAACCGGCAATATGGGCAGAGAAAGAGGAATTCAGTGGGGGGGGGATACCATTTACATCAGCAAGTCTGTGCTGGTGGTTTAGATTATGTTCTCTCTTATGATGCCTATATTACCTGTTACACTTTGGTACAGATACTCAGATTTCTTGCCTCTGTCATGACACATGAGGTGCCTAGTCCTCCTGACTGGGTGGTGGAGTAGGGCAATTTCATGGTTCGGTTCTGACATTTCCAAACTAAAATATTCTACCATTATAGCAAGAGAACAATCAATTCACTAGTTTCTTTCTGGAATTTGTACCAATCAAGTTTAAAAGGACTTCATTTCTTGGCTATCGCTGCCAAATTTCAGATTATACACAGCATGCTTTTAGATGTGAACCAAGTAGTAAATCTGTGCTCACAACAAATTGGCTTGTAAACATGACACTGGCTATTTCTCTCCCACAAAAAATGAGCTACCACTCAGCAGGAAAAAGAAGCATGGTAAGTGGTAGTTGTCTGGGGGAAATACCTGGACAAAGATTTCTTCCACACTAGCAGTTTTCTCTGGAATTGCCATGGTTTGGTGACTTGCTTTTTTCAGGGAATTCAGCCAAAATTGTCAAATCATTGCAGTCCAGTGTTTTCTCTGTTCTCCTGTATTTTTTTTCCATCCCTGAGTTGTGACAATCTAGTTATTTATTTTTTGCAGTTGCAGCCTATCCACTTTGAATCATAGATATTTTCAGGGCTTCCATGCCTTTAGATTTCCCATTTGTTGGCCCTCCTTCCTGTTATTGCTGCCTGTTAATTGTGGTTTGGGAATAAGTGGCAAATAGCTTAACGTAAGAGCATAAGAATAGCCTGCTGTATCAGGCCAATGGCATATTTAGTTAAGTGTCCTGTTTCCACAGCGGCCAGACAGATACCTGTGGGAAACATGCAATAAGAACATGAACGCAAGGTCACATTCTCACCCTGAAGTTTGCAGAGATTGGTATTTTGAAACACTGCTGCTTACAATTGTGGAGGTAGAGCATATCCCGGTTGGCTAGTAGCCATTGATAATGCTCCCCCCATGAATTTGTCTAATTCTCTTTTAAAGATCTCCAAGTTGGTGGCCATCACTGCCTGTGTGAAGAAGTACTTTCTTTTATCTATCTTCAGTCTTCATTCAGCTTCATTGAATGTCCACAAGTTCTGATGTTCTGAGAGGGAGAAAAACTTTTCTCTATCCACTTTCTCCCTGCCACGCATAATTTTATAAACTTCTATCATGTCTTGCGCATCTTTTCTCTGAACAAAAGTCCCAAATGCTGCAATCTTATGTTCTTAAATATTTTTTCTTTTCTTTTCTTACTCATGAGTAAAAGTTATAGAGGGATCTAGGCCATGGGAAAGGTGCTGCTTTAAATCATCTTTTTATTCCACCACCATCTATTTGAAAAACAGCAGTGCTTCATGGGCAATAAGATGCTCTGGGTGAAAGCTGTTTTTTTAATACTGTGTGTTCCAAGTAAGTTCTAAATTTTAAGAAATCAAAGACTGTCTGTTGAGGGATCATAGCTAAAGCTAGAGTGTATTAAATCATAAGAACTTAAGAGCACTGTCTAGATGTTCAAGGGAAGTCCACAATGCTGCTGCTCCTGGCTGCATAAAGCTGCAACCCAGCAGCACTTTGCAGAGAGCCCAGGGGTAGAGAAGATGCTGGGTGGACCAAAGTAGGCTGAATGACATCTGCACATTTGCATGTGCACATTTGCGTTTGCATCAGGGGGCATGGCCATGGAATTCTTAAGCCAGTGTCTTTGTTCATATAAAGACTTCTTTTGAAACATAGTTTGGTAAAATGCTAGCAAAGGTGACACCAGAGCGGGTAGAAATTTGATTTTAGATGTGGATAAACACTTTTGCATTCCTGTCTGACTCTGAAGGTTTTTGAATGGCACACTTACTATTAAAATGAATGAGATTTTCAAGTATTGAAGGTTGTGTCCTCATATTCCACTTCAGACATGCCAGAATACATAGCAACTCCCTGAATAAAATCGAAGAAACCACTGCAAAATCTACATGCTATTTGGAAACTTTACTGCCCACCAAAATGTATAGAATATACTTTTTTTTAAAAAAAGTGCAAGAGCAAGGTGTTTTTTCCTGCAATAAAGTTGTTGACACTTCTATTCAATTTATTCAATCCCCATTATTTATGTTGCCCTTGAAATTGTTTTCTGCTACTTTCTTACATGATAGCCCCAGGACACCAATGAGAGTGAGATAAAATATCTCACTGAGCTTTCCCAGTGAAATATCTGAAAACAAAGTTTTAAAATGGAAAGCAATAGATAACTCAGCTGAAGCAAGATCAATGAGGACTTGAGATAAAAAGAAATAAAATATGTGTATTTCATTTAAATGTTCCCACTATAGCCTGTAATGGTATTTTTTTATCTAGTGAAAATTACATTAAATCACTTGTGTAAGGTTCAAAACATCTGCTCTGTTTCTATCTACAAAAGACAATGGATTGAATTCTAACTTTTTGCTCCATGAGCAGGAGAGTTCTGCTCATGAAAGGGAACTTTCCATGAGTGTAAGGTCCCCCCATGGCAACAACTCTCCTTCTACGAATGGAGGAAACTCATTTTCTCTCTTCATCAAAGTTGCATGACATATACAGCTGCTGTGGCATTTTTCAAAAATGAAGCAGGGAACTTGGTAGCTTGTAGAGTTTGTAGATTTTATAAAACCAGCAAGATGTTTAACAGTGCATAAGAATCAATTTCCATAGGCAGCGAGACATGATGTTTGCTATGCTGGTATTTCAGATTTAATCAAATTTGTTAAGTGGATCAATTTTTAAAGCGTGGGTTTTACTATACTGTAATAGTGATTGGTTGTCTGAAAGTTTTATAAATGCTGTGTTGTCTGTGTCTTTGTGTGAGTCAGAGATAGGGAAGGGATTAGAAGGCTCCCCCCCTCCCTTTCTGCCTTAGCACTTCTATTGCATCAGGTTTGTCTTAGGTTGGCCACATATGCATCACCAAAATAGAAAGTAAATACGTCACCATTTTGGCATGTATTTGCATCAGATTTCCATGGACTAAGTTATATGTATAGATGCAAATTTAGAAATAATTAGTTTAAATTTAATAGGAAAAAATCACTACATCTCACTATAGTTGACTATGGGTGGTTTGTGTCCCTGCTCAGTACCCTGTTGATGGGCATCTTCAAGGACCTTCCTGCTCTTCTCTTATGCTTCTTTTTCTTTAAAATGGGCATTGAATAGACAGCCCTTTTAAACAGAAGATACCTTCAAACAGAGGACTACCTGCTCCAAACTAGGACATAGATGGGCGGACTTCAAGTTTTCAAGATCTAGTTTCCCGTCCTAGAACTCCAAGGCCCACCAGCTGCACTTGTGTGCCCAATATTGGCTGAGAAAGTGAGGTGGACATATAAATCCTCATCCCAGTAATTTGTTTTTAGTGCAGGAACTGAGCTCACAGCCCTTTCAGTCCAGAAACTGTGGCTGGTGCATAACTCAGTGACCAGCTTGTTAATAGGAACTGAATGAGTTGACATATTACATCAATTCTGGCCTGGCTTCACTGGCTTGCAGAATGTTCCCGGATTGAAATTAAAGTGCTGGTTTAAAGCTATAAACCCCTGCACAGTTCAGGACTCCAATACTTTATGGAATGCCTCCTCCCATGTGATCCATATGAGCCTACCCAAAGCCTGAGGTCATTTGCAGTTTTTGGTAGAAACTAAAAGACTGGTTGACAAGAAAGAGGAGAGTTCTTTTTCCATCAGTTTATGAGACACTTTTCCCAGAGAGACTCTGCTGTCTTTCACTATTTTCATGGACATTTTTAGAGGATTAATTTTCATGGCAATCATGCTTATTATTATTTGTTAAATTTCTATACTGCCCTTCATGTTTACAATATAAAAAGACAAAAATACATAACATAGTAACGCACGAAACGATAATCCTTCCTACCCATACACAGTTTCAAAGGCCATAGATTGTTTAATTAGCCAAAGCCCTGGTTATAGAGAAACGTTTTCACATAGTGCCTAAAGATATGTAACAAAGATACCAGACAAGCTTCACTAGGGAGAGCATTCCATAAATGGGGAGCCACCACAGAAAAGGCCTGTTCTCGTTTTGTCATCCTCTGGACCTCTTGTGGGAGGGGGGTCACATGAAGGATGGTCTCACATGATGGTCGCAGGGTCTGGGTCAGTTCATATGTTGTTGAGGAGAGGCAGAGTTTTTTATTGTTGTTTTCAGAATAAGCATATGACAACTTTTCAAGTTTTAAAAACTTGTGTGCAACTCTTGTATTTAAAATGTAACACTTTTTTATGTAAGTTCCCTTTAGACTTTCTTGAGTCAGGTGACTTAAAAATGAAAATGATGATGATGCCCTGAGCTCCTTAGAAGAATTATGGGATAAAAAATTAATGAATAAATAAAATAATTCTGTTGCTTTCATCTTAAAATAAAGCTTCCCGTGGAGATCTAGCTGGGAGGGCCAGACATACTGTTTAGTAACTAGACTTTTAATTACTCATGATGCACATACATTATTCTAATACAGTATTATTTTTCTGCTAGCCACATTGATACTTTTTGCAGCATATTTCCAATTAGCTTTGCTATCCTTTTTAAAGAGGCAGTGTGCCAGAAGATGTTCGTTGTTCTTCCTGCAGAACAGAATGATTGAGTTTGAGATTCTGAGTACTAAACTGTTTCAATTGCTTTATATTATATATTTCTCATACACCATTAAGATGACAGTGAATTCCCACAGCAACTTTCACAATTACATATATATGAAAATGTTATTGATTCACAGCAGTATATAGCTGGTTTTCCTGTTTCTGTTCCACATATAAATGACTTTCCAAGGAGAAGCCAATTCTGAATTTTAATCAGCTGTCAGAATACTGGTGATTATAAAGAATCAAATGAAATTCAGAGTGCAGTATTGTGCTGAAAGCAAGGTATGTGAAAATGAAATTAGCCATCTCTTCTTTTTCTTAGATTCTGCAAACATTGCAAACCATAAATGTTTCCCTTTTACAATTTTCTTTGATGCAGCTCAAATGCACATCTTTGCAGGCCCCCTAATATTTGCCAGTAATCTCAGTCAAACTAGATTTGATGAGGCAGCTATGCAGATTTTATTCACATCTGTCCCATTTACATATAAAGCAGGGTAGGTGGCAGCTTTTTTTATTTACATGGTGTAGATCTAAAACCAATCCCCTCCCCTGACTTACCTTATTGCTCCAATTTCCTCAAGCCATTTTCTCCCAGCCCAGTTCACTTCTGATATTGAAGTGATTCATCCAATGCAGCGCAGCAAGGTGAGGCACGTTCCATTTCATGCATAGAACAGAACACCCTCCCGTACACTGCATAAGGGAATAGGGCAGACATATGAGTAAATATATGTGGCTGCCCCATTAAGTCTAGCTTGCCCCTATCTATGCACTAAAGTTTGACCAAACTGCGGGAGGCAGTGGAAGACAGGGGTGCCTGGCGTGCTCTGGTCCATGGGGTCATGAAGAGTCGGACATGACTAAATGACTAAACAACAACAACAATGCACTAAAGATGTTTACTTGGAAGTAAGTCCTATTTATTTCAATGGAGCTCACTTGAAAAGCAATCCAGCACTGCCAGTGGAGTTAGGTGGAGCAACACACCTATCACATCCAATTCTGGCCAGCGCAATGGAATATGGTGGTGGTGGTGGATTGCTTTGCAAGTGAGCTTAATAGTTGCAAGTGAGCTTAATAGTTAAATCTTAAGTGCAATTGATGAATAGAGTTCAGGAGGCTTGCTGGTGGATGGGGGGCTTAACGAAACAGCTGATAGATGAGGTAAAATTCCAACATGGTAAAGCACAACACTATGGAAAAGCAGCTCTGCCCGTTCTTTGACAGGTTGAGATTCACATGTTTATTTTATTCTTCTTGATTTATTCTGAATCAACCCTGTATGTTTGTACACATAAAAGTGCATTTTGTATGGAAAGTACCTTATAAGGTTCAGCAAAAAATATTCTGTATTTTTATGCTCCAGAAGCGCAACTCACAAAAGATGCCTCTGTGACTGTGTAAAAATGGATTCTTGTCAAACAGAGTAACTACCCTAATAATGTGATGATACGGCTGGCTCTACTGCCAGACTCCACTATGGCAAGAGCAACATAATTATATGAGAAGCAACAATTCCCTTATCTGTCATTAACATGTGTTGCTGCTAACTGTATTTCGGCATGGCTGAAGATGAAGCACAAAATTAAAATTTAAACCTAGTTCCTCCGCACATGGTTTTCACACTTTCTGGAGCTGCCAAAATAGACTGGGAGGTGGTAATATTTGTGGACCAATCAATTATCACCAAGATATCGTGCCACCAATTTTTGTTTCATGGATGTTTCTTCATTTCAATAAAATTAATAATATGTAGTTCCTACATTTCTGTTATGTTTCTTTTGGGATTTTATTCAGAGCTCACTGCTACAGAATAGAATGTTAAAATGATGGTGCTATTTATTTATTTTTCAAAAAAAGGTCAATACAGTTTTAACATTATTACCATAGAAATTTTGGAGCTTAACAAGAAATTTGGTTTCCTGGAATACAAATGCTGTGGTTTCTATACCTGCCAAAAGTCCAATCAGGTTAGCAAATAAGAACTATCAGAGTCAGAAGCTGTTTCGTTGGTTCATTAGCAGATATATCAGCTCCAAGGTGACATTAATCTAGGCCCAATAAAGAAAACTGAATAAAGAATCCTGCTATTAAGATATAACTTGGAAGGTGCATAGTAAAGACCACATTATTTTATTCTAAATTAATTGAAGTGGAATAATTATTATCTGCATCCAAATTTATCAAGAAGAATTATAACCCCACACGTACATATACACTGAAATAGTGGGGAAGTCCTCCTTGTAACCTTGTTCTTTATATATAGGAAAGTAGATCATGAGACAACAAACAAGAGATGGATTATCTTGTAGCATTTAAGGTTTATCTTGTAAGAAATAGTCACGAAATCCCACATTACGTAAGTTGCTTACATAAAACCAGATAATGCAATGATTGACCAAAGTGGGTAAAATACCAGCATTCTTAGGAAATGTTCATGTCAATCTTCAAACCACACCCTTCAGATGACTTATACTGACTTTAACAAAACTTCTCTGCAGCCAGAATTCTGAGGACCATAGCAACTGACATACAAAAACTACAATGAAGGTAATTATAAACAACCTAATTTATTTTTAAAAATTACAAAATGGTGAAGATGTCTAGAGGAACGAGAAGAAAACATTACATATAGATAATGTAGGACTAAAAGAAGTGACTTTAACTATTATGGCCCAAATATAGTAAGTGTTGATCCATGTCAGGTTTCCACTGACATATTATCACCCCTGCAGAATTTTTATAATATCCACCAAATATATGTGCTGTATCACAGAAGATGCAAATCATAAGGCTGCTCAAAAAGTGCCCAAGTACTCCAGGCTCAAAAATGGTGTGTGGCAAAATACAATTACTTTGCCTCCCCTATGCCCTCATAAAGTAATGGTAATTTTTGGGATTTTTTTTTAATGTGGGGTGGGGTTCACCATAGCTGGTAGCAGCAGTAGAGACAGTCCTTTTATTAAAACTCCCCCGTCCTACTTTATAAGCTGACCAAATGCAGCACTGAAATAGCCACTGAAAAAAGTCCCCCTGCCCCCAAAGTTGGAAAAACTTTACATAAAATTCAAAAAAGTAACAATGACATACAAACCCTTAAAAAAAAAATTATCATCCACCTAAAAAACAAAGCAAAAACTATCATATTCTTTCAAATTCTCCTCTGAACAGGATGATGGGTGGTGGAGCATTATCATAGCCCTAGAAACCTACTAATTCCAATGAGTATTTCTGAAGGGAAATTCTGCAACATGGTAACATCCTGGGTTTTTGAATATTAGAGTGGTGAGATAGAGGCTTCATTAAAAAACGATCAGCTAAAACAACAAAGAAGCCAGATTGCTTTCTAAGTCTTTTGAAGATCAAAGCTTTAAATATAATTTAGATGCACTTTCATAAATAATGAATGTTCAAGTGACTGTGGCAGCATTCAGAAACTGTACATGATAATTATATTAAAATTAAACATAAGCAAACACGTTTTAAAATAGCTGTTTTCATCGACTATATGACCCAAGAGGCAGTCAACCACAAGAAGCAGATATAACTAGGATTATATTAATCTTGCTTAGGTCACTTTGGTACAGGATTCATTGCGAGTCTTATTTGGCGCTAAAATAAAAAGGCGAACGTTTCTCATATTAAGTAACGGATAATGTATAAATACTTCTCATGTCAGTATTTTCAATTTGCTGCTGAAATTCAACACATTATGGTAAGAAATGTACTCTTGGAATTTTGAAAGTGGTTCATCAAATGAACATTGTATGACGACTACGACCACACAGTATGAAGGAAATGGAAGGTTAACTTTTCTCTCTCTCTCATTGGGTCATATTTGTGCATTGAGCAGAAGAACTAAAAGGGAAATCTATGCACATTCAGCTTCCACTCAACATCTGAAGTCTGTCTGAGAAGATCTCCCTCTGTCTCGCTCTTTCATGGTGTTTCACCATATGGCAAAAACCTTTAGACAGGTGTTTGTTTCATAGGTTTTTTAATACTCCAGCTGGGATGAGACCCTACTCCCGTTCTTTAATGCATGAAAGACTGATTTAAGAAGGGGGATATGTCGTGGCTTTGATGGTGCTTTAAAATTAACCAGGAACAATCAACAGTATCAATAGCTACTAGGTATGCTGGTTAAAGAGAACCATGTTCAAAGGCAGTATAACAATGAATATCAGCTGCTGAGTGCAAACACTGGGAAGTATATTGCTTTCATAACCTGCTTGGGTGGCTTCCTTGATGCATCTGGCTGGCCTTTGTGATAAACAAGATGCTGGGCAAAATTAACCCTTGGTTTGAACTCTTGCATTCTTATGAGTCCCTTCTTCAGAATATCCCCTGTTAGGCCTGTGCTATGCTTACACGCTCCATTGTGAGCTGGAATTTACTTCATGCAGACCCCTTTCTGCCTCAAAAAGGATATTTTGCAGTGAAGGGCAAGATTTAAAAATGCCAGATGAAGGAACAGGACTGCCCAGCAGCCTCATTCCATCTCCCCATCACTTCCAGCATGCAGATTACTATCTTCAGGCACAGCAGCTACACTGGGTATAGAGCCTAATGGGGAGATGCCTCCCTGATTGTCCTGTGCAAGGTCCAGAAAGTCCTTTGTTAAGAGATAAAATGCCTCTCTGTGATGCAGCACAAAAATGGAGGGAGAGGGTAGTGTGTAGAAAATGGTTTATTGACCCTGTGTGAGGGAAGGAATTTTGCACATGACATTGTTGTGAATTTAAAATAAATAAACAGAAGTTATTTATTGGCCCGACATATTTCAAGTCTCACGACTTTCCCTCCAGGGCAACTGGTTTAATCCATTCAGAGGATTGAAGACTGTCCTACTAACCCTGTGAATGGATTAAACCAGTTCTCCTGAAGCAGGACTGCAATATTTGATGCATGATTGACCAAAAAATAATAATTCAGTGCACGGTTGTGATCTTCTCTTTCTCAGATTTTGTGTTGATGCCTTACCTTCGCCCCTTTCCCTATGACAGAGCATGTCAACACAGCAGTAGTTCGTCCAGTGTAGCAGCAGTCTGTGTGTGTTGCAATCCTGCTGACTCTAGAAGGAGCTTTTCTGCCTTCAGTGAATGTAAGGCAGGAAGACAGCAAAATATACCTTTAGATTTTTGTTGACCATAATCAAACCTTGGCAGTGTATGCTGAACTAAGGTTTGTGTTAAGTGGCCAACTGCTACAAAAATATTTTTCCTAGATTATTTTTTGCATGTGTGTTCTATGTTTGACACCATGCAGCTGATGCTTGGACCAGTATAAGTGAACAAAAAACATGTAAAACATGCATTTGAAAAATGTGGGGAAAGGTCATGAATTTGGCCTTCTCCCCTTTTTCTTTGTCATTTTTTGGGGTGGAATATAAGGAAGGAAGGGGAATACAAATAAATATTTCACTTTGTAAGAAGTATATGTTAAAAGGTCAGTCAGGTTAATCTCCCTTTTCACAATAATGAGAAATTAATACATAAGTCATCCGTATTTTATCTACTAGGCATTCAGTAATGTCATTGAGAGCCTCAAGCTGCAGGAATCTTTGGCAAAGCACTATTGATGCAGTCCTCTCTGCACAATGACTCTATCAATATATTTGCCTTTCCTTCAATAACATGAGCGTTAAATGTGACATTTACCACTACAACTACTACTACTACTACTAATAATAATGTTTATACCCCGCCCATCTGACTGGGTATTAACTTCCCTGAACAGGGCTGCTTCAGATGTTGACGCCAGACCTTCAAATGTCACAAACCACCAACCACCTGCATTAAAATGGGATTGCAAATGCCTGTGAGACTGATGAGATGTGTCAAAATGCCATTCCTTTCAGAGACGATGTATGAGGGGAAAGATGGCTGCCACTATAGAGCCATACAGCCGTTAAGGCTGAAATGCTATGCACAGTTAGCTGAGTTCCATCAAACCCAAGAGGCCTTATTCTGAGTGGATATACCTAGAAAAGCTAACTGTTAAGTTACCCTTTGCCTAAATCACTTTCATCTAGTGGGTATTGGGATGCACACTATGATCTTTCCTCTCTACAGATGCAGCCATCAAGCGTTGTGAATACTAGTGTTTCTCCTACACTCGGAGGGACAGATAGCAGCACATTTCCTCTTCATGCCTGCATTTCAAGCAACCCTGGAAAATGAGCTCTGCACGCTCATTTCCCCAATTTCATGCTTTTCCCCATTCATCATGAGCAATTGAACACCAGGAAATTATATAATCCCATTGTTCTTGCTGGAGTTATGAAATTCCATCAGTCCGTTACTGATGGAGAAACAGTAAAAGCTGTATTTAATAAAATAATGAGTTCCAAGGAAATGTAACTATAAATATGAAGCTGCCTTATACTGAATCAGACCACTGATCCATCTAACCTAGTACATCTGTTCTTATTGGTAGTGGTTCTCCAAGGGCTCAGGCAGCAACCTTTCCCACTAAGAGCCTTGTCTTGCAGAAACAAAAGATGGCGGGAGCATCAACATCCAATTAATACTACAGCAGATCACAAGTATAGTAATATGGAGGTTCAACAAAAACATAATAGTAAATCTCCAAAGTGGTAAGAGATATTGGGGGGCTCCTGGTACGTAAGCTAGGTTTGGCTTCTTTGAAGGTTACTGGGGGTTGATGGGAATTTTGGTGATATAGGATACACACACACACACACACACACACACACACACCCCTATACTAGGGATATGCATTGGCCAAGTGTGAAAGCGCGGGTGAATAACTTGGTGAATCGGGGTGATCCAGGGTTCTCTTCCACATTCATGGGTTGAAATGTGATTAAGCATTTCCATACATTGAAATGAATGGCTCTACTTCCATTCAAATGGATTCCACTTGAGAATCTGTGATGTTTGCTCTGTGATGTTTTATTTACACATACAAGTCATCAATTATCACTGCAGACATCAAGTAAGGAGCATGCATGTGCAAGCCATTCCTTGGTCTCACCCTCCTACACTTCACACTCACCATATTCTGGAATTGGTGAGTTGACTCTCAGAATAGATATCAGACAGGGAAATATTGTGGGGGGTGGGGGAGAGGAAAGATGTGGCTCAGCAATGGCATCGTGTTATTTTAATCTAAATTGTTTGCATATGAAACACCTTTCAGCATTCTGTGCCTAGGCTTTGCTATGGGAACAATTGAGATCATGGGTAGAATTCAGCGTAGTCTGTCAGCAAACACATTTCTACCTGCCTGGCAGAACTTCGCCTGCAGGGGAAGAGAAGGGAGAATGACCCATTGCGCTAGCAGGAGTCCTTGTGCTGGCTTCTACTAGGATGAATCCGGTCAATAATTTTTGTTACAGTTTTTTAATATATCTGACCCAGTTCATGTATGTATGATATCATTTGGCACTTTCATATGCAAACAGTATAGGCCAAAAATCCTGATAGTGCTGAACCACATCTCTCTCCACCCACCCCTATATTTCTGTGCTATCATGCAGTTTGTGATAAGATATGGTTGTGTTGTCATTTCCACATCCCAGCTCCACTCCATTTCATTGGCTACTGGTTTTAGGGGTTGAGGAAGTACTAATCCATTGTCATACTCCTAGTCCTTGAGCTCCATATTTTCTATTGATAAGTAACATAGCATTTCACTAGTAGTTTTCTTTTAAAATAATTTTCTTTTGTATGCTTCAAATCCTTCTTCCTCACATCTCCTTTCCATACATGTCAACAGCTGAACTGCGTAGGTTTTTTTTATAGCAATGTTAATATAGGCCTTCTGATGTACCACAGTGCTATCAGATTCAATATGTTAGCTGTGACTTTCAGGCAGTTTCCAACTTTGCAGATCTTTTTTCAAAGAAAAAGGTTCTAAGTTCAAGCAGTCATCAAGCATATGCTCCAGCAATTACCAGAATGACAACCCTGTCATACAAGAAAATGAGCGACAATAGTTGCTATGGGTTTCCTAGCTCACCTAATCGGATTTCTTCAGAGCCCATATAATTATTGTCATTAGGCTGAGCTTCAAATGGCATGACAGATTTATTTAAAAGCTAAAAATAATGTCCAACAGCAGATCATTCTATTATTTCCTTTCTTCCCCTTCAGAATACCTGTGCAGAGACACTCAGGCAACATCACTGTAAAATTGTTCAGAAATCAGTGTGATATTTTGAAAACAGGCTGGTTGACCTAATTCTGAGTTATAGCATGGAAAAGGAAGCTCACTAAGAGAGGATGTGAGTATCTGTCTCCTTTTCTCCCTATGTCCCTCCAGGAAGGAGATGACTAGGTATGGTGAAGAGGTTTTCTTAAACAAATACACAAAGTGGAGGACTACAGTCAAACATTTGGCTGGTAAATTTTCATCAGTGTGTGAAACTTAGCACCATCCAGCTACAAACCACCACTTTGTTCATCCTGGGGTAGAGTCTCTGAGCATTAAGGGGGGGATCTTTTGTGTATCTAGATGTCGGAATCTGATGTCAAAATAAAGGAATTCCTTAAGGGAGTGAAAGGGAAATCTGTAGCCAAAGAAATGGGGCAGGGGACAAGAACTGCAAGTCACAGAATCATAAAATCATAGAATTGTAGAGTTCGAAGGGATCAAAAGGACCTTATAGTCCACGAGTGCCCGACATTCATCTACAGAATTGTAAACAACTAAAGCTACAATCATATACATTTATTTGGGAGAAAGCTTCACTGAACTGAGTGGCACATATTTGCTCATAAAAATGCATAGGATCAGGCTGTGTGTCACAAGCAGCATTTGAAAATTCTTTACTGGGAAGGCAGAGAGAGAGAGAGAGAGAGAGAGAGCGCCAGTGAATACCATTGTCAGCAAATCCTAGGAGTCTGAAAGAGAGCAGGAGGGTCTCAAAGCAGTGACAGGAGAGGGGATTCACATGAAAGATGTGTGTTTAAAAGGCCAATGGAGTAAACAGTAACAGTTTCATTTTATAAAAGAAATTTAGAATGCATTGCACTGCTGAAATTGACATGAATGCTTGCCTTATAGATAAGGCAATCGTTTTGTGCTACTAGAGACAGAGGTACAGGTGGGTTGGTAATGTAGAAAGGCAGGGTTACATGCCTTATCATGGGATTTCATCACAGTCTAGTAACAGGACAGTATGGACCAGTATTCAGGAGAGGCGAAGGTCCCTTCTGCATTAGCTAAAGGAGTGTGTGGTGATATTTAAACTGGAAAATGAACCACTTGAGGGTGGCACTAATTAACTGAAACATGGTTATAATTAACTGAAGATTCCCATGTGATTATTAAAGCATTTTAAAATGCATGTGTGATTTTAGCCATAATTTTTTCTCTCTAGGTGTTTAAATCAGCATAGCAGGGATAGTATTATCACCAGTGACTACTGTTGTGCAGGAGTCACTCATATTTAAACTCAGCATAGAACTTCTACTGCTTTCCATTGCCACTGCTCACAACCATTTCACCTCTGTGCTCATGCATGTACCTTCATGCACCTGACAAATTAAGAATATGGTGACAAAAACCTCCATGATTGTCTCCCCTGGCCATGGCACACACTGGTCCCATTTCTGCCTCCCCCACAGAAACAGAATGTCTGAAGTCAGCCTATGTGTACCATTTCCTCAGTTTAGGCTCAGTCAGTCAACTGATTCTTCAAATATTTTTCTTGTATTTTACATGTAGGCCAACTCCAGACATGCAGAGGTGTGGCCTCACTGCACTGGATAAGTCAGTAAATATCATCTGAACTAGTCTACTGAGTTTGGAAGGAGAGTGCAGAAGAGAGGATTGTCACTTCTGAAGCATGGTCTGCTGTGGGTTGGGCCATAGGCTAAGGGCATTTCTAGGACTACTGTGTAACAGATAACTGGAGCTCTGAATCAGAGCACCAACGACTCACTAACCACATGTTCAAGATATGATCAGAGGCAGATTTAGGGGAGCACAACTAATTTGGTGACGCTAAGATTGGAGCCCTGCAGGCGCCACAGGGGATGCCATGCCTATGATTTAGAAAGGAGTGCAAGAGGTGGTCGGCACCAAATTTTGCTGTCCCACAAGGGTGCCAATGAAATGTGAGACTCCGGGGTCTGATATGACACTTCAGGTTGCTGGCCACTGGTCTGCACAAAGTAGAATAATAAACATAGCTAAGAAACTGGCAGCAAAGCTTTGGATGGTGGCCTCCATGTAATACTAGCAAAATAGAAGAGGCGTGAGTGGTATTCAGCTACCATACCCTGCCAATAAAATGATTTCCACTTCTGCAATGGGGCCTTCACCACCTTCTCCCCAGCATGCACCGTGCACCCTCCTCAAATCTGCTCTAAAGAACAGGGAGAGGGAGAGGAGACAGGGAGAATGTTCCATTGTGGTAAGAAAAATCCTTGCACTGGGGGAATGAGAGACTCAGCACTACAATGTATTGCACCCAAAGGTTTTGGGAATTTGTTCAATTGCAGCCTTCCCCTCCCTCAAATCAACCTTTGCACTCAGGTGCAACAATTTAAGCTGGATTTTTTTTAAGGGAAACAGATTATGATTATAAGATTTAAATGAGAAAATGTAATGTTACATCTCCCTCTCTCTCTCTCTCTCTCTCTCTCTCTCTCTCTCTCTGTGTGTGTGTGTGTGTGTGTGCATATCTATATGTATCCAATTTAAAAAGAGTACAGAAAAAAGCCCAGGAAAAAGCTGTTCTACTTTTGGAGTCAGTGTGTGCAGACTGATTTCATGGTTAGTTCACTGCATATTCTGGTCACATTCCCTGTCTGGTCAATGCCTATGCAGCGGTAGAAGAGATAATACCTGCACCTTGTGGTGACACAGCATAAGGAAGAATCGCACTTGCTTTTCCATGGGAACCTTCCTATGCCATCTGAAGGAACCTTGAATTGGTTTTGTTTATTTCCATTCAGTGTCTGTCTCGGACTATTAGAGAAAAAACATCTAAAAAATTCAGAAGCTGCTCTTTGAATTTTGATCTCCTGTTTACAGAACTCATATTTAAATGGGAATATAGTTCATTGGTACAACCTCTTTTTTACAAAATATCAAAAGATGTTATAAAAAGGGAAAAGGGAAATAAAAAATAGCCATTGTGTTAGTATGATTATTTTGAACAGCACCGAAGCGTTGCTTGCTTTCAATGCAAAATGCACTGTAGTCTCAAATTCAAGGCTGTCAGCACTTCAGAATTAAGTAACAATGTTTACAGTTAGCATAAGCAGAAACCACAGCTCTTTCCATTTCAAACACAGTCCTCATTGCATTTTGTAGATCTATATAGGAAATTTATAAAGCTTTGATGATAATATGTGCTGTCAGTCCATTAAGTTGATTTTTATGGCAGGAACACAACCGGCGTCCATTTCTATGAAGCTTGAAGACTACTTCAGAGCTCCAAGAATGCCGTTTGATACCTGCCCTCTTTTATGGCTGACCTTGAGGGGAGTTCAGTTTTGTAATTTATGGCAATACCATCTAGGAATACCCATTTGCAAGATTCACTGTCATTTAGCGCTAAACGATTGTTCCTGACTCCAAAGACAATCTGAGTTCCTGACAGGACAATCCCATGAAAAATATTGCCTGACCGCCCAGGTGTCCTTTCCAATTATCTGGAGTAGAAATTAATACTTTTAAAAGCTGCTAGTTTTTGAAAGGTTATTACAATTTATTCCAATGCTTTCTTTTGCGCATTATGATGAATTGGTTTATTACGCTGCTATTTTCCATGTCAGCTTTTTAAGAGATAGAGCTGTAATGTTGAAGCATTAGAGAGAATGGCACATTTATCGTCTTACAATTGGGTAATATATACTTTTTTTAGAAAAGTGAACTCTATTTTTAATACTGTAACAAGTAATTTTATATTTATGAATCCTCCAACACCATTGTCAAACATTATTTATTTCCATATACTAAAGACCTGAGAACTTTCAAATGTTGACAATAACTTGGATAGGGGAATGGTGACATCATTGGTGTAAGTGGTGCCTTAAGACCATGTTCCTTCCGAGCCTGGGACTTTTTGGCTAAGCAATGAGCTAGTAGCTACCGCTTGCTCAAAATATTGAGTCTCGCAGATGGGAGATGTTAAGTTGTGGGCAAACATATCAGACAACACAGTGATTCTTCAAACAGCTCTTGTTTATTCAAAGGCCAGAACAGAACTGAACTGAGGAGCTCAGTCAGCCTGCTTATATAGAGCTCCAGAACAACGTAACTGTAGCAACTTTCTAAAACTATCCAATCACTGAACGTCACTTTTGATCCTTCATTTGCATACAAACTATCCAATCACTGAATGTCACTTTCGATCCTTCATTTGCATAACTATCTATAGTATCCCCCTCCTGGCTCAGGGTGAGAACTTCAGTACATAACAGGAGATGCAATGTGGAAAAAGTGGACAGAGACCAGTTTTACTTCCTCTCTCATAATGCTAGATACCAGGGCCATCCAATGAAGCTGAATGTTAGAACATTCAGGACCCAGAAAGGCTACATTTGCACATAACACTAAGCCAAACCACAGTTTAGTGCAAATGCATGAAAGTGTGTGCTCCTGGGAAATCACAGCCAATTTAGTCCTCTTTGGTCCTTTGAGTTCAGTGTAACATGGCACCCACGCCAAGGTTTCGCTTAGTGTGATACTCGAATGCAGCCTCACCGTTAAACTCCTATTTCCTTAACCACGACCTATAGCCAATGTTTGTTTATGTGGCCCTTGTAAGCCTTACTGTTACTTGTGAACCTAGACAAACAGAGCATAGTACCACTCTTACCAGATGTAGCAATGGTCAACAATGTGGATGGTTTTAAAATGGCATTATACCACTATATGGAGGTTAAGACTATCAATGGCTACTAGCCATGCTGGCTATATTACCTCTAGTGTCAGAGTATCTGTTGCTGAGGGTGCCTGTTAAAACCAGCAGCTAGGAGCACAAGTGAGGAGAATGCTGTTTTGCTGACATTCTGCTTATGGCTTCACACAGGCATCTGGTTAGCCGCTGTGAGAAAAGAATGAGATTATCCTTTGGTCTGATCCAGCAGGGCTCTTGTTATGTTCTTAAATTCTGAATTGTGTTTTCAACATTAATTTAGAACCTTAAGCATTGCCAGAGTAAACGAAATATTTGTCTGTCCATTTTTAATTTAAGGTCAAGGGTGGAAATTTGTTCTTGAGACATTTGTTATTTTATTTCAATGGACTGTTTGAGTCTTAGATGCATAATCATCATTTTAATGTTAGTAATCGAATTTTCCTCCCTGTTTATGCTGAAAGAAACACAAACTGCAGTCAATCTGTATGTTCAGTCCTACTATAAGCAGTAGTACCTAAAGGGTCATGGGACGGGGTTGGCACTGTGGGTTAAACCACAGAGCCTAGGACTTGCTGATCAGAAGGTCGGCAATTCGAATCCCTGCAACGGGGTGAGCTCCCATTGCTCAGTCCCTGCCCCTGCCAACCTAGCAGTTCGAAAGCATGTCAAAGTGCAAATAGATAAATAGGTATCGCTTCAGCGGGAAGGTAAACAGCGTTTCCGTGCGCTGCTCTGGTTTGCCAGAAGCAGCTTAGTCATGCTGGCCACATGACCCGGAAGCTGTACACCGGCTCCCTTGGCCACTAAAGTGAGGTGAACACCGCAACCCCAGAGTCAGTCACGACTGGACCTAATGGTCAGGGGTCCCTTTACCTTTACTTTTACCTAAAGGGTCAGAAATAATTGAAGTTCCAGCCTAGAACCTGATATGCATTCCCTAACCTTTGTTTCCATTGATACTTGGTAAAACAGGGATTATGCAGAAGAACAGGAATCAATATGTGGTTCCTGAAGTGTAGGTAGGTTCAGGCATGACCCAAGACCGAGATTCGGCTCAAAAAAAGATTTATTGGAACATCAGGAAGAACAAGAATGACAAACAGGGGCACTTGGCCCAGTATATATACCTTAAGCCAGCCCAGACAAAACACACACACCGCCTGTGAAAGTTTGCAATTTGTGAATCACAACATTGGCCCTCAGCAGGGATTGGCTGTCTTCTAGCTAATAACAATGTCATTGGAGGGTTTTAGAATCCTCTCTGTCTTTTGTTATGCAGATGAAGCTCCTGAGCTCCAGGAGGCCTGAAGGTCTAGGCCTGCATTGCTTCGGCCTAAAACGCCTGCATACATAACAGTTGCAACACCCAAAAATAACTGTGGACTCAAGGGCATAGAGAATCTTCAGTATAATTGATATTAATACTAGGTTTGTGGACATGTCAGTCCTCCATCAATATTATTATGTGCTTTCTGGAGCAGATCAGTCATTCAGATACAAGCTCCTGTTGTTGCATAGGGACACCTTAGACAGCCTCTGCTGCCCAGCAGAGTCCTACATTGTTTTTTAATTAGAACAATTATTACACAAGTTAGTATTTGGTATTATTTCAGAAAGACAGCTTCCTGTGGGGAAATGGTATCTATTACAAAAAGTTACAGGTTAATGCTAGTGAGGCCCCGATGTTATTTTTCAAAAAGGCACAAAGAGAAGTAAGACTTTGGAATGAAGCCCAGAATATTAAACATGCATATTTCTTTCTATTATTTCTTAATATCTTTTCCTTGAGCAAACATGCTGTAGTTGTTTCTAATTTAACTCACTAATTGCAAGTTCACAGACCCGAATGGGGGGCCTACATGCTTGGGACACTTTAGCATGGGCAAGGCTTGCCAGTTCCTAGTCAGTGGCCAGCAGCCAGCTTTATGCATCTTCTATCACACAATGCCATCATCACATAAGCACTTAAAAAGCACTTCTCCTGTAGCTACCACATTACAAATGTGTTATTTGAATATATGACAAATAACTTAGTTTTCTCCCAAGGCTAGCTCTACTCCAGCACAATTGATTGGATCCTATAGTAGTAGATAAAACAAAAATTCTGGTTTTCAGTAGATCCATTTATTCTTTGTGTTGTTGTTTAAAAGCATTGTTCATGTTCCAATACCTCAATATTTTAAGCACCTGATGCAGAAAGAGTAAATTTGTTCATTCATTTTATATGTATGCTGCTTTTCCACACACAAAAAAAATCATGCTCAAAAGCGGCTTACAAAAAAACCAGGGATGCATTTCAAACAAACTACAGAAACAATTTCAATGTAGCACAACAAAAATAACATAGACTCTCCTCCTGCAAAAGAGGGGAGTGGTTGTGGGCGGGAGCCGGTCTCCGCCTCAAGCAGGGGGCGTTAGCCCCCTGCCTCCCACTCACCTGGCTGGCGCACCACGCCCACAGGCAGGCACCCAACCAGGTGCCTTTGAAGGGGCGTGGATGGCAGCGTAAATCACTGCTGCGCCAGCCACGCGGCCCTCACTCTTGGGCTCTGGAATGGCGGTTAGGCATTGGAATAATGTGTTGTGGTGTGTGGAAGGGCTAGGTGTGGCCATCGCCTATGCCTTCAATTTTTGTGTATTCCGTTAAAGGAATCCGACGGTCGTGTATTCTGTCCGATGCCTGCGTGGCGGGAGGCCATGGCACGACCCTCGGTGACATCAGGGGAGAGCTTATAGTTGGATTAGCATCAACAGGCTCCACCTACTGGTGAATAAACCCCCCTTTTTAGACTCACCCCACTCTGAGTGGGTGGAGTCAACTGACGTAATCCAGTGCCTAAGCCAATACCTTTTCACTTGCTGTAATCAATAAAGTTGTGGCCTTTTCTTGCCCATTAACCTTATATCACGTGTCCGTGTGTTTTCATTTCCACTATGCGGGGACCGGGTCCTCGAACCACAAAGTAACGATTTCATAATAACAAAGCAAAACAATAGCAAATATAGTAACATAGAAAAATACATTTTAATACTATAAATATAAGAAGATTGCTTAAACAACAAGCAGGATCCAATATCAAAAGTAACAAGGGAGTTTCACAGTTTCACCTTAGTCCTAGAAACAGCCTTCCCATAATGCTCCTCACCGTTCCTCTCCTGAATCAGCTTCTCATAAGGCTTCCAAGGGCAAAGGGCAGGGTAGCTGGAAACACCCATCCCATAATGTTGCCTTATACAAGCTCCTTCAAACGTGCTACCTTTTGTGGACTATATTAGGCATATATATGACTCTTCCAAAATAATTGAAATCAGCGGTAAGGTGAAAACAAGGTTGCAGTACAGTACATGCCAACTTTATGCAACACCTGTAACACTGCTGGTTCCACAGATTGAAGTGGATGAGTGGGTATATATGGGGTAAGGTGACCTTGCAAGACTTTTTATGGAATATGAGCTAAATATTTTCTACCACTATCTTAAAAATTCAGAAGGAAAATCATTGTTGAGAATTCAGATAGGTAGCCATGTTGGTCTGACACAGCCGAAATAAATTAAAAAATTGTCCAGTAGCACCTTAGTTGGTCTCTAAAGGGATACTGGACAGTATTGAGAAATTAGGGTATTTACTCTGATCAAGTTAAAAGGTAAAGGTAAAGGACCCCTGACAGTTAAGTCCAGTTGCGAACAACTCTGGGGTTGCGGCGCTCATCTCGCTTTACTAGCCGAGGGAGCCGGTGTTTGTTTTTCCGGGTCATGTGGCCAGCATGATGAAGCTGCTTCTGGTGAAACCAGAGTGGCGCACAGAAATGCCATTTACCTTCGCGCCCCAGAGCTGTGCATATTTATCTACTTGCACTTTTTATGTGCTTTTGAACTGCTAGGTTGGCAGGAGCTGGGACCAAGCAACGGGAGCTATCATATTCAGAACAGTATTGATAACTGTACCCAGTTTAGAAAAATGCTTGAAATTATAGCAGTCAGTAGCTTATTTCTTTAATGACACTGAGCAAATCTACAAAAGTCAGCATTGGTGGTCAATGATTTTTCATTACCTGCTGCTTACACAGTAACCAAAGCTGTGTAGTTGAATAGTACCACTGCAAGAGTGTTTAAGTAAATGTGGTCTTCTGCCCTTCTGCTGAAGATTCCTTGTGTATATTGTTACTGTTCTGTAGAAAGGTACAGTACAGATCAACATGGAGTCTTTCAGATTAATGCTTGTGCATTGCTGAAAAGTGCATTAAATAAATTACTGTATTGCAAAGAGAGTTACTGTAAGGTCTATTAACTACTTATTTAAAGACTTGGCAACAGTGCACAACAATAAATAATTCAAGTAGCACCTCTAATCTTGTTTTCTTTCTTCTTAATTGGTTTTACAGCATTGTTTTGACATTTACCCTTGAATTAAAAAAACCCAAAAAACTTAACGGGGAAGAAAATGCATGCCTTGCAGTACTCCATTTGCCAAGCAAGTACTTGTATATAGATGCTTCACAGTGCAAGAATTACAATCTGACTTCACGGCTGTCATTGGTGAAGAATGAAATAGAGTTATGAGGATTTACAGCTTTGCATCATATATGGAGACCAGCATGCATATATTAAAAACTACTTTAACAGATATGTAAATATATAATCTCCAAATTCAGGTAAATAAACTCTAACAGTAACATAAATTTATGATGATTGTGATAATGATGATGATGATAATAATAATAATAATAATAATAATGCTATTTTCATATGAATTAAAAAGAGGAAGAAGATATAATTCACCCTGAGTGTCATAGGTGGCCTTTAAATTCATCAGAATAAATCAGACCTCTTTAGCCTTTAGTTCTAAGTCACTTTAGGTCACAAAAAATACCCTCTCTTTAGTAGTAATGGCTTTCACAGCTAACACAGCAGCACAAAAATGTATGGAGTTTAAAAAGAGCTACAGATTTATTTATTTATTAAGGTTTGTGTGTATCCTTTCTGAAGAATCCAGACTTATTTTAAGGGATTTATTTAATGTAATAATAATTTATTCTGAGCTGCCCAGCAGTGCCTTGCAGTTTCCTGTGGGAAACTGGTATCTGTTACAAAAAAAAAAAAGTTGCAGGTTAATGCCAGTGAGGCCTTGCTGTTATTTTTCAAAGTCCAAGGAGAAGTAAGGCTTTGGAATGAATCCCAGAAGATTAAATATGCATGTAACAACATTAATCCCTGCTACAGTTGCTGCTAATCAATATCAGGGTGCAATCCTATACCATATTGGCTCAGCTCTTGCTCACTGGCACCGCCCCTGAATGGTGGGCCATGATGGTACTTCCAGGGATTCTAGGGCTCTGTCTGTACTTTCTACACCACTTTTTTATATTCTCCATGCTGTGTAATTTCCTTCTTTCTTGGCCGAGCAATGCATTAGATATGGTGGTAATTTCTACTAGTGCAGCAGCAGAGTTACCTATAGGAATATGCTGCCATTTCACTTTATTTTTCATGTAGTGCAAATCCCACCTGAACTCAGGTAAGTAAGTGTACAGAGGACTGCAGCCATACACACACACACACACAGAGAGAGAGAGAGAGAGAGAGAGTATATAAAGTATATATTTACTTCATGCAAAGTAAAGTTCAAACTGAAAAGTGGTAGAAGCACACACAACCTATTCCAACAAGGTGTTCATTTTTATTTATTCATTCCATTACTTATATTCTATCATATTAAATTGCAGTAATCTGCCAGTGTGATATCCAGCATTTGCTTAGAAACAAGTCTCCCTTTAAGAAAGATAATTGTTTTTATTTATCAGGAGAAATAAAATGTTATTTTATATTTATTTTAAAAAAACATTGTTTTATACTTCTCATTAAAACATAGCATATTGTTTGGCAAATATAAAAAGGTTTTCACTGAGGGTATCTGCAGCCGCAGTCCTTTTCATGGACTGTGCCTAAGTGTGAGTGCTGCCAAAAGAAGGGCAACCACCGGTGAGATAATCTCATTAAATTAATTATCCTGCTGGCATGTTTGTTTTTGCTGGGTTTAGACAGCATGTTGTGAAATACTCGGATGTATTAGTACCCTAAAGAGGAAAACAATCAAATAGTATTGATCTCTTCTCACACTTGCTGACCAACCTCCTTCTTTAGGAGGAACGAAATATTGCAAGAAGATATCTGACACATCTAGGAAGAAGGCGTATCATATTATATCACATTGTACAAGTATATCACGGTGGATGTGTCTATTATGTAAAACTAAAACAGAGACATCTATCTGACTTTGAAACTTGCATTCTCAAGTTATGTAACCAGAGCAACTACCTCTTCCCAGATAATAGGAGCCACTATTTTATGCATCATGCATTCAAACCCTTGAATCATAAAAGCTTCAGATTTCAATTCAGTTTGGAAAGTAAAAAAACAAAAAACCCTGTTATTTAAAATAACATTCATTTTTTCCCCCCATTCTCTGAAATTATTCATCAAGCAGGGTGCTACCCAAAGCAGGAGCTAAATTTCTGCCACATTTTTGTGACTTTTTGGTTAGCCCTAATAACTAACTTAGGGACACGGGTGGCGCTGTGGGTAAAACCTCAGTGCTTAGGACTTGCCGATCGCATGGTCGGCGGTTTGAATCCCTGCAGCAGGGTGCGCTCCCGTCGTTCAGTCCCAGCGCCTGCCAACCTAGCAGTTTGAAAGCACCCCCGGGTGCAAGTAGATAAATAGGGACCGCTTACCAGCGGGAAGGTAAACGGCGTTCCATGTGCTGCGCTGGCTCGCCAGATGCAGCTTGTCACGCTGGCCACGTGACCCGGAAGTGTCTGCAAACAGCGCTGGCTCCCGGCCTATAGAGTGAGATGAGCGCACAACCCTAGAGTCTGGCAAGACTGGCCCGTACGGGCAGGGGTACCTTTACCTAATAACTAACTAACTTTCACCTTTCTGTTGTTAGTTAAGTGTGCCTGATACCTGCTTTAAATGTGAATTGAAAGTTTGAGTTTATTGTATAGTTTTATACTTTAGAAAACAACATCAACTAACTAGAGTGTATTCTTCTTTACTTGGATTACACATTACCTAGTGGCAATGTAATAATAATAATAATAATAATAATAATAATAATAATAATAATAGCTTTTTCTGAATGCTCCTTCTGAAGTGTCGAACAGGAATATCCAAAAAGAAACTAGCATAGTTTTCTGGATTAAAATCGTAGCATATTTTACATGCCTTTGGGAATATTTGAGTATTGGAGGGGTGCCATTTTTAGTTCTCCTGAAAGGAAACATGTGATTAAGCTGTCAGCTATTTGAGATTACTACAAATATTTTCTTTCATAATGAATTTTGTGACTTGGGATGGGGGGAGTTTCTTGAGTTTCTCTGGCTCTCTCACTGTGATGACAGTTAAGGAAAATAGTAGTTCCACAACAGATCGAAAACTGGATGATTATTTTTCACAAATAGAACTGTAGATTTGAAAGGGACCACCCCCTGCAATGCAGGAATCTTTTGCCCAGTGTAGGGCTTGAACCCATGACCTGGAGATTAAGAGTCTCACGCTCTACCGAATGAGCTATCCCAGCTGGGGCCAAACACACCCTGATTACTAGACAAGTCTTTTAAAAATCTATATCTCCCGCAAATTATATTTGGATCTGCATGAATTTGTGTGATAAAACAGGGGTGGGAAACCTTGAGCAGGAGGCCAAACACAGTCCTCCAGATACTTCTCTCTAGTACTTTGAGGTCTGGGCAGTGGTGAAGCCGCATGCTCCAGCACTGGGGGGCAGAGAAAAGGTGTGGGCGTGGCTGGTGCTGATCCTGGGGGGTGGGGGGCGTGGCTCGTCGTGTAGCGTGCATCCCTGGGGCGTGGTGTGCATCTGGGGGCGTGGCATGTTTCCTGGGGGTGTGGCGCCCAGCATAGTGGAGGGATGTACAGCGTGTCTGGGGGCAGCTGCAATGGTACCCCCTTCCCCGATGTTGCCAGGGGTGATGCTCTCCCCCCCATTCCTCTGCCAGTGGGTCCTGGGCTTTCCCCCAGACAGGTCTGCTCACTGGCCCAGTTCTGCACCGTCACTGAGTCATTCAGTGTATCACTGAACTATGATAATGCCTCTTGCTTGCCTGGCTAGAGGATGGAGAAATGTGTTTATGAATATATATGGAAATGCTTGAGTTTCGCAAGGCTGGCATGTAGCCTATTGTACAAAGGTCAGAGGCACATCTGTAGCTCCACCCACTTCTACCTCTGGCACTGTCTTATCACCCTTAGAAGGTTGTCCAAATGGGAATGTGGTCCTCGGACTAAAGGAAATTCGCTGCCCCTGGTATCAAAGGCAAATAAAAGACAACAATTTACCAACTGGTAATTTAGGAGAGTGTGCATGTAACTATTTGGTAAACCAGTTGTCACTGTCTTACCATTAGATTCCTCGGATTTCTTATCAGGTGTGAAGCTGAAGTATGGTAATTTTTTATTCACTGTTTGGCAGATAAATACAAATGGCCAGCTTTACTATATGCAAAGTAAGCACATATGCTTCCTCCCAATCAAGAGTTTTGTATCACTTAAAAGCTTGTGTACTTCACCTTGAAGCAACATTTAGGCTTTAATCAGGCTGAAATTGATTAGTATATAGTTTGGGGATATATGACTAATCACTGAAATGAAGTGAGAAAACACCAGAGTTCAAAAAAGAGAGGCACAGCACAGAAGCAAAGAGATTAAAATGAGCTGATGTATTGACAGAGCACAGCTGTGAAGCTGTTCAGATGGAAGCAGACTATCAACTTACAGACCAGTTTAATAGGAGCTAATTAAAGCAATTATTGCATCATCCCTAATGCTACCTCAATCAATTAAGAACTCTACCATTTCCACTTCTCCAGTCGAGCTGGATTCTAGAAATGTATTATTTCACTAGCAAAAAAGAAAGAAGAAAAAGCTTGCTTGTTGAGTCAAATTTATTTTTCTGACTTTATGGGGAAATAAGTCCACCCAAAACTATCTTTCTTTTTAGAAATAAAGTGCACACCCTTTGAAATAATATTGGACTATTCTATATCAAGAGGTCTACTATGGCCATTACTTAGCATTAGGACATGGGTGGTGCTGTGGTCTAAACCACTGAGCCTCTTGGGCTTGCCGATCAGAAGATCCGTGGTGAGCTCCCTTTGCTCCAGCTCCTGCCAACCTAGCAGTTCAAAAGCACGCCAGTGCAAGTAGATTATTAGGTACCGCTGTGGTGGGAAGGTAAACGGTGTTTCCATGCGCTCTGGTTTCCGTCATGGTATTCTGTTGTGCCAGAAGCGGTTTAGTCATGCTGGTCACATGACCCGGAAAGCTGTCTGCGGACAAACACTGGCTCCCTCGGCTTGAAAGTGAGATGAGTGCCACACACTATAGTCGCCTTTGACTGGACTTAAACATCCAGGGGTCCTTTACCTTTTTACCTTTTACCTAGCATCAAAGAAATAACTAAAAATCAAAGGCATGCACATGGTTCTGAATTTGGTTTCATTAGTGAAATTGAGGATTGCCCAAAGCAATCATGGTAGCAAATCTTCATACTGCTAAATCCTTACACTTGGGATCACCATATTATTCCATGTTTCCAAAGCCTAAAAGAAATCCAGAATTCCAGATTCCAAAAATGAAAGGTATTCACGGTTTTCATGTAGGTATTTTAAGGTGGGTATTTTAAGGTGTATTGTGCACCCAACTTGAAATTTCAAACTAACCCCATTTTTGCTACCTATAATAATACCTATAAGATAGGTATACCTATCTATACCTATAATCTTATGTTAAATACATCAATATATAAGCTACACACACACACAAATAAATTAAATATGTAAACACATACATTAAAACATTTCATATAACTTTTTCTTTAAATATTCCATCAGAAAGCTTATTCCCACCCACACTCTTAATCTTATTCATTAAATACTTCTTTAAAGACATATTCTTTGAATCATTGCTAATTATTAGATCCAATATAAAAACAAGAAATGGGGCAAATACAAAATGGTGAAAAACCATATTTAGAGATTAGATAAAAATCCCAATATATTTCAAGCAAATGCTCTTCTTGAGAGAAGTACTGAAATATGTTTTAGTTTAGTTTCCCGGTTAAGTTAATTTCTCTGGGCTTCGTGACAATTAGGTCTGCCACTTTGATGGGAGCAGGGAATCTTTAATTCCCTTGTGCAAAATGATCTGGAACCAGTTCAGTATTTTAAAGGATAACTTTTGGAACTACAGTACTGGCGTTCATGTATAAACCAACCATTCCTAACCTTTCAAACAAGTAATTAGCAAGCTTTCAGGCAACAAAATAGTTTCTACTACATCTCTCTGCCTTGATGAAAACAACTGCTAGTTAAAAGGTATTTAACTTTTAATGGAGGGTCACAGGCTATTTCCAGTTGCATCCTTCTGCAGAGATTTCCATGAGTGAAAAATGGAGTGGGAGAGATTTTTTTGCTGATTTCCCCTTTTCCCTGCAGACATCTGTGCCCCTTTCCTGATCTACTCTATATGGTTTGGGGACCCTTTGGAGCATCATATGAGGTGATGCGGATGAAGGGAGGGGATGCAGGAGCAAGACAGATTCCCCCACCCCATTTCCACTCACTGAAGCATCCACTGGATCAAAGAGCCTTCCACCAGTGGAGGGACACAACTGGATATAATCCCGTGTTTCAAAGGTACAATGTAGGGCTTGGGGATTATTATTTTTATGTTACAAACAGTAAAATACATTTTTCATTATGGGAACACCTCCTCCTCCTCCTCCTCCTCCTCCTCCTCCTCCTCCTCCTCCTCCTCCTTCTATCATGTACTGTATCCAGTGCCGGATTTACGTATAAGCTATAGCTTAGGGCCCCACTCTCTTGGGGGCCCCCAAAAAAATTAAAGGGAAAAAACACCACTGGGTGTACATTTCCAAAATATAAGGTAAAAAACAAATAAAATACATATTTTGTTATGTGCAAATGGCTTTAGATCTGGATATTTTGTTATGTGCAAATGGCTTTAGATCTGGAGGGCCAAGTTTGGCCACCACTGATATAGCATATATTCAACGCACAAAACAGCGACAATTTGTTGTTGACAAAGGACAGCTGGACTTATAAAAGGCCCCATTACCTTCTGTAGCTTAGGGCCTCATCAAACCTAAATCCGGCCCTGACTGTATCTGAACATTTTCTAAAACACGTTTCTGCTAATTTTCTGGTGTGAGAGAAGGAAGGTTAACTATGGTGATGCCTAGCTTCTGTGGTCATTGTTATAGTCTATATGTGGTTGGTATCAGGTGGCATGCATGTACAAAATAATACTTAAAAATAAATGGGTATAATTTAGGGTTGCCATATGTCTGGATCTTCCAGTGCATATCTGGAATACTGCAGTTGGCAGTATGGAAATTGGGGAAAATGACTGGGAAAATCTGGACGTATGACAGCCCATGCTGGCAGTGCCGTTTTCCCATAAAGATAGCTCAATAACAGCATTACTTTTTGTGATTTTGCCCAAAAAGCTCAGCAACTTTTCTGTTCGAAAATGACAACCCTAGTATAATGATTATATAATGTATTTTCCTTTTGTGCCATTTGAGACACCGAAAGCACAAATGTAGGATCAACTTTACTGAATCTTGGGGCTCCATAGTTTTGCACTTGGCAGAAAGTGAGGGTTTTTTATTTTATTATGGTGCCTCTTTATGGCAAAGTATTAAAAAATACTTTGGAAAAGACCCTGATGCTGGGAAAGATTGAGGGCACTAGGAGAAGGGGAAGACAGAGGATGAGATGGTTGGCCAGTGTTCTCAAAGCTACCAACATGAGTTTGACCAAACTGCGGGAGGCAGTGGAAGACGGGAAGGAGTGCCTGGCGTGCTCTGGTCCATGGGGTCATGAAGAGTCGGACACGACTAAACGACTAAACAACAAACAACAACAATTTAAAAAAATAGGTTTGGAAACAGTGAGTCAGAGAGAATATGTATGTCTGTGATTAAAAGGAAAGGCTAGAATTTTGAAAGATATTAAGTAATTTCACAAAGCAAAAGTCTGGTGTCTTACTTGGCATAAAAGACATTTTGAACTGAAAGCAACATACATTACTTAAAGTTTTCCTGAGGCCATTTTGCCTCAAAATAATTCATTTTTTTGTTGGTTGCAGGATTCCCCCCTCCCCAGCTTACTGATTAAGGGGGGGTCGAAACTTCAATAAGAAAATATATTGAATTAAGTGTAAAAGCTGAAAAATCGGTATGGAAAATTCAAAGGCAAATATGCTTTGCTTGCAATGTAGTTGTTATTTTTAATATAAATAAATAATGGAATGTGCTGATGTTGTAAAGTAAAGATAGATTCTTCTATTGATATTTCACAAATGCTGCCTTGAGTTGAACTTCTGCACTTTGAAACTCTGAGGGGCAATCTGTTTAACAGGAATAAGTTTAACAGGAAATATCTTTTTAGGAAATATGCTTTTAGGACAAAGTATCCAGTTTTCTAAATACTTATGCAACAGTTTGACATCCTTTTTTTCTATTTCTTTTGGTTTTGAAAACATTTCATACAAATAGGTAATGAAACACCAAAAGCAGAAAATGTTTGCTATACAGTACAACTTGAAAAGGGCATCTTGATAAACAGGAGATAATGCAGGAGAACATTGAGGGTTAAAGACCCATTGGCTACCCTCACATGGTTTATGCAGCCAACTGAAGTCATTTTGTGGGGTGTGGCTGCTGTCAGTGCTGACAGGAGTCACAGGTGAGAGCTGAGTGCAGGATGGAAACCAAAGGTGGACAAACTGCCCTAGAAGGATTATGATGTGTCGTCAACCAGACGTACTACCCCCCGCAACACCCCATATGCAACTAGACACATGGTAAATAAGAAGAAGCCATATGAAAAGGACTGTGTGTCCCTCTCTTGTGATCCTGGACTCCCCATGTACTCCACATAAGCATAATTGTGGGTCTTACCTTTCATAGCCTCTCAGTGGAGTGTGGGAATAATATAGTGATTTCTCTGTGAAAAGACAGGGATACTTTAGATATTTTACTTGATATTTTATAAAGTAGTTGGAGAAATTTACCCATAGCATTGTGCAGTTGTTTGCAAGGCTAAAATGAATTAATGCAAATCAATGCATTAATGTGATTCTCTGGCCTTGTATAAAGAATGAAGTGTGTTCTAGGTGCTATTAACTAACCTTAGAAAAGTGTGTGTAACCTTTTGTTCGGCATTATGATGAGTACTTTTTGTGCTAGATCTACCTCTCTTTCTAAGAGCGTGCCTGCCTGCCTGGGGCTTAGGTGGGAAAGTAGAGACTTCATAAGTCACACATTCAGCATGCTAATAGGCCATAATGTACAACACAAAAGTATGATAGTGGAGGCAGCTGCCTTGCACTGCCTGTGGCCACCAACACATGATGTTGACATGTGATGCTCCTCTGCCCCACCATACTTTCCTTGTTAGGGGAGCGTTCTCAGCTGCAACTTGGAGTTAAAGATGAGCATAGATATACACCCTTGAATTGTTAAGAATGGGCATTTTTAATGTCTGGGTGTTGTTTTTAATTAGTCACAGTTTTTAAAAGAGCATTATAACCTTATATAGTTTACTGGTGATGGCCACAAGAATCTGCCCAGCTAAAATCTGGAGGGCTGCAAGATTATACAATTAATCAAACTGATTAACTGATTAAAATCCTGGCTCAATCAAAACTTCAGTCCTGGTTAATCAGGCCACATAGACACAGCTACCTCCACAAACTCCCAATCACAGAGCCAAACTCTGTTAATTAGAAAGCTCTCTCTCTCTCTCTCTCTCTCTCTCTCTCTCTCTCGTGTATTACCTTTTATCCATCCAAGTGGTTTTTGGATTGTAGCCCACCTATTTTGCGAGCTATCAAACGATACCTATTTGTTCCTAATGGAAACTGTAGAACTCAACTGCGCTGCAGGATGTGAAAGCTCATGCATCACTGTAACCTACCCAACCTTTCCTGTACTAATGACAAAGTGCTGGAAAGTGGCTTGGGGTCAGGTTACATGTTCACTCAAATACTTGTCCTTCATCATAGAACTCTGTTGAACCTATACATTATTTAACATCTTAAATCATGGAGACAAATGCAAAATACTAATTACAATGTATAATTGGAAAAAGATAAAGTCCATGAAAGTGGTTACTTCAAAACAGAATGAGCTCTAGAATTTGATGTCAAAATGGCCCTAGCCATTTTATGTTATTTTACAATCATTAAAAGATCTGTTTTGCAATAGGATTACTGTTTTCTGAATATATAACATAAAATCTACTGAAATTACATGGATTTCTCTTTTGTTTTTGCTGTTTGCTCAGTTTAAAAGGATTGCTCATGAATTTAATACCAAGTCTTCAAAATATATGTGGAAAATAAGTTTTGTGTGCTGAGGGTCATTTTAGAACTGGTTATTACCTAGTTTTTGTTTGCAACAAAAAAGTTTGGAAATACTGTTTCCTCCTCTACTTTCCTCTTTTTACTTCTGTTGGAAAAATAGTGTACTATAAACATTTTCATATGATAATGTGAAAAGCCATTTTATATGGCACAGTTCTTAATGAACAGGTTCCTATAGGCTCATTTGGTTCAGTACACTTAGCAGCTGCACCATTAGTTGTTGTCTTTATCATGGTCCCACCACCATCAAAGTACTATTTGTCTTGAACCCAAAAGCTAAATAGGAGCAATGAAATAGTAAGCAGAGACAGAAACAATAGGAACGATAAGACATTGCTTCCTTTGGCATGAAGACAGCATTCATCATACAGGGGCAAGAGGCCAATTCAGGATAATGCAGGCATGTTGTGAATTATGGAAGTAAAATGCACACAGGCTGTTTCTCCGTCTTCGAAAACAGTTAATGCAAACACATAGGAGGAATGGAGGTGTTTTGTGTGGCATTCAATACTAGGAATTTTGACATTACAAATTACAATGGGGAGAAACTGCAGCACAATGGTAAAACTGATGCTTTGCATGTAAAATGTCCCAGCTTCATCCCAGGGATTTCCAGTAAAAAGGGATCAGTTAAAAAAAGGTAAAAAAATATGTCTCTGAGACTCTAGGGGCAATACAGGGCCAGATACAAATTTTCTCCAGAACAGCCGTGGCCATGTATCCTACATTACAGAGGAGACCCCTCATGGCTGTCAAAGGCATTGCTCTATTTGCAGGTGTTTCCTATTGGAAGGGCTGTCCTGTCCAGTTTAAATATGAAGAACCATAAAAAGGGGGAGAAGAAGGCTTCAAGTTGTTCATCAGCTGTAAACACATGACAAATTGCTGCTAAGTCTCCCCACTGTGGTGAGATGTATTGTATTTCCATTTAGATTACAGTAATGATTTCTAAATTTGAATGTGCTAATTCCATGCAAATTATACCTTCCTTTTTCAGGTTTCCGCTTTTATTTGTAATGTGGATGTAAATGTTTTAGGGTTTCACAGCATTAAACCATACATTTTCATAATGAGCTCTCAGGATATGAACATGAGCTAGAGGCTGCACAAGGCTTCCATAGGATCATCTGGTTTAGATGATTCAGCCCACTCTTCACCAACCTGGAGTCCTCCAGATGTTTGGGACTGCAACTCCAGTCAGCTGTGCTAGCTGGGGCTGATAGAAGTTGTAGTCCAAAACATCTAGAGGGCATCAGATTGGAGAAGGTTCATATAGCATATAGCCAAAGAAGCTGGGTGCTGCCTGGTTGTCACTGACCCATGGCAGGGCCTTATTGGTGGTGGTTTCCTGTTTGTGGAATGTCCTCCTTGATGAGGGATGTCCTTCTCTCACATTATTGGCTTTCAGGAAGAATTTAAAACATTCATTTTCACCTAAATGTTTGGATAACAATACTGTTTCTGACAATCTTGAAAGTACTAGCTATTAGAGTATGTGATTGTTTTACTTGTTTTTTCCATTTAAAATAAAGTTTTTAATGGATTTGTAATGTTTCAAATATTTTTTTAAATTGTATTGTTTGATCTCTGATGTGTTTGCATACCTAGGCAAATTTGGGGAAAAGGACAGGATAAAAAATATAAATTAATTAATGAGCATTAATATATTGGAGTGAGGAGAGAGCAAGAGAGTACAAAGCATCATTTTAAACACAAGTCACAGTGCAAGATGACAAAGGTGTGGATTTTTTAAAGTGGTACTCTCTCTCTCTCTCACTCACTGTGTGTGTGTGTGTGTGTGTGTGTGTGTGTGTGTGGCTTAGAAAGCTTGTTGCATGGGAGCCACCTGGAAAAAGCACAGTAGTGGCTCTGTAAGACAATGACAAATAGGCTTCTTCTCTAGAAATGGATTCTAGCCATGATTTACAATACTGAATAATAGAAGGCAGAGGAGAGTATATGATATAAATTATAGAAAGAGAAGTAAAAATATTCTAGTGAAAACAGTAAATAAAACATGTATCCTATAAGGAAGAAAGATAAATTATTTAAGAAGAACAGAGAAGACAGAAAACGTTATATTATTATTTTTTGAGATCGTATTTGATTGTGGCAAAGAATGAAGACCCATTCTATCTATTTTTTCTATTGTTTTTAATGTTGTGTTTTAAATTGTTGAGTCCACCTGGGACCTTAGGGTGAATAAGCAGACCTTAGGCAGGTAATAAATTAAAACAACAAGAACAACAACAACAACAACAACAACAACAACAGTGCTGAAAATAGGATAATGAAAGGTGGAGGAGAGGGTAAATGTAAAATATACTTGACTGAAGCAAGTCAATGTTATTTTGAACTAGTAAGAGAGGCACGTGAATGAAAAATATTTCAAAGTATTTTTCCTTCCCTTGTTGTCCAAAGCCCAATGGTATAGTATCTAATAATCTGGACGTTCTCCTGAAAACAAACCAAGCCTGTCCAGGGAACCTAAATTGGGTAGGTGAAACCAGTTGAATCATATCCCTACTTCTTGCTGGATATGTAGCTGCTGTCAGCAGAAAGATGGCCTCATCCCATACTATCTGCTCAAAAAATTCACATCAAAGTTGGAGCTTTGGGTCTTACCAGACACACACACCCCCCCTCCACCACCACTGTCTGAGACGTAGCAGATAGAAATGAGGTGCATTATCTTTTATAATGATGACTAATTTATTCAATCCATGAGTTGCATGTGTGACACATAAGGAGACTTCAAACAACTGATAAAATTTGAAAACAAAGCATGGCATAAAATCAGGGGTGGGGAACCAATGTATTGCAATTAAAGCCACACAAGAAAACAGCAGGTCACACTATCAGTAGCTGGTGCCTAAACTGTCGCAAGAACTCCTAAAGAAAGCCTCCCCCCCCCCCCAGCTCACGACCTGCACTCAAAGCATTTAGCAATTTTAAGTAATGACATAGGCGGCACACTGCCATGTTTTTATGATTACTTTATCCCTTCCTCACAAAAATTTAACATCCTCAAAGGAAGCCATGGTTTTGTTCTGCTTTATTTTATGAAGCAGGATTTCATGGAGCTCCAATGGTATGGTACCTTTCTTTGCTCTTGTTATAAGCAGGAGAAACACCGGAGAGCAGGAAATCTAGGGTAAATAATCAGCTAAATGACTGGTTTTAGCTCATGGCTAATACAGAAGTCTATATGTGATTTTAAGTAACAGCAGTGCGGAAAGGCTCGGAGTATTTGTTTTAGGTTAGAAACATCTCATGCTTTTTCTGTAGTCATCTGAGTAAGAGACGATAACTTCCTTGTGTCAGCAAAACAATCTAATTATATCTGTAGGGTTTTCCTTAACCTTCTATTGTTTTAATTAGTTCTACTACACTCCCCTGAGCAACAAACTGTAGCCTAAAGCATTATTTCTCCAGCACACGAGCCTAAATAATAAAACAGAGAATCTGCTAATCAGCTTTATCCCACTGTTCAAACAACTTCCATAGACACTTGCAACTGTTGCAGAAAACCACTTGCAGA